CGCGGAGCTTTTGGTTCTCCGCTTGGAGGACCTTTGTCTCCTCAGAGACCGTCCTCTGGATGAGGAGAGCAGAATTCTCCCGAATTGACGCGACCGCGTCATTGAGGGCGCGGACGAAGGTCCCCTTCAAACTCCCGGACTTCTTCGCCACGCTCTGGATCACGCCCAGACTCTCGTCGATGCCCTTTATGGCATCGACGGCGGAACGAGGCATGGGGACACAAGTGCCCATTATGTCCCCCTCGTCCCACGCGAGCGACGCCACAGAGGAAGGCCGCGTAGATCGGGCCTCCGAGACAGAGGCCGCTAACTCAGCCTCCGCCTGGAGCCGGATCTCCTCCCTCTTGGCCTTATTCAGGGCCTTTTTGGCGGCCGCCAACCCGACGTACTCGCCAGTGGTTGGCGGGCGGCCCCTAGGTCGCTTCTCGGCGGACCCTTTCCTCGCCACAGAGAGAGGGGTGTCTGTGGAAGACCCCTCTTCTGGCGACTTCTCTCCTTCTTTGGGTCGTTTCCGCTTCTGGCGCCAGAAGCGGCTCGACTCCAGGTCTCCGACCGGAGGGACTGAGCCAGCGGACGACACGCTGACTAAGTCCGAATCCGAGTCGGACAGATTTAACGAGGCCCTGGAGGACCTCGTACTGCGGCTAGCCCTAGCCAAGGCTGACGCCGACAATCTTGTCAACGCCACCCTCAGCGCTCGCCCTTCTACTTCATCTCCTCTCCTTTCTTCCTCCTCCTTCTTCTTACTACTGTTAGTTTTTTTTGTTATTTGTTTTTCTCCTTCCATTTCTTCTGTTCATTTAACAAAAGTTGCGCCTCGCTACAAGGCGCAACGGCATTTCTTTTGCTTTAAGGGAAATGCAAAGTCCACCCGGGCAGAGCCCTGTACCCGGGTAACCCTAATACAACTGGCGGTCGGGCGGTCGCCAGAGGTTGGCCGCTAGCTGGCCCGGTTACTGCCGGACCACCCACTCACCCTGCGGGCAAGCGGGGGCGCGGTGCCGCGCAGAGGTCCGAAGACGCCCCAACACCACGCAAAATTCAGGGTTTTTTCTGAGGTTTTCCTTCCTCTTGGGCCGGCCGATTAAGGCAAGCCCCCTGGTCCCAGGTGCGCCGCGAGACATGATCCACGACACGCACCCGGGGAAACAGGTTTGCCCGACGGAGGGCCGAAACCCCTAACCAGGCGCAGCACATCGCCACGCCCGGCCCGCCGCGCCGCGGTCCACCACCACCGCCGTCCGTGGTGACTCCACCACCATACTACGCCATGAAGGCCACTGGTCTCAACAGACCCCAACAATCGTGCTCGGAGGCACGCTCGCAGCGCTCTGAGGTGAGCGCTGCGTCTCCGTGATCGGTCTCCGCGTCGTCTTCGGAGACCGACCGATGGATCCAATTGGCTTCGTCGTGCAATAGTGGCCAGAATCGGCAGACCCACAGACAGTCTGTTGCCGATTAGGCACCTGGCCACTATAATAAGCACCGACTACTGAGCCCCCCCGCCGCGACAAGGCCTGGATCATGGGGGGGGGGGAACCTAACCCTAACCTTTTTTTTTTTTTTTTTTTTTTTTTTACCTGGAGGAATCCGTTTACGGACCCCGCGCCTGGGCAGTGCAATGGCGCGGGAGTGTGGGACTCGACCCTAGAAGAGGGCCAATACCGCACTAAACCATCCAGGACCCACGTCCACTCCACTATTGGCAAGGGTAAGGTATCAGTAAAACCATATTTTCCTTGAACCCTCGCCGAGTGGCTCGCCGCGCAAGCGCGACTCTCCCTACAAAAGTACGTAAGCTATACTTACGTACGCCCTTGTCTTCGTCTGGTGAGGATCACTGGGGGTGACGGAGGAAGTCCCGCCGCCGCCTTCCAGGTCTCCTTCGGCGTTGCTGGTCTGCATCAGGAGCTATCTCCCGCAGCCGCTCCGCCTCCTCCTTCTGTGATAGGACGGCTTCGCAGAAGGCAGCGAACGCCCTCCATTTTCCGTCGTCATTCTGCAAAATCTGTGTTATAATGTTATTAAGCGTCATGTTATCTCTGCTGACGTCCAGTCCGAGTTGTGTCGACAGGGTGTCTCTCTCGACGACCCATGCCGAACATTCTGTCAGTGTATGGCGGACAGTGTCCACCGCGGCGCCACAGTGATGGCAAGCGGGGGTCCGTTCCCTACCGATCTTGAACAAATAACTGCCAAAACAGCCGTGTCCCGACAGCATCTGCACCAGACGGTAGGACAGATGTCCCCGCCGCCGACTCACCCATTCTTTCAGGACCGGCTGAATCGCCTCCAGCGTCCATCTTCCAGTCCTTGAGGTCACGAGGCCGTCGGACCACTCCTGGGTGACCCAATCTCCGGCGCTCCTTCTCCACTCGTTCACTGTTTCGTAGGCAGGTTCCTCTCCTCTCGCCCTAGAACGAAACCTACGCCAGTGAACGTCTGCTAAGGCAGAGGCTTCGAGGTGCCAAGGTGCCGAAGCGGCTAGTACGCACACGGCATCGAAAGACACCGTGCGGTACGCCCTTGCGACCCTTATGGCGATCACTCTCTGCGACTGCCTTAGCATCGCCCTATTCTGGGATGCCAATCCGTACGCCCAGATTGGGCACCCGTAGAGGGCCATCGACCGCATGACCCCTGCAAAAAGCCGGCGACGCCCCGCGCTCGGTCCGCCAACGTTCGGCATAATACGGCAAAGCGCCGATGCCGTGGCGGCCAACTTGGGGGCCAGTGCCTTGAAGTGCGGCTTGAAAGTCCACCGAGAGTCGAGGACCAAGCCCAAGTACTTGAGCGTGGACCCGACCCCGATGGATTGGCCGCTCACCACGATGCTCGCACCTGAAGGTGGTGCTCTCCGCGGGCCGTGGAAACATATCGCCTCCGATTTGTGAAGTGCGACTTCCAGGCCGATGTTTCTAATGCGCGCGACCACCTGCGCCACTCCCGCTGTCGCACGCAAGCTCGCCTCTCTGTAATCCCTCCCTTTGGCTACGACAAGTGTGTCGTCCGCGTAACAGATGACGTGTACGCTCCTCATCAAGACACCCCGTAAAACCTTGTCGTAACCAATGTTCCACAAGAGAGGCCCCAGCACAGACCCTTGTGGGACGCCGCACGATACCCTGTGGGTTCCGATACCGTCACGAGTAGGGTAAGTTATTACTCTACCCGTGAGGTAGTCCGTCACGATGTTGACGAGGTACTGCGGCAGGTTGTGAAACCGCAACCCCTCGATGATGCTATCCCAGGGCAAGGTGTTAAACGCGTTCGCGATGTCTAGAGACACCGCGATTACGACCCCACCCTGTGACACCGTCTCGTCGCACAGGTCCCTTAGACGTCCGATGGCGTCAATGGTTGAGCGACACTTGCGAAATCCGAACTGTGTCTCCGCTAAGTCCGGTCCCTCCGACGACAGGTGTCGCTGGATGCGACCGGCCAGGATGCGCTCGAAGAGCTTGCCGGCTTCATCCAGCAACACGATCGGACGGTAAGCCGATGGTGACGTTTCCGGCTTGCCGGGCTTCTTGAGGAGGACCAGTTTCCCCTCCTTCCACTTGTCTGGAAACTTCTCGGCCCTTAGGCACCGGGTTAACAGGTTCCGGTACCGTTCTCCCATCTCATTCTTGATGGCAATTGTGAGCAGTCTCCCGTGTATACCATCGGGCCCAGGAGCTGTCTTTTTGCCCGTCATCCTGTCCAATGCCGCGTCCATTTCCGCAGAAGACACTTCAGGGGGATCCGTCGGTGTAGCACCCGCAGAAGGTCGCGGCTGATGGTTGGCCAAGAGAGGAGAGCTTACCGCCGGGAACAGAGTCGTCACCACCGAACCAAGCAGCGACGGCTCCATACCAGATGTTAGCGGCGGAGCCCAGGGGCGGAGTTTACTCATGACGAGCTTGTATGGCCGCCCCCAGGGATCCGACTCCAGCGTGTCCAGGAGCTCTGTCCACGCTCTCTCTTTTTCCTCTCCTATCTTGACCCGTAAGACCATCTTGGCGTCCTGATATTCGCCGTAAAGTCTTCGCTCCACTAGTGGGTCGCGAGTCCTTCGTCTTCTCCGGTAATGGGTGTACTGGCGGCGGGCCCTCACGCACGCCAATCGGAGTTGCGCAAGCTCCTCCGACCACCAATACACCTGTTTACGAGGGGCTGCCGGTCGGGATCTGGCCATGGAGCTATCTGAGATATCAGCCATGACCTCTCCAAACCGAGCAACCTCGCTCTCTAACGTTGTTCTGTCCAAAGTTGGACACCAGGCCCCGACAACCGAAGCCGTCTCCGCTGCCTCCCTGTCCAGGGTTTTCAAGGCCCATTTGGGCCCGGTCTCCAACGGGATGCGGTTGGGATTTGCTGAATTCGCCAACGGGGGAAGAGTAAACTGGACGTACCGATGATCGGATAGAGTCTCGACCCCCGTCAGCACCTGCCAATCCTGGATTCTCCGTGACAGAGTGGGACTTGCGAAAGTCACATCTATCACGGAGCCCCCTTGCATCCGAACACACGTAAACTCGTTCCCTTGGTTCAAAGGGACGAGATCGTGCTCCGCTATCCATTCCAGGAGCATATCTCCCCGAGCATCCGAGACCGAGGACCCCCATACGATAGATTTCGCATTGAAGTCCCCGGCCACGACTACCCCGAGAGGTCTGCTCCACTCCATTAAGGTACTGACGCCCGCCAGGTATGACTCGAAATCGGCCAGTGACCTGTTGGGCGAGCAGTATGCCCCAATGACGACTATGTTGCCTACCCGACACGCAATACAGCCGCCTCCAGCAAGTGACGAGGCAACGGTGGAAGGGTCGCTGGTGTTGAGCGCGACTATAGCGACTGATTTGTCGCTGGACCCGTACCAGTTGCCCCTATCAGGAACCATATATGGTTCGGCGACAATGCCAATGTTTATCCTCCGCTGTGTCAGGCTCTGCAGGAGAAGATCCTGAGCCCTGGCACAGTGGTTGATATTGGATTGAAGAAATCGTAGGACCATCCTAATCCGCTACGATTTCTTCAGTCTCCATAGTGGAACCCGTCGGCTGGGTACCGCCGGCAGCTGTTGTCGCCGGCTTCGTCTTTCCACCTTTTTTGCTGGGGGCCGAACACTTCTTTCCTCCCAGCCGATGGTCGGCTTTCTTGCCCGATTTCGCGCACAGGGCGCAATGCGAATTCGCAGTGCACGTCTTCGCCAAGTGCCCCGCTTCGCTGCATCGATAGCAGAGCTGGCTGCGATCTTCATCTGGGCACTTTGCCGCTACGTGTCCAGTCCTCAGACACCGGAAGCACCGCATCTCCCTGGGTTTGGCGATCTTGATGACGCCTTCCATCCACCCGACCAGAAAACGACCCACCACCAACTTTTTGGCCGCTGTGGTTGGGACCTGTGCCCATGCCGCATTCCGACCCGTTCGGTCGGGCACCACTGCACCAACTCGGATCTGATCACCAGGGCATTCTCCTTTCTTGGCCAATGCGGCCCTTAGCTCTTCGGAGGTAACCGCGAGGTCCAATGCGGTGACACGCACGTCGGTGAGCTTCACCGGCGTGTACACTTTGATCCCCTCGTCCACGTAGATTGCCTTGAGCTTCGTGGCGAGGAGCTCCGCCTTGGGATGGCTCGAGGCTCCGGGTATCTCCAAGATCGCAGCCCCTGTGACCGCACGCCGGAACTTGACGGATTCGATTCCGACGTCCGCCAAATCAATCTTGGTCTTAGCCTCCCTTAACACCTCCGGGTAGGTGAGACCTCTTCCTTCGGCCTCTTTGGAGACCGATATCACGACGGCCGAAGACCTCGGAACCTTTAACCGAGGCTTGGGCGCCGTCTTCTTCTGGGCAGACTCGCGTGTCTCTCGCGTCTGAGGCGGCTGAGGAGTCCTAGCCGCTTGAGCCTGCGATGTCTTTGGAGCAGACTTTCGTCCTTTCCTCGTCACTGTCGCCCAAGTTTCCTGAACAGGAACGGACGCCGGGTCCTGAGTCTGAGCGCGGGAGGTTGATGGTAGGACCGGTGCCGAGGTCGATGCCACGACGCTTGGAGCTTCCTCCACTTCCCTGTCCTCTCCCTTCCCCTTACTCTTGCTCTTCTTCTTTTTCTTCTTCTCCTCCTTTCTCTTGTCTTCCTTTCGAGTTTCTCCTGCCGTTGCAGCAGAAGTATCTTTTCCCTTAAGGAAGCCCTCCTGGCGAGAAATCCTCTTTTCTGTGTCCGCTTCCTTATTTAGCTTGTCGCGGAGTCTCCCCTTGAGCGCGGGCCTGTAGCTCGGCTCTGGGTTCAGACGACCTTCAAGCCCTTCAATACGAGCGTTGATTCTGTCGGTCACCCGTTGCATCATTCTCGACTCCAGCTCCTCCAAGTTGTTGGCGGAAGTCTGTCCTGACTGCCCCTTCTGGACAAGAGCTTTCAGCTCCGCCATCTCCTTCTGCATCGCTCCAATCTGGCGACGGAGCCGTGCGTTGTCCTCCCTAAGCGCTTGCGTTTCTTCAGAGAGGGTACGCTGTGCGAGCACCGCCGTGTCCTCCTTTAGCTCCGCAACCGCCTTCTTTAAAACTTTGACAAAAGTCCCTTTCAGATTAGAGGACTTTTGGGCCACTTGCTCTACGAGACCGATGCTTGCCTCTATCCTCTCTTGGATATCGATCGGGAGCTCGCGTCCGGGCATATCGGGCACTTCTAGCGACATGGAGCGCGTCTTTTTCGCCTCGATAGCCGAAGCAAGCAGCTCAGCCTCAGCTTGAGCCTCCATCTCCTCTCTCTGGGCTTTAAGATAAGCCCTTTTGGCTTCGGCCAGTCCTATATATTCGCCCGTTGTGGGCGGACGGCCTCTGCCTCTCTTTTTCCCCGCTTTGCTAGGCGTGTCGGTGGAGCTGTCATCGTCCTCCGACAGCCTACTCCGCTTTCTAGTCTCCCAGAATCTAGACTTATCCCTGTCCAGAAATTCTGTACTTACAGATTCGAACAGGCGGCCCGAAGAGCAAGATGGTACACTTACCATCGAGCCGTCGTCCGAATCTGACAACGCTAGATCCGTCATCTGACGGTTAGCATCCTCCACTACTGAAGAGGGTCTTGGCGTCGGCGTACGCACGAGGGACACTCTCAGTTCTTTTCTCTCCTCCTTCTTCGTCTTCTCCCTTTCACATCTTTCAACTCCTTTCCCTTTTACGTCTGTTTGTTTGTTTTTTGGTTCCATAATCATTCTTTTGGGTGTCACTCTTCTAAGTCCGAAAATAAACGGAGCATATCCGAGTAACTTGATGTGTTTATTGGGGAAATAAAAAGTCCATCTAGGCGGAGCCCCACGCCTAGATAACCCTAATACGCCGCGGGGGCGGGAGGTACCGCGGGTCGGCCGCTAATTGCCCGACATGACGCGTCGAGCACCTACAGTGAAGTAGGGGAATGGAGCCGCGCGAGGCCCCTAGGGGCGCCCCAGCACCACTCATTACGGGTTTTTGCTGAGGTTTTCCTTCCTCTTGAGCCGGCCAACTAAGGCAAGCTCCCTGGCCCGGTTCCTGCACGAGACATGACCGCGCAAGAAACAAGGGTAACAGGTCGCCCGACGGAGGATGTAAACACCCCTAACCAGCAATGGCACGTCGCCACCGCCGGCCCGTCGCGCTACGATGGTGCGAACCCACCACTCCACAATATAAAATAAACAAGCTCATAAGAGCAACAAAACTGTACACAATAATATAAAAAATAGAATAAAATATGTACACAGGCGCCGGGCGCCTACAACTCGATACACAGAAATATTTACAAAAATATATACACGTATTCAGGCCGCTTGAGCCCTCTCCCTGTTCCAGGCCTTGAGAGCCAAGCAAACGCCGAGTGCTCAAGAACTCAAAAGCCGAACTTAAAGTTGCAAGCCATAAGGGGGCATCCCCAAAAGAGAATGACCACAGTATCGCTTGCCTACCCCGAGATGAGCGACCCCAATAATCACGTACCATAGAAAATCATTAGGCCCGCCAGATCCCAGGGTCAAATGGCAAACTTTAGAGGAACATCCCAAAATAGTGATGGCCACACTAAAGCCGCCGTCCCGGTTCCAAGCCACGTAAACGTAGGGCGGAGAACCGATCTCGCCACAGTAAAGATTATATACAAGCCAAAAGGGCCATAACAATGTACATCATTTATAACGAACAACAACACAAAAACAGTAAAGTGAAATGAAATAAATAATATGTACACGGGTGAGAAGCACCCTCATCCAAACATTATTTACAAAATGTGCAAGAACTTACCCCACCACGAAGCTCTTCTTCTCTTCCCTGCTCGACCGGTCCCGAAGCAATGTCCAGGTGTCGAGTCCCGCCACGGGTCCAGGCTCCCGTTCCGCAGCAGGTCATCTTCTTCATCGGCTGAGCCGACTTGTGGGCGTAAAAGCCGACTTCTCGGTGCGACGACGGGGGGTAACGACCCCTAACCGGAGGCAACAAGCCATTCCCGGCCCGCCGCCGCTGTGTGCATGGCGCCGACGGGAGACGTGAAACGGTCCGACCCTGACAGCGTAGACGTATCATTTGCCGTCGAGGGCCCGCCGCGCCATATCATCGCACACCCGACCCAGGGCGAAAAGCGCCCCGGGCCCGCGCCATAGGACGCCCTTCCTCGCGCTTCACTGCGCATCGCGGTCTGAGGGACCGCGATAAACAAAACTTCGTCTTCCCCACCCACCACGAAAAACGCGGTTGGCAAGGAACGCCGAAGATGTAGCAAGCCATACAGAGCAATATACAATATTGCAGAGTATCGCCCGCCTCCCAGTTAGCGACCACCGAGTATGCAGGATACGCACCGGTCATCACAAAGTTAACAAACTTTGCCATAGCCGATACCACCCTAACTCAGATGGCCGGGCCCCTCCGGCAACGACAAGCCCTGGGGCTGCACGAGATACTCAAAGTGCAGTGGAGGGGATGGGGGGGGAACCTAACCTAACCTAACCTAACCTAACCTAACCTAACCTAACCTAACCTAACCTAACCTAACCTAACCTAACCTTTTTTTTTTTTTTTTTTTTTACTTGGAGGAATCGAGTCTTTACCGACGCCCCCGCCGGGCCAAGTGCAATGGCGGGGGGAGTGTGGGGGTCAACCGCTAGTCGGCCACTACCCACTAAACCATCCAAGAGCCCGTCTGCCACTGCTCTGTTCGGTCAAGGGGCTGGTATCAGCTAAGCCTTTGCCCAGCCCCGAGCCGAGGGCAGATGTCGCACAGCTTGCGCGCGCGTATCGCCGTCTTGGCCTTCTTCTGCCTATGTTTCCATAGGAGCCCCTGTTGGAGGGGCCTTGGCCCCATTCGTGGGGTCCTTTTTGCGCGCCCTTTTGGGAGGCGCTTTACACTTAGCGCCACCCAACTTATGCTTCGCGTCCTTGCCGGCTGCCGCGCATATGGCGCAATGTGGCTCGGCCGTGCAGGACGCGGCGACATGGTCGGGCTGGCTACATCGGTAGCACAGCCGACTACGGTCACATTCTGTGACACAGCGGCCCGCGATGTGTCCGCTCTCCAAGCACTTGTAGCAGCGGAGTGCCCGGGGTTTTGCCACAGTCACTTTTGCCACCACCCATCCGACGAGGAGCTTGCCTTCTGCAAGCTTCTTTGCGACTTCGATAGGAGCCCGTACCCAGACTGAATACAGACCCCACCTGCCGTCCCTCTTTTGGCCAATTTTTACTTCATTAAATTGGCATCCTCCTTTTTTGGCTATTGCATCTTGCAACTCAAACTCGCCAACCGACTCGTCAATTCCCGAGATCCGAATATCTACGGTCTTCACGGGCCGCTTCACCGTCATCTTCTCGCCGAACAATGTCCCCAGCTTTTCAGCCAGGGCATCGGCTTTTGGGCCGCTGTTCGCTCCAGGGAGCTCCAGTACTGTGGCCCCCGTTGCCGCCTTGCGGACTCTGAGGGTCTCAAGACCCGTAATCTCCTTGAGATCTATCTTCGACCTCGCAATAAGCAGGGCCTTCTGATACGTCAGCATCGCCTTCTCCTTTCCCTCGTCCGTGAGGGTGAGGACTATTGCCGACGACCGGGGAGTCCTGAGCTTCGGCTTTGCCTTAGCTTTGGGACTTTTCTTGGCTTTGGTTGCCTTCCCCGGTGCCGCTTGCGGATGCGACTTCTCTTTCTTCTTCTTCCTTTTGACCACCGTGGCCCAGGTTTCCTCCAGAGAGTCTGGGTTCGGCGGCCTCGGGTCCTCCTTTTCCTTTGACTTTTCACTCTTCTTCTTTGCCCTTTCAGGTCCAGGGGGTAAAGCAGACACCACAGGCGCAGTGGCCGCTACCGTCTTCTTTTCCCTTCTCTTCTTATCGGCCGCCAGCGGAGGCCGAAGCAACGGCGCAGGGTTGAGCCTCGGCTCGAGCCCCTCAATGCGGGCATTTACCCTGTCTCCCAGCTTACGTAGGATGCTCGCCTCTAACTCCTCCATGTTTGGAGGTCCGGAAGACTTCTGCAGCTTCTCTACTTTCTGCGTGAGCTCTTCTAGCTTCTCCCTCAGTTGCTGGTTCTCGGCGCTCAGGACCCTCGTCTCCTCACTAATGGTTCTCTGGATGAGAACCTGCGAGTTGTCCCTAATCGCCGAGACCGCTTTCTTCAATGCGTAGACGAAAGTTCCTTTGAGATTTCCAGATCTCTTCGCCACGCCTTCTATCACCTGTAAGCTCGCCTCAATGCCCCTGCGAGCATCCAAGGCCGAGCGACTAGCCGGGTCACCGGTGTCCACGATGTCCGCTTCATCCCATTGCATCGAAGACACCGACGATGCACGCGTTGATCTCAGCTCCGATGCGGAAGCCGCAAGTTCGGCCTCAGCCTGGAGCCTTATCTCCTCTCTTCTAGCCTTCACTAAGGCCTGCTTCGCCGCAGCCAGTCCGACGTACTCGCCGGTTGTCGGTGGGCGACCTCTCCCTCTCGGCTTCGACGATTCTGGCGCCTCGCTCCCACTACCACTCGATGCACCAGATCGACTCCGCTTTCGCGCTGACCTCGGTCCGAAGTAGCGCCTCTTCCCCGCCGTGTCGCAACTCGACACCGTCTCCATAGACCCTTCGGACGAGTCCGAGAGCCTACCATACTCCTCCTCAATGGCCGCACAAGATCGAGCGGCGGCCGCTACGGATGAACTTGGTGAAGAGCAAAGACGCTCCAACACCACCTTCGCATCCGAATATCTCCACTCTCTACCATGGGGGTTGCCGGCCTCCAGAGTACGATCCGGCTTAACCGCCGCCCCTTCACCATTGCTGGATCCAGAGCGACGGGTGGGATTTGACCCACCTGGAGTAGGTTTACTTTTCGTAGGTGCCTCCATGTTGTTTTTTTGTTGTTTGGTGCCTTAGGGGCTGGACTCCCACCAGCCATTCATCCCCTCGCCAGGCACCACAGACTTAGGATTGGGGGTGCGCTGCCTATGTCAGCGCACCTCGCGGACAACGAGCCCGCCATCCACCGTGCCGAAGCACCGCTCTCGGTTCTAGACCGCCTAACGCGGCAGAGAACCGATCTCCGCCGTAAAACTATATACAAAATCTACAAAGTAAAAATTAAATATATACAGGGGTGAGAAGCACCCTCTCCAAAAACACTATTTACAAAAATAAAATGTGCAAAACTTACCCTAGAGCTCCTTCCACCCTGCTCGACCGGTCCCGAAGCAATGTCCAGGGGTCGAGTCCCGCCGCAGGCCCAGGCTCCCGTCCCATTACAGGCTCAGGCTCCCGTTCCGCAGCAGGCCATCCTCTTCATCGGCTGAGCCGACTTGTGGGCGTAAAAGCCGACTTCTCGGTGCGGCGACGGGGGGTAACAACCCCTAACCGGAGGCTACAAGCCATTCCCGGCCCGCCGCCGCTGTGTGCATGGCGCCGACGGGAGACGTGAAACGGTCCGACCCTGACGGCGTAGACGTATCATTTGCCATCGAGGGCCCGCCGCGCCATATCCTCGCACACCCGACCCAGGGCGAAAAGCGCCCCGGGCCCGCGCCATAGGACGCCCTTCCTCGCGCTTCACTGCGCATCGCGGTCTGAAGGACCGCGATAAACAAAACTTCGTCTTCCCCACCCACCACGAAAGACGTGGTTGGCAAGGAACGCCGAAGATGTAGCAAGCCATACAAAGCAATATACAATATTGCAGAGTATCGCCCGCCTCCCAGTTAGCGACCACCGAGTCTGCAGGATACGCACCGGTCATCACAAAGTTAACAAACTTTGCCATAGCCGATACCACCCTAACTCAGATGGCCGGGCCCCCCCGGCAACGACAAGCCCTGGGGCTGCACGAGATACTCAAAGTGCAGTGGGGGGGGAACCTAACCTAACCTAACCTAACCTAACCTAACCTAACCTAACCTAACCTAACCTAACCTAACCTAACCTAACCTAACCTAACCTAACCTAACCTAACCTAACCTAACCTAACCTAACCTAACCTAACCTAACCTAACCTAACCTAACCTAACCTAACCTAACCTAACCTAACCTAACCTAACCTAACCTAACCTAACCTAACCTAACCTAACCTAACCTAACCTAACCTAACCTAACCTAACCTAACCTAACCTAACCTAACCTAACCTAACCTAACCTAACCTAACCTAACCTAACCTAACCTAACCTAACCTAACCTAACCTAACCTAACTCATTAAATTCATCTAAGACCCAAACATCTTAGATGAATACAAAACCCTAAAAGAAAACTACGCAGACAAACTTAAACAGACCTCAACAGAAAGCTTTAGATCATTTTGCTCCCTCCAAACAAAAGAAAATGTCTGGTCACTGACAAACAGACTATTAAAATCACGAGGATTCAACCCACCACCTCAAACGTTACGCAGGAAAAATAACACGTACACCACCACGGCACAAGAAACCGCGCAGGAATTGCTTAAACACTTTTACCCAGACGACGGGCCCGACACCGATCCTACACATATTCAAACTCGCGTCACGTCGAACAATATACCCAACACCCAAGATGACCCAGAATTTAGCCAGGAAGAGGTTCTAGAGACCCTCCGTCAAATGAACCCTAATAAGGCTCCAGGCCACGACCACCTTACGAGCGACATATGCTCGATGGTTGCAAGCCAATATCCTGGATTAATCACTAACATACTGAACCGATGTCTTTCACTAGCATATTTCCCAAGTACATGGAAGAAAACCATTGTAAAAGTCATCCCTAAACCATCAAAAACTGACTACACCGATCTATCAGCCTATCGCCCAATTGGTCTTATACCAGTATTTGGAAAAACGCTAGAAAAACTCTTTACTAAACGGCTCGTATACTCTTCACAGCGGCAAAAAACACTCAACACTGAACAATACGGATTCACCCAACAAACAGGTACAACACAAGCCATTCTCTCGATAATTAATAAAGTCAAAGCAGCTAAGCAAAAACATCAAGAAGTATCAGTAGTTTCACTCGATATAAAGGCGGCATTCGATAACGCGTGGTGGCCAGCTATCCTTAGCGGTCTTAGGGACGTCGGATGCCCCCTAAATATATATAAACTTATTAATAATTATCTCTCGGACCGCACCGTCAATTTAACAATAGGCGAACACACTACCAGCAAAACCAATAACAAAGGCTGTATACAGGGTTCGGCATGTGGACCCGTTCTGTGGAATATTCTGATCAATAAATTACTCAACACCAGATTTCCGCCCGGGTGCCACCTACAAGCTTTCGCAGACGACGTAGTGCTGCTGGCCACAGCATCAGACACAGACACTCTACAACGAATCACGAACACTTCACTAGATACCATCTTTCAATGGGGTAAAAGCGTAAAATTAGAATTCGGTCCAGAGAAAACACAATTAATTCACTTTTCAAATAAAGCCCAAAAAACCCAAATTAAAATAAACAATATTACGTTAAAACCGGTAGAAACAATAAAATACTTAGGTGTCATTATTGATCGCAGACTGACATTTAAAAATCACATAAACTACATCATTCAAAAATCACAAAACTTATTTAACAAACTTTGCAATTTTATAAGACCCACTTGGGGCATACATTCTGATAATATAAAAACAATATACCATATGGTCATAGTCCCAACCATCACATACGCCGCGGGAGTCTGGGGCGACTCCGTAAATATAAAAACCTACAAAAACAAAATCCTCTCATTACAGCGAATGTTTGCAATCAAAGCCATCCGCGGATTCCGTACCATCTCCCTAAACGCAGCCCTCGCGCTCGCAGAATTTCTTCCATTAGACATAAAAATAAATGAAATCCAATGCATCGAAAAAGCCCGCGTCGAGCACCAAACTCACTTAATTCCATCCGACATCCCCATCGAGACACCCACACACCCCTCACAACTCTTACACCCCTCGGTTCGCACAGGCATCAGACACACAACATATAAAAACAACCTACACAAACACATCAAACCCGCGCCCCACGACATATACACAGACGGAAGCAAACAAGAGAACGGAGAAACTGGAGCAGCATTCATTGTCCACTCGCCTAACACACACTTAACCATACACACATCAAAAATTAAACTCCACCCCACGAGTAGCATTTTTCAAGCCGAACTCCTCGCTATTAAAGAGGCATGCAAATGGGCAACTAAAAATAATACCAGCTGCATCATACATTCGGACTCACGATCGGCACTGACGGCATTAGAACAAATATCCAATACCCACCCATTAGTTAGCAGCATACACCGGATATTACACCAAAACAAGCACACACAGATACAGTTCAAATGGGTTCGAGCCCATACCGGTATTGTAGGTAACGAGAAAGCAGATGCCGCTGCTAAAGCAGCTTCCAAAGCCCATAAGGCCCCTAATTTCATTAGTTGCCCCTTATCACATATAAAACACATTGCACGATTAAAATCCTACACCACTTGGGAAAAGAGGTACTTGGAGGAGCCCACGGGGGCAAGAACCAGGTCTCTCCTACCATCACTTAAAGACATACACAAACTAAACACGACACTTCCGGTTTCTTTCCACCTCACTCAGTTCGTCACAGGGCACTCGTACACAAAACAATACTTACACAGATTTAATATCACCTCAGATGACAAATGCCCCTGTGACAACACTAGCATCCAAACATTTACACACCTTATAAATGACTGCTCCAGGTTCTCCTCCCAAAGGCACGATTGCCTACAGGCACAAGTTAGGAACAAAACACCAGACACCTTCACACTAAAAGACTCTCTCCTAAACAGAGCTGCGATCGACGCCATCGATAAATTTATTAAATATATAGTTAATAACTTAAAATTGTTCAATAAAACTTAAATGTAACCAATAAATTTCTCCCATTGTAAAAAGTTAAAGTCCCTAACTGTAATAACCTCACAGCAAGCAACTTAGCATTGTATAACCTTATATATATATATGTAAATACTTTGTTTGTATAAATATAAGAAAATTATGTATTAATGTCACAAATTGGATTGTATAATAAAGCTCTCAATTATATAAATATAGAATGTAAGTTAAACAATGTTAATGTATAGCTTGTAGACACTAAGGAAAACTTGATTTGTATAGCGACTCTAATTCTAAGAAACCACATTTTGTAAATACCCAGTGTAAAAGGAACTTTGTGAAAAGACTGTATCCAATAGCAGCATCCACAAAGTTTCTTCCCCTAAAATCTGTATATCACTCAAACACCAATACCAATGTACCAATAAGAAAAAAAAAAAAAAAAAAAAAAAACCTAACAACCTAACCTAACCTAACCTAACCTTTTCCTTTTTTTTTTTTTTTTACTTGGAGGAATCGACTCTTTACCGACGCCCCCGCCTGGCCACATCGAGTGGCGGGGGGAGTGTGGGGGTCGGCCAGCTTGACCACTACCCACTAAACCTCCAAGAGCCCACGGGAGACTTGCCGGACGCGAGCGAGCGGTTAGTTGCCCTTGACCCGCATGCCCGCGCCCGTGTGTCCTGCCGCGCGTGTTTCCCGCGCGCGGCTCGCCCTACGTGGCCGGTTGATGGCCACGTCTCCTGGCTCGGTCCTAAGACCGAGGTCACGGCTGGCGCCGGGCGTAATCGCGCCGGCGCCGCCCAAGTCTCTTCCGTCTGAGGCGCATCCGCAGTGATGGCAGGAGTCTGTTTCCTCCCGCCGGATCCTGTGCAGGTATTTGCCGAAGCACCCGTGCCCCGACAAAATCTGCACCGCGTGAAAGGACAAGGATCCCCACCGCTTCGTCTTCAGCCATTCGGGCAGGACGGGCGCGATCGCTTGAAGCGTATGCGCGCCTACCCGAGAGGTGGCAAGATGCTCTTGCCACCGCGCAACGACAACCCTTTGGCCGTCCTCCCTCCAATCCTTGAGGAGCTCGTAAGTGAGCTCCTCGCCTCGACTCCGGACTTCAGCCCGGCGCCAGTAAATGTCGGCTAAGGCAGCCGCCTCCAGGTGCCAGGGTGCGAGCCCGGCTATTGCGCACACCGCGTCATAGGACACGGTGCGGTACGCCCTCGCCACCCTGAGCGCCATCACCCGTTGCGACTGCCTCAGCAGCGCAAGGTTCTGCGCCGACAAATCCTGGGCCCATATGGGGCAGCCATAGAGCGCCTTGGAGCGCACAACGCCGGCGTACAAGCGGCGACACCCCTCGCTCGAGCCGCCAAGGTTCGGCATAATTCGGCACAAGGCCGATGCCGTGGCGGCGAGCTTCGGGGCAAGTGCCGCAAAGTGCGCCTTGAAGGACCACCGAGAGTCGAGAACCAACCCCAAATACTTTAGGGTGGACCCTATCTCGATGGCCTCTCCGCCGACGATGATCTGCGCCCCGCTCGGCGGCGCTCTCCTGGGACCGTGGAATGCGATCGCCTCTGATTTGTTCAGGGCGACTCGCAGGCCAATCCTCTGGATCCGCGCCACGACCTGTGCCACCCCGGCCGTGGCGCGAAGCTTGGCCTCGCGGAAGTTGTCGCCCCTCGCGACCACCAGGGTGTCATCCGCGTAACAGATGACGCTGACACCCGTGATCAGAGAGCAACGCAGGACCCCGTCATAACCGATGTTCCACAGGAGTGGACCTAACACCGACCCCTGCGGCACACCGCAGCTGACGGGGTGGGAACCCCATCCTTGCCTCCTGGGGAACGTGATGCGTCTTGCCGTGAGATACGACGCAATCACGTCGCGAAGATAGACAGGCACGCCATGGTAGCGAAGCCCATCCATAATCGCCTCCCAGGGCAGGGTGTTGAACGCGTTGGCAATGTCCAGCGACACCGCCAAAACAACCCCGCCCTCCGCCACAGTCCCGTCTGACACATCGCGCAATCTCGCGATCGCGTCGATTGTCGACCGCCCCTTCCGAAAGCCAAACTGGCAATCGGATAGGTCTGGCCCCTCCAGAGCCAAGTGCTGCTGGATGCGTGTCGCTATTATACGCTCAAAGAGCTTTCCCGCTTCGTCCAGCAGCACGATCGGCCGATACGCCGAAGGCGAGTCCGGCGGTTTGCCAGGCTTCTGGAGAAGAACCAGCTTTCCCTCCTTCCACAAGTCCGGGAAGACACGATTCCGCAGACAAGCCGACAACAGCTTGCGGAACCGCTCGTCGAGGCCGAATTGCAAGGCAAGAGACAGAACTTTCCCGTGCACCCCATCAGGGCCGGGAGCCGTCCTCTTGCCTCGCGTCCTGTCCAAGGCCGAGCTGAGCTCGGCCGATGTCACGTCCGGTGCCCCCGCGTCCGGGGGTGTCGTCGACTGGGAGGGAAGCGAAGCATCCGCATGGGGAAACAAGGCCGACACGACTGAGTTCAGAAGTGCCGGCTCCATGCTGGATGTCAGGGGTGGGGCCCAGGGGCGCAGCTTGCTCATTACAAGCTTGTACGGCCGCCCCCATGGGTCTAGCTCCAAGGTGCTCAGGAGCTCCTCCCACGCCCTTTCCTTCGCCTCCGCGATCTTCATCCTCAGGGCCTTCTTTGCCTCCTGATAGAGGCAATAGAGGCGCCCTTCCTCTTCGGTGTTCCGCGAGGCACGCCGTCTCCTCCTGTACCTGGTGTACTGGCGTCGGGCCACCACACAAGTCAACCGAAGTGCGGCCAACTCCTCCGACCACCAGTACACCTGCCTACGCGGCGGAAGAGGACGGGACCGAGCCATTGAAGCGTCACAGATACGCTCCAAGGCCGCCCCGAACCACTCCACCTCCTCCCTCACCGAAGAAGACTCCGGCTCTGGACACCAGGTGGCCACTATCGAGGCCACCTCCACCATCTCCCTGTCCAGAGACTTCAGGGCCCAACGAGGGCCCCTCTGCGCCGGAGGGGCGCCAGGCCCGATCGCCGTGGATTGAGAGGAGACACTGAACCGTATGTAACGGTGATCAGACAGCGTCTCCTCCCCGTCCAACACCTCCCAGTCGACGATGCGGCGCGCAAGCCCGGGGCTGGCAAAGGTAAGGTCCACTATGGACCCCCCCTGCATGCGGACGCACGTCTGCGTCGAGCCCCGGTTCACGAGCGCCAGGTTGTGCGCGGCCATCCACTCCACAAGGACGTCGCCACGAACATCCGAGGTTGGGGAACCCCACACTGCCGATTTGGCATTGAAGTCCCCCGCCACGACCACCTCATTCGGGCGACTCCACTGCACAAGGGCATCCACTTCCGCCAGGAACCCCTCGAACTCCGAGAGAGTCCTGTTGGGCGAGAAGTAGACCCCCACAACCGTGATGTGGCCGCACTTCACTGCAGCACAACCCTGGCCTCTCCGTGAAGAGACAATTGGGGGAGAGCCACCGGCTCCGGTGACGACAATGGCGACAATTTCGCCAATGTCCCCGACCCAATTGTCCCCTTGCTGCACCGCGTATGGCTCCGCAATCACCGCGATGTTTATGGACCACTGCGCCAGGCCCTGGAATAGAAGATCCTGGGCCCTGGCGCAATGATTCAGGTTCGCCTGGAGGAACCGTAGGGCCATACTAGGCCCCTACGGTCTCGGCAACCTCCATCGCGGTCCCGCTCGGAGGGACGGCGGCCCGCTTCTCCGGGACTCTCCGCCGCATCTTTTTGGTGGGGGCCGAGCACTTGGCACCACCCACCCGATGGTTTGCCTCTTTGCCAGCCGCTGCGCAAACCGCGCAATGCGGGCTGGCCGAACACGAGGCCGCCAAGTGCCCAGGCTGACCGCACCTGTAGCAAAGACCGCTACGATCGCTCGCGCAATCGCAACGGCTCGCCACATGGCCAGCCTCCAGGCAACGGTAGCAGCGAAGCGCCCTGGGTTTTCCCAGAGTTACTCTCGCCGCCACCCAACCCACCAAAAGTCTGCCCTCCAGCAGCTTCTTTGCGGAGCCAACGGGGACATGCGCCCAAAGGGCGCCAAGCCCCGTGCGATCCCGCCGGATGTCGCCGACTCGCACCTGCCAGGGAGAACACTCTCCCTTTTTGGCGACAGCAGCCGCCACCTCCTCCTTTGTGACGGAGTCATCCAGGCCCGAGAGCCTGACGTCGACCGCTTTCTGCGGCCGCGTCACCTTGACGACTCCGCTGTCGAAGATCTCCCCGAGCTTGCTCGCGAGAGCATCCGCCTTTGAGCTACTCGCGGCTCCGGGGAGCTGGAGAATGGTGGCTCCAGTCGCCGCCTTTCTGACCTTTAGACCCTCAAGGCCTGTGATAGCCTTGAGGTCCAACTTCTCCCTGGCCTTCCGGAGGACGTCACTGTAGGAGAGTCCCTCCTTGGACCCCTCCTCAGTGACCGTCAGGACGACAGCCGACGACCGAGGAACCCGAAGTTTCGGCTTCTTAGCCGGTTGAGGGCCGGATGCCTTCCCGGCCCCCCTCCTCGGACGCGACCGCACCTCCTTGTCCTTCGCCGCAGGAGCTTGCCGAGCTCGTGTTCGCGTCGGCAACTCCCGGGGCGCCTCCTTGCGAGCCGGCTTCTTCTTCCTGGCCACCGTGACCCAGCTTCCCTCCAGGGAGTCCGGGTTCGGCAGCCTCGCCGGGGATCGCCCTCGGACGGGGGCATCGGGGACGGAAGAGCGGGTCGCGGCAGAAGTGGACGGAACCACCCTACCTGGACCCTTTGGTCCCTTCTTCTTCGCCGCCGCAGCGGCCGCAGGAAGGTCCCTGCCTCTTCCGTCTGCCGCCAATGGCGGCCTGAGTCTGGGCGCGGGGTTCAACCGAGGCTCGAGTCCTTCGAACCTCGCGTTGATGCGTTCCCCTATCTTCCGCAGAAGCCCCGCCTCAAACTCCTCCATGCTGTTGGGGAGCCGAGAGGACTTCTGCAGGTCCTCCACCTGGCGCGCCAATTGCTCCAGCTGCTCCCGGAGCCGCTGGTTTTCGGCGCGCAGAGCCCTCGTCTCCTCACTAACTGTCCTCTGGATGAGGACGGACGAGTTCTCCCTGATGGACGCCACCGCATCCCCCAGAGCGCGGACAAAGGTCCCCTTGAGGTTCCGGGACCCCTTTGCCACGCTCTGAATCACGCCCAAACTCTCCTCGATGCCCCTAAGAGCGTCCGAGGCGGAACGAGGCGCGGAGACACAGGTGCCTGCCATGTCTCCCTCGTCCCACGCGAGCGACGCCACAGAAGAAGGCCGCGTCGATCGGGCTTCCGAGACAGAAGCCATGAGCTCAGCCTCTGCCTGGAGCCGGACCTCCTCCTTTCGGGCCTCATTAAGGGCCTTTTTCGCGGCCGCCAACCCGACGTACTCGCCAGTGGTTGGCGGACGTCCCCTTGGTCGCTTTCCTGCGGCCTTCTTCGCAACAGAGAGTGGGGTGTCTGTGGAAGACCCCTCTTCTGGCGATTTCTCTCCCTCTTTGGGTCGTTTCCGCTTCTGGCGCCAGAAGCGGCTCGACTCCGACTCTCCGACCGGACCGACCGAGGCAGCGGACGATACGCTGACAAGGTCGGAATCCGTATCGGATAAATTGAGCGAGGCCCTGGAGGACCCCGCACTTCTACTGGCCCTTGACAAGGATGACGCCGACAATCTTGTCAGCACCACCCTGGGCCCTCTCCTCACTCCCACTTCTTCCTCTTTTCCTCCTTCCTCTTCACTCCCACTACGTTTTTTGTTTTTATTTTGTTTTTCACCTTCCATTCCTCAAAATTCATGTTTTAAATGTTGCGCCTCGCTACAAGGCGCAACGGCATTTCTTTTGTTTTAAGGGAAATGCTAAGTCCACCCGGGCAGAGCCCTGTACCCGGGTAACCCTAATACAACTGGCGGTCGGGCGGTCGCCAGAGGTTGGCCGCTAGCTGGCCCGGTTACTGCCGGACCACCCACTCACCCTGCGGGCAAGCGGGGGCGTGGTGCCGCGCAGAGGTCCGTAGACGCCCCAACACCACACAAAATTCAGGGTTTTTTCTGAGGTTTTCCTTCCTCTTGGGCCGGCCGATTAAGGCAAGCCCCCTGGTCCCAGGTGCGCCGCGAGACATGATCCACGACACGCACCCGGGGAAACAGGTTTGCCCGACGGAGGGCCGAAACCCCTAACCAGGCGCAGCACATCGCCACGCCCGGCCCGCCGCGCCGCGGTCCACCACCACCGCCGTCCGTGGTGACTCCACCACCATACTGCGCCATGAAGGCCACTGGTCTCAACAGACCCCAACAACCGTGCTCGGAGGCACGCTCGCAGCGCTCTGAGGTGAGCGCTGCGTCTCCGTGATCGGTCTCCGCGTCGTCTTCGGAGACCGACCGATGGATCCAATTAGCTTCGTCGTGCAATAGTGGCCAGAATCGGCAGACCCACAGACAGTCTGTTGCCGATTAGGCACCTGGCCACTATAATAAGCACCGACTACTGAGCCCCCCGCCGCGACAAGGCCTGGATCATGGGGGGGAACCTTTTTTTTTTTTTTTTTTTTTTTTTTTTTTTACTTGGAGGAATCGACTCTTTACCGACGCCCCCGCCGGGCCACATCGAGTGGCGGGGGGAGTGTGGGGGTCGGCCAGCTTGACCACTACCCACTAAACCTCCAAGAGCCCACGGGAGACTTGCCGGACGCGAGCGAGCGGTTAGTTGCCCTTGACCCGCATGCCCGCGCCCGTGTGTCCTGCCGCGCGTGTTTCCCGCGCGCGGCTCGCCCTACGTGGCCGGTTGGTGGCCACGTCTCCTGGCTCGGTCCTAAGACCGAGGTCACGGCTGGCGCCGAGCGTAGTCGCGCCGGCGCCGCCCAAGTCTCCTCCGTCGGAGTGCGGGGGCATCGGGAGCAATCTCCCTCGCCCTCTCCGCTTCCTCCTTTCGCGAGAGGACGTCGGCGCAGAAGGCCTTAAAGGCCTGCCACAGAGCGTCGTCCGCGCTCCTAACTATCCCTGCCACAATGGCGGGCAGGGATAGATCCGCGCCGAATGCTCCGGCCAGGGCAGTCCTCTGACTCGCCCAGGCCGGGCATGCCTCCAAGGTGTGTTGCGCCGTGTCTGAGGCGCATCCGCAGTGATGGCAGGAGTCTGTTTCCTCCCGCCGGATCCTGTGCAGGTATTTGCCGAAGCATCCGTGCCCCGACAAAATCTGCACCGCGTGATAGGACAAGGATCCCCACCGCTTCGTCCTCAGCCATTCGGGCAGGACGGGCGCGATCGCTTGAAGCGTATGCGCGCCTACCCGAGAGGTGGCAAGATGCTCTTGCCACCGCGCAACGACAACCCTTTGGCCGTCCTCCCTCCAATCCTTGAGGAGCTCATGAGTGAGCTCCTCGCCTCGACTCCGGACTAGAGCCCGGCGCCAGTAAATGTCGGCCAAAGCAGCCGCCTCCAGGTGCCAGGGTGCGAGCCCGGCTATCGCGCACACCGCATCATAAGATACGGTGCGGTACGCCCTCGCCACCCATGGGGGGGGAACCTAACCTAACCTAACCTAACCTAACCTAACCTAACCAGTCGCAGCCCATCCGCCGAGCGGAGCGCACACGTTCCGCGTCGCTCCGCACTTTAAAAATCCGGAAAATAGTCAAAGTTTGAATATCAAAGTGAAAGTTATGCCAAAGTGTAGTGTTTTGTGTTCTCTACACGGGAGTGTAATTATCTTGGACCTGGACCAAAAATTCCGGGACTTAGGACCTCATTTGGACCTTTTTAGGTTAAAAATTGACTAAGTTAAGTGGTTTCATGTGTGCGGCTCTCGATTTATCGCGGTAACCCCATGTTATTATTATGTACTTTTAAAGTGACTGTGGACTTCTACATTCTGTGAAAATTTCAGATTTTTACCATTTGTTTTTACAAAGTTATGGACTTTTTTCCGAAAACCACGTGTCAGTGAAAATCGAAAATACAAGTGTCAGCAGGAAGTGTTATATATCGTTTTAACCGATGATATATAGATCATGATCAGGCGACTTTTGGTTTTCGAGTTATCAAAGATTTTCGTGAAAAATTTTTTCGTCATTTCTTCGAGAGATAATATCTCGCTGGAACGATCGGTGACACCCCTTTTTGGACTTTTATTATGTTAGTGCTCAGTGCAAAGAACATTCCTGCCAATTTTCGGATTTTTCCCGTGAGTACTTTTAAAGATATTGACTTTTTACAAAAAACCACGTGGCGACAAAAGTGACATTTTTGTGCATCAGGGCCTTGTGTTATACATCGTTGGAACCGTTCGACGCCCTTTTCAACGGTATATTAGACATTTTGCTCACTCAAAAATTTCTGCCAAAAATCTCTCTCTGCTTTTTGCAGAAAATGGTCAGCCCACCTTGACTTTAAAAATTTTTTGTGAAGTGCAGTGAAGGACTATAATTTAATGAACATTACTAGCTTATAGAACATTTATTCAAGTGCAATCCAGACAATTTTCATGACCCTCAGTCAAATAGTGTATTTTTAGCGAATTTTTCCCCGGAAGCGGTACAAATCCGCCATTCCCGCATAACTTTGTAAAGCGCGGTCGCTCGAAACTAAGCGTCGGAGAGCAGTTCTGACCGAATTTTCGTTCACTCTGTGTGAAGCAATTATAAGGGCAACCAACATCGTGAACATTCCACCACCTCCAGAATCGAAGATTTTTGTACTTCGAGGGGAATAACTCCTGGACCCGAAGAGCTGGTCTGGTCCCGACCATGGGGGATCAGAGTAGAGGTCCTGGCGCAACGGGGACAGGTGACCCCCCCCTCCTCCCCTCCACCATTGAGGAGATATCATGTGTGGACTCCTTTCAAAACGTCCTTGGAAAATTAATCACATGTATTATAGAGACTGTTAACGATGGTAAACATGTTACTGCTGCCAACAGAAGAAAGATCGTTGCGGCTGCCGAGGAAATCCGCTCAGCAGCCCGCATATTACCTGGCGTCATTGGCGCACCACTCCAGTCGTCTCCGCAATCTTCCATCGCCTCCGATGATCTTAAAAGGGACATTATTGATGCGGTGCGAAAGGAGATGACCAGCTTCAAGCAGCAGCTCGCTGCTGCCCACCAGCCATCACCCATCATGACTCATGCCCAGGCAGTCCGTGCAACTCCTTCTCGGTCTGTAACTTTCCCGACAGCTTCCCCTCCCACCCCTCCCGTCTCCAAACCCGCTCTCATCGTTTCATCGAAGAAAGACTCTTCATCTTCCTCTGATACGTTAAACTGCTGGAGGAAGAACGTGTCCTTCCGGGACACTAACTTCGCCCCGGCGGGCGTCCACTTTGTCTCGAATGGCAAGCTGCGCGTCGAGTTCGACCGTCCAGAACAACTGGAGGTCGCCATGAAGAAGATTGGGGAGTCCAACCCCGAGATCCAGGCCGAAGTCTCTCGTAAGTTAAGACCTATGTTTATTGTTAAGGGTGTTAGCTCTGATATCTCCGCCACTGATCTTAAATATATAATTATTAATCAAAACGAAAATATCAAAGCTAACATCCGAAACGAAGCCGACGTTGAGTTTAAGTTTAAACGACCCAATAGAAACTCAAACCTCTATAATGCTGTATTTGTCTCTGCTCCTTACCTTTGGCGTCATATCGTTCAATCACTTAAGCTCAACATCGACCATCAACGTGTACACGTTGAAGATTTCACCCCGCTTTTGCAATGTTTTAAATGCTTAAAATTCGGACACACCCGTAAGTTTTGCAAGACCGAAGAGACTCATTGCTCCCACTGCGCTGCTTCTAACCACGAGTTTAAAGACTGTCCAGTCAAAAAAGATCAATCCAAATTAACCTGTTTTAACTGCAAAGCTTATAACAACGAGAAGAACGGTGGAAGCAAGGGGCCTCTAGATCACGGGGCAGCTTCAGATGCTTGTCCAAGGAAGCAGTTTATGGTCGGCCGTACTAAGTCCAAGGTTGATTATGGATCATAGTTCTTTCAATTATAACACCCTTAGTTCTACATATATCCCTAACAATAATAATTATAAAAATTCCATACAAATCAACCTTGGACGTAGTAGAAACGCTCTACACGAGCTTCTTACTTATATTTCAGATAGCGCACCTGAGTTTGTCTTTATTACTGAACCATATACTAGCAACATTGACTCTATGAAAATGACTAACTCTGACTATACACTTTATCAATTCCCTACTTCCCGTCCCACCCTTGCAGCCCTTGCTATCCGAAAAAACACTGTTTCCACCCTTGGTATTTCGTCGCATTCCACCTCTAATCTTTGCATTGTTCAATGCAGAGATCGTATCTCTAACAGAAAGATTTTTCTTATTTCTGTGTACATAGAACCTCGACATGACACATTCAATACTTTAACTAACTTAGAACAATTTATTTTATATAATAATAACGCTTCATTTTTAATTTGCGGGGATTTTAACGGGTGGCATGGTTTATGGGGTTCTAGAACCAACAATGGTAGGGGAGATCTAATCTTTGACCTTATCTGTAATAATAATTTCATCATACACAACACAGGCAACTCACCAACATTCCACACTGTCACACATCAACTTCCACGCGAATCAATCATAGATCTCACTCTCAGTAGTAATTGCTCACACATTCATATAAATAATTGGTCAGTTAATTCGGGTTTAATAGTTAGTTCAGATCATTTTCCAATTACCTTTAAAGTTTCATTTAACAATATTGCATTCACAAAAAACAAAAAACTCTCTACATTTAGGTATAACACATCCTTTATTCGTTGGAAGGACATACAGGACGAGTTTACAGATGAGGTCGGGAGGGAGCTCCCCTCCGTAGAGACCATTAACTCCGCGAACTCACACGATCTAGATATAATTATTAATAAACTTACCTCGACTCTGCAAAGAACATGCGATAAATTCCTCCCCCGGTCCCGTCATGCCCCTCCCAAAGCTCCCTTCTGGAACGAAAATTTACAATTATTAAAGGAAAAAGTACTTCACGCTCACCACAGGTTGTGCCGATTCGTACGGCGCAAACTACCCCTTAACGACGTTATCGCTGAGAGGGATAGAGCTCGAAAGGATTATTCAATCGCTTTTTGCGCCGCCTCGACCGAACATTTTAAAGAATTTTGTACCAGACAAACTAAAGAGGATGTCTGGTCGGTAACTAATCGTATAATTAAAATTAAACCCCTCTCTCAACCACCCTCTACCCTCCGTCTCAGTGACGGCTCCTACACCACCTCCACGCACGACACTGCTGACGCTCTAATTAGAAATTTTTTCCCCGACGACTCTAATGACGTAACTGACGCTCAAATCGCTACTAGGACATTAATGAGTCAACCTATTAATACACCTCCCGAACCTAATTTTACTTATATTGAAATACTTAATGGACTCCGACAAATGAATCACAAAAAAGCCCCTGGAATTGACCACTTGACCTCTGACATATGTTTACAGTTTGCTACTTGTTTCCCCGACTTTATTACAACTTTATACAATAGATGCCTTACTTTATTATATTTCCCTCGTCCCTGGAAACACGCCGTAGTCAAAATCATCCCTAAGCCCGGCAAAGATAATTACTCTCAACTATCCTCCTTTCGCCCTATCGGACTCATTAATGTTCTCGGAAAATTACTCGAAAGACTTATAATTGACCGACTTACCTTTCACCTTAATCGACTACGACTCAGCAATCCTCGACAGTTCGGGTTTAAACAGCAGACTTCCACTTCTAAAGCTATCATTACAGCTTTAGATTTAATAAGATCTAAGAAGGCACGCGGGGAGCACGTTATCGCTGTGTCCCTCGATATCAAAGCCGCGTTTGATAACGCGTGGTGGCCTGCTGTTTTCGCCCGACTACGACATTATGACTGCCCTAGCAATATATATTATATACTCCTCAATTATATACAAAATAGAACAGTAGGTATCGACTTTTCCGACATATCTGTGACTAAGACTATGCGCAGGGGTTGCGTGCAGGGTTCCGTATGTGGTCCCACTATGTGGAACCTAATTATGGACGAACTACTTGACATTGACCTCCCCACTGGCTGCCATATTCAGGCCTACGCTGACGATGTCCTACTCATCACTCACTCATCATCCCTCTCCGACTTACAGACTATAACTAACAATGCACTTGACTTAATCTATAACTGGGGTTCAAACGTTAAATTACGCTTTGGCCCTGAGAAGACAACCCTAACCGCGTTCACCAATAAAGCAAACTCAGTTAGCGTTATCATGAATAATGTACAGTTAGAATTTGTAAGTAGTTTTAAGTATTTAGGTATAATCATAGATAATAAGTTTAAATTCACTCAGCATTCAATGTATATAATCGAAAAATCTAAGAAATTATTTCACAAACTATTATTATTTACTCGGCCCACTTGGGGAATACATTCCGAAAATATACGGACTATTTATGAGCAAGTTATAATTCCTATAATATGTTATGCCGCTAACATCTGGTCTAATTCGTTAAAATATAAATTCATTGTTAAAAAATTCTTGTCACTTCAACGTTTATTTGCCATTAAGATAGTTCATGGTTTCCGCACTCTCAGCACTATTACTTCTATTTCTATAGCTCAACTCATCCCTCTCCCTGAAAAGATAAAGTCCGTCGCAACCATCGAAACCTCTAAACACCTTGGTTACTCCTCTTTCCTTCCCTCTGATATTCCACTAGAAAAACCCTCTCCCCCGTCGTCTCTATTACATCCGTCCCTTCGCACCCCTATCACCTTCACCGAGATTAGCTCGATGGAGGAATTCTCATCCCTTAGCATAAATTATTCCTACCATATATTCACAGATGGCAGTAAACACGATGGCGTTGTTGGCGCGGCATTTGATCCATGCGAAGTTTACGTCACTAAAAAATTTAAATTACACCCCTCCTGTTCTGTATTTCAAGCTGAAATGCTTGCAATCCACAAAGCATGCGAGTGGATTGCCTCCAATAGTAATAACATTAACTCCTGTATCATTTTCTCAGACAGTAAATCTTCTTTACAAGAATTATCAAACCCATATTCATATAATACTTTTGCCGTTAACATCTTTCACCTCCTACATACTTTATCGTCTAGTAATATTAATGTCGGCTTCGCATGGGTCAAGGCACACATAGGCATAGCTGGCAATGAGATCGCTGACATTGCTGCGAAATCTGCTGCCTCCCTTCATAAATCACCTGACTTTATCCACACCCCTATTTCCCACATTAAACTCCGTTTACGCGACTCACTTATGGACTCTAGGAAATCATTCTACGAACAACCCCTTACCTCTTGTCATACTAAAAAATACCTTCCGACATTTGATGACCTCTCCGCATTCCTCTCCGTTATTAAACCCTCCTTTGCCATAACTCAATTTCTTACAAATCACTCCTTCAACAAATCTTACCTCCATAGATTCAACATAACGCCCGACGATCTCTGCCCTTGTGATAGTGCTGAGAAACAAACATTTGATCATCTAATATTCTCTTGTCCACGTTTTAGTAACACCCGTTTAGATTTCTATATTTCTTGTAATAATTTTAAAATTGACGTACAACAGCCCCAGTTTTTAATCAAAGTAATTAAGAAATGTGAAACAACAGAACTATTCACTAAACATATAGAAAATATTGTAAATAACCTCAAAGCATTTAATAATACCTAGGCTAAGCTAAGTTAAGTTAACCTTTGTTAATAATAAAAATTAGTTTTAAGTTCATATTGTAATCTTAATAAAAACCCTGTTTGCGAGTCTATACACCAATAAATGTACACACACACACACACACCCCGAGAATTCTGGCGTAAACCATTAGCGCCGATTCTAAAGTCTTCGGGTTCTCTCTCCTCCTCGGCCCCGGAGCAATGCTGCCGGGGATGGTAGGCTTAGTAGGACCCAAACACAATAAAAAAATAAAAAAAAAAAAAAAAAAAAAAAAAACCTAAACCTAACCTAACCTAACCTTTTTTTTTTTTTTTTTTTTTACTTGGAGGAATCGACTCTTTACCGACGCCCCCGCCTGGCCACATCGAGTGGCGGGGGGAGTGTGGGGGTCGGCCAGCTTGACCACTACCCACTAAACCTCCAAGAGCCCACGGGAGACTTGCCGGACGCGAGCGAGCGGTTAGTTGCCCTTGACCCGCATGCCCGCGCCCGTGTGTCCTGCCGCGCGTGTTTCCCGCGCGCGGCTCGCCCTACGTGGCCGGTTGATGGCCACGTCTCCTGGCTCGGTCCTAAGACCGAGGTCACGGCTGGCGCCGGGCGTAATCGCGCCGGCGCCGCCCAAGTCTCCTCCGTCGGAGTGCGGGGGCGTCGGGAGCAATCTCCCTCGCCCTCTCCGCTTCCTCCTTTCGCGAGAGGACGTCGGCGCAGAAGGCCTTAAAGGCCTGCCACGGAGCGTCGTCCGCGCTCCTAACTATCCCTGCCACAATGGCGGGCAGGGATAGATCCGCGCCGAATGCTCCGGCCAGGGCAGTCCTCTGACTTGCCCAGGCCGGGCATGCCTCCAAGGTGTGTTGCGCCGTGTCTGAGGCGCATCCGCAGTGATGGCAGGAGTCTGTTTCCTCCCGCCGGATCCTGTGCAGGTATTTGCCGAAGCACCCGTGCCCCGACAAAATCTGCACCGCGTGAAAGGACAAGGATCCCCACCGCTTCGTCCTCAGCCATTCGGGCAGGACGGGCGCGATCGCTTGAAGCGTATGCGCGCCTACCCGAGAGGTGGCAAGATGCTCTTGCCACCGCGCAACGACAACCCTTTGGCCGTCCTCCCTCCAATCCTTGAGGAGCTCGTAAGTGAGCTCCTCGCCTCGACTCCGGACTTCAGCCCGGCGCCAGTAAATGTCGGCGGAGCCCGGCTATTGCGCACACCGCGTCATAAGACACGGTGCGGTACGCCCTCGCCACCCTGAGCGCCATCACCCGTTGCGACTGCCTCAGCAGCGCAAGGTTCTGCGCCGACAAATCCTGGGCCCATATGGGGCAGCCATAGAGCGCCTTGGAGCGCACAACGCCGGCGTACAAGCGGCGACACCCCTCGCTCGAGCCGCCAAGATTCGGCATAATTCGGCACAAGGCCGATGCCGTGGCGGCGAGCTTCGGGGCAAGTGCCGCAAAGTGCGCCTTGAAGGACCACCGAGAGTCGAGAACCAACCCCAAATACTTTAGGGTGGACCCTATCTCGATGGCCTCTCCGCCGACGATGATCTGCGCCCCGCTCGGCGGCGCTCTCCTGGGACCGTGGAATGCGATCGCCTCTGATTTGTTCAGGGCGACTCGCAGGCCAATCCTCTGGATCCGCGCCACGACCTGTGCCACCCCGGCCGTGGCGCGAAGCTTGGCCTCGCGGAAGTTGTCGCCCCTCGCGACCACCAGGGTGTCATCCGCGTAACAGATGACGCTGACACCCGTGATCAGAGAGCAACGCAGGACCCCGTCATAACCGATGTTCCACAGGAGTGGACCTAACACCGACCCCTGCGGCACACCGCAGCTGACGGGGTGGGAACCCCATCCTTGCCTCCTGGGGAACGTGATGCGTCTTGCCGTGAGATACGACGCAATCACGTCGCGAAGATAGACAGGCACGCCATGGTAGCGAAGCCCATCCATAATCGCCTCCCAGGGCAGGGTGTTGAACGCGTTGGCAATGTCCAGCGACACCGCCAAAACAACCCCGCCCTCCGCCACAGTCCCGTCTGACACATCGCGCAATCTCGCGATCGCGTCGATTGTCGACCGCCCCTTCCGAAAGCCAAACTGGCAACCGGATAGGTCTGGCCCCTCCAGAGCCAAGTGCTGCTGGATGCGGGTTGCTATTATACGCTCAAAGAGCTTTCCCGCTTCGTCCAGCAGCACGATCGGCCGATACGCCGAAGGCGAGTCCGGCGGTTTGCCAGGCTTCTGGAGAAGAACCAGCCTTCCCTCCTTCCACAAGTCCGGGAAGACACGGTTCCGCAGACAAGCCGACAACAGCTTGCGGAACCGCTCGTCGAGGCCGAATTGCAAGGCAAGAGACAGAACTTTCCCGTGCACCCCATCAGGGCCGGGAGCCGTCCTCTTGCCTCGCGTCCTGTCCAAGGCCGAGCTGAGCTCGGCCGATGTCACGTCCGGTGCCCCCGCGTCCGGGGGTGTCGTCGACTGGGAGGGAAGCGAAGCATCCGCATGGGGAAACAAGGCCGACACGACTGAGTTCAGAAGTGCCGGCTCCATGCTGGATGTCAGGGGTGGGGCCCAGGGGCGCAGCTTGTCCATTACAAGCTTGTACGGCCGCCCCCATGGGTCTAGCTCCAAGGTGCTCAGGAGCTCCTCCCACGCCCTTTCCTTCGCCTCCGCGATCTTCATCCTCAGGGCCTTCTTTGCCTCCTGATAGAGGCAATAGAGGCGCCCTTCCTCTTCGGTGTTCCGCGAGGCACGCCGTCTCCTCCTGTACCTGGTGTACTGGCGTCGGGCCACCACACAAGTTGACCGAAGTGCGGCCAACTCCTCCGACCACCAGTACACCTGCCTACGCGGCGGAAGAGGTCGGGACCGAGCCATTGAAGCGTCACAGATACGCTCCAAGGCCGCCCCGAACCACTCCACCTCCTCCCTCACCGAAGAAGACTCCGGCTCTGGACACCAGGTGGCCACTATCGAGGCCACCTCCACCATCTCCCTGTCCAGAGACTTCAGGGCCCAACGAGGGCCCCTCTGCGCCGGAGGGGCGCCAGGCCCGATCGCCGTGGATTGAGAGGAGACACTGAACCGTATGTAACGGTGATCAGACAGCGTCTCCTCCCCGTCCAACACCTCCCAGTCGACGATGCGGCGTGCAAGCCCGGGGCTGGCAAAGGTAAGGTCCACTATGGACCCCCCCTGCATGCGGACGCACGTCTGCGTCGAGCCCCGGTTCACGAGCGCCAGGTTGTGCGCGGCCATCCACTCCACAAGGACGTCGCCACGAACATCCGAGGTTGGGGAACCCCACACTGCCGATTTGGCATTGAAGTCCCCCGCCACAACCACCTCATTCGGGCGACTCCACTGCACAAGGGCATCCACTTCCGCCAGGAACCCCTCGAACTCCGAGAGAGTCCTGTTGGGCGAGAAGTAGACCCCCACAACCGTGATGTGGCCGCACTTCACTGCAGCACAACCCTGGCCTCTCCGTGAAGAGACAATTGGGGGAGAGCCACCGGCTCCGGTGACGACAATGGCGACAGTTTCGCCAATGTCCCCGACCCAATTGTCCCCTTGCTGCACCGCGTATGGCTCCGCAATCACCGCGATGTTTATGGACCACTGCGCCAGGCCCTGGAATAGAAGATCCTGGGCCCTGGCGCAATGATTCAGGTTCGCCTGGAGGAACCGTAGGGCCATACTAGGCCCCTACGGTCTCGGCAACCTCCATCGCGGTCCCGCTCGGAGGGACGGCGGCCCGCTTCTCCGGGACTCTCCGCCGCATCTTTTTGGTGGGGGCCGAGCACTTGGCACCACCCACCCGATGGTTTGCCTCTTTGCCAGCCGCTGCGCAAACCGCGCAATGCGGGCTGGCCGAACACGAGGCCGCCAAGTGCCCAGGCTGACCGCACCTGTAGCAAAGACCGCTACGATCGCTCGCGCAATCGCAACGGCTCGCCACATGGCCAGCCTCCAGGCAACGGTAGCAGCGAAGCGCCCTGGGTTTTCCCAGAGTTACTCTCGCCGCCACCCAACCCACCAAAAGTCTGCCCTCCAGCAGCTTCTTTGCGGAGCCAACGGGGACATGCGCCCAAAGGGCGCCAAGCCCCGTGCGATCCCGCCGGATGTCGCCGACTCGCACCTGCCAGGGAGAACACTCTCCCTTTTTGGCGACAGCAGCCGCCACCTCCTCCTTTGTGACGGAGTCATCCAGGCCCGAGAGCCTGACGTCGACCGCTTTCTGCGGCCGCGTCACCTTGACGACTCCGCTGTCGAAGATCTCCCCGAGCTTGCTCGCGAGAGCATCCGCCTTTGAGCTACTCGCGGCTCCGGGGAGCTGGAGAATGGTGGCTCCAGTCGCCGCCTTTCTGACCTTTAGACCCTCAAGGCCTGTGATAGCCTTGAGGTCCAACTTCTCCCTGGCCTTCCGGAGGACGTCACTGTAGGAGAGTCCCTCCTTGGACCCCTCCTCAGTGACCGTCAGGACGACAGCCGACGACCGAGGAACCCGAAGTTTCGGCTTCTTAGCCGGTTGAGGGCCGGATGCCTTCCCGGCCCTCCTCCTCGGACGCGACTGTCCCTCCTTGTCCTTCGCCGCAGGAGCTTGCCGAGCTCGTGTTCGCGTCGGCAACTCCCGGGGCGCCTCCTTGCGAGCCGGCTTCTTCTTCCTGGCCACCGTGACCCAGCTTCCCTCCAGGGAGTCCGGGTTCGGCAGCCTCGCCGGGGATCGCCCTCGGACGGGGGCATCGGGGACGGAAGAGCGGGTCGCGGCAGAAGTGGACGGAACCACCCTACCTGGACCCTTTGGTCCCTTCTTCTTCGCCGCCGCAGCGGCCGCAGGAAGGTCCCTGCCTCTTCCGTCTGCCGCCAATGGCGGCCTGAGTCTGGGCGCGGGGTTCAACCGAGGCTCGAGTCCTTCGAACCTCGCGTTGATGCGTTCCCCTATCTTCCGCAGAAGCCCCGCCTCAAACTCCTCCATGCTGTTGGGGAGCCGAGAGGACTTCTGCAGGTCCTCCACCTGGCGCGCCAATTGCTCCAGCTGCTCCCGGAGCCGCTGGTTTTCGGCGCGCAGAGCCCTCGTCTCCTCACTAACTGTCCTCTGGATGAGGACGGACGAGTTCTCCCTGATGGACGCCACCGCATCCCCCAGAGCGCGGACAAAGGTCCCCTTGAGGTTCCGGGACCCCTTTGCCACGCTCTGAATCACGCCCAAACTCTCCTCGATGCCCCTAAGAGCGTCCGAGGCGGAACGAGGCGCGGAGACACAGGTGCCTGCCATGTCTCCCTCGTCCCACGCGAGCGACGCCACAGAAGAAGGCCGCGTCGATCGGGCTTCCGAGACAGAAGCCATGAGCTCAGCCTCTGCCTGGAGCCGGACCTCCTCCTTTCGGGCCTCATTAAGGGCCTTTTTCGCGGCCGCCAACCCGACGTACTCGCCAGTGGTTGGCGGACGCCCTCTTGGCCGCTTTCCAGCAGCCTTTTTCGCGACAGAGAGAGGGGTGTCTGTGGAAGACCCATCCCCCTGCGAATTCCTTTCCTCCTGTGGTCGTTTCCGCTTCTGGCGCCAGAAGCGGCTCGACTCACCTGTTTCTCCGACCGGACCAACCGAGGCAGCGGACGACACGCTGACAAGGTCGGAATCCGTATCGGAAAGATTTAGCGAGGCCCTGGAAGACCCCGCACTACGACTGGCCCTTGACAAGGATGACGCCGACAATCTTGTCAGCACCACCCTGGGCCCTCTCCTCACTCCTTCTTCTACCTCCTTCTCTCCTTCTTCCTCACTCCCACTATTCCTATTTAATGTTTTTTGTTTTTGTTTATCACCTTCCATACTTCAATTTCATAAAACAAATGTTGCGCCTCGCTACAAGGCGCAACGGCATTTCTTTTGTTTTGAGGGAAATGCTAAGTCCACCCGGGCAGAGCCCTGTACCCGGGTAACCCTAATACAACTGGCGGTCGGGCGGTCGCCAGAGGTTGGCCGCTAGCTGGCCCGGTTACTGCCGGACCACCCACTCACCCTGCGGGCAAGCGGGGGCGCGGTGCCGCGCAGAGGTCCGAAGACGCCCCAACACCACGCAAAATTCAGGGTTTTTTCTGAGGTTTTCCTTCCTCTTGGGCCGGCCGATTAAGGCAAGCCCCCTGGTCCCAGATGCGCCGCGAGACATGATCCACGACACGCACCCGGGGAAACAGGTTTGCCCGACGGAGGGCCGAAACCCCTAACCAGGCGCAGCACATCGCCACGCCCGGCCCGCCGCGCCGCGGTCCACCACTACCGCCGTCCGTGGTGTCCTCACCACCATACCACGCCATAAAGGCCGCCGGTCACAACTGACCTCTCCTCCCGTGCTCGGAGGCACGCTCGCAGCGCTCTGAGGTGAGCGCTGCGTCTCCTTGATCGGTCTCCGCGTCGTCTTCGGAGACCGACCGATGGATCCAATTAGCTTCGTCGTGCAATAGTGGCCAGAATCGGCAGACCCACAGACAGTCTGTTGCCGATTAGGCACCTGGCCACTATAATAAGCACCGACTACTGAGCCCCCCGCCGCGACAAGGCCTGGATCATGGGGGGGAACCTAACCTAACCTAACCTAACCTAACCTAACCTAACCTTTTAGGATTGGTGAGGGAATGGAGGGTCGAGGAGGCACTGACCAGCTCGGACCACAACGCCATTCTGTTTGAGTTAAAAGAAACCAAATTGAAAGGGGTAACGATGGAAAGAACAACGAGGATCTACAACACAGGGAAGGCGCACTGGACTAATTTTCGTGAGAAAATTGGCCAGCTGCTAGAAAGGGAAAAGATGAGTGCAGAAAGCATAGAGAAGATAGTCAAGGAGAATGAGTTGAACAGGGCGGTTGAGAAGTATACAGAAATGATTAAGAAAGCATGTGAAGAAAACATACCAAAGCTAGGAAAGACTAAGAAACTTACCGTACCGTGGTGGACCCAGGAACTGGCAGAAATGAAGAAACAGGTCAAAACTAAGAAAAGAAGAATCAGGTGCGCAGCAGCATCTCGAAGACCGAAAGTGGTAGAAGAATACCTGAAAATAAAAGAAGAATACGAAGTTAATATAAAAGACGCAAAATTAAGAAGTTGGAAAGAATTTTGTAGTAAACAGGATAGGGAAGGGATGTGGGAAGGAATATATAGAGTGATCAAAAGGACAGAAGTTAGAAAAGAGGATGTGCCTTTAATAAAGGAAGGAAAAGTGCTGGGGATGGAAGAGTCTGCAGAATTATTAACGAGAACCTTTTACCCTGATGATGACGAGGGCGAAGATAAACAGGTGCACAAGGAAACAAGGGCAAAAGCGCGGTTGGTGAACGAGGGCCCCGGTGACGACCGTCCGGAGCCTCCGTTCACAGAACATGAGCTGGGAATGGTCCTGAGCACATTTAACCCCAAAAAAGCACCTGGACGAGACGGACTGACCCTGGACATCTGCAGGGAAGCAATTATGGCCGAACCGACACTTTTCCTCGCGCTCATAAATAGGTGCCTCACAATAGGACACTTCCCCACCATCTGGAAGGAGGCCACCGTGGTGATACTTCGGAAGCCGGGTAGGACGGACTACACAACTCCGAAGGCGTACCGACCGATTGGCCTGCTTCCAGTGATGGGGAAGATTGCGGAAAAACTCTTTGTGAGAAGAGCAAGCTGGCACATCATGCCAAAATTGAGCGCGAGGCAGTACGGGTTCATGCCGCAACGTAGCACCGAGGACGCCCTCTATGACCTGTTGAGCCACATAAAAAACTCTCTTCGCGAAAAGAAGATCGCAGTATTGGTCTCACTCGACATAGAGGGCGCCTTCGACAGCGCATGGTGGCCGGCCATAAGGTGCAGACTGGCGGAGACGGGATGCCCTAAAAATTTGAGGAGGGTCTTCGATGGTTACCTGAAAAATAGGAAAGTGAAATTGAGGTACGGGGGGAGCGAGATAGAGAGGAATTGTATGAAAGGTTGCGTGCAAGGATCCATAGGGGGCCCAATACTATGGAACCTGTTGTTGGACCCCCTACTGCAAGGCCTTGAAAGAAAGGGAGTCTGCGCCCAGGCATTCGCGGATGACGTTGTCTTGGTCTTCGACGGCCACACTGCCCGGGAGATCGAAGGGAAGGCCAACGCAGCCCTCGCCTATGTTCGGGAGTGGGGCGTCATGAACAAGCTGAAGTTCGCACCACACAAAACCAAAGCTGTGGTTGTGACTAAGAAGCTGAAGCATGATACCCCACGACTGAGCATGGGCGGGGAGGGCATTGAGGTGGTGAGAGAGGTGAGGCTTCTCGGACTAATAATAGACGAGAGCCTCACCTTCAACACCCACGTCAAAACCAACTGTGCGAAGGCCCACCGGATCTTCCACCAGCTGGCAAGAGCGGCAAAAATTAGCTGGGGCCTCGACACGTCAATCATCAGGACCATCTATACTGCAGTCATAGAACCCGTCCTGATGTATGCCGCGGGTGCATGGGGGCAGGCTGTAAGTAAAAAGTGTGTAAGAGTTCAGTTTGACAGAATTCAGAGAGTGTTTTTACAGAGGATATGTAAGGCGTACAGAACCGCATCGCTACACTCAGTGCAAATCCTCACAGGTATTTTACCCATTAACCTGAGGATTGAGGAGGCGGCGGTCCTGTACAGGGTGAAAAGAGGTCTAAGTCCCCTCCCGTATCTCGACGCGGACATAGAGACAAGAGTTAGACCAAACGAACTCCCTCACCCTGCTGACGAGCCGCGTCTGACGTTTGACCAATACAGCCTGGAACTGGGACTTGACGAACAGACAGACGCTACAAATATATACACCGACGGTAGCAAGACTGTGACGGGGTGGGTGCCGCAGTAGTGCTGCGAAGACTTGACAAAGAACTCAAGACTGTTAAAATAAAACTGGCGACTTACTGTACTGTCTTTCAGGCCGAAATGGTGGCGCTGCACAAGGCGGTGCAACTGGCAACGAAAGTCGCCAGCCCAAGGGTGAACCTGTGCAGCGACTCCAGATCGGCCTTGGATGACATAGTGAGCGGTCGCTCCCCCAGTCCCCTCGTTGTGCAAATTAGAGAGACCCTTGGGAGCCTCTCCAACCACAAGGAGGTGAGGCTCTACTGGATTAAAGCACACGTGGGTCACGAGGGGAATGAGAGAGCCGACCAGCTCGCTAAGGAGGCCGCACATGACAAGAAGAGAAAACCCGACTATGACAGATGTCCAGTCTCAAAAATAAAAAGACTTTTGAGAACCGACTCGATTCGGCGGTGGGAGGAGGAATATGGAGGTGGAACAACGGCTTCCACCACCAGGTTCTTCCTTCCAACCGTCGCATCTGCCCTTAAGGCAATGAGAGAGGTGAGGCTGGCGGCGAACTAACACAGGCCCTAACGGGCCATGGTGGGTTCGCCGCTTACCTCCACAGATTTAAATTAAAAGATGACCCCACTTGCATCTGTGGGGAGGGCGACGAAACTGTATTGCACCTGTTAACTCGCTGTCCAGTTCACGCGCGAGACAGAGCTGAAATAGAAATGAGACTAGACATAAACTTGACTGAAAATAGTTTGTCGGAAATATTCTCCAGCAATGAAGCGAGGCCAAAATTAGTAAAATATATAAAGAAAATAGTACAGAAGGCAAACGCCAGAAATAAGTAATAAAATATAATCAACAATAAAATGTTATAAACAAAAGAAAGCAATGTATAGAAATAAAATAAAGTGTAAAATAAGTATAGACATAAGAAAAGTAAATGTAAGCAATAAAGAACTAAATTAAGACTTACGTATAGATTTAAGATAGACAAATGTATGTAACAACAAAACAAATGATGGATACAAATAAAATGGACAGATGTAAAGTTATTTTAAACCCAGTAATAAAAACAATAAAGATATACAAATAGACAGATATTCCACGGCCCGGAGATAACTTCGTCCGGGGGGTAGGCTCAGTAGGTGAATAAAAAAAAAAAAAAACCTAACCTAACCTAACCAGTCGCAGTCCATCCGCGGTCGGATAAACACCGAAAAGTGTCGCTCCGCGCTTAAAAATTCCTAAAAATAGGATTTCTTAAAGTTACATATAAGTGTTATACATTAAAAGACGCTAACAGTGTATAAAACAAATCTTTAGTTGTGAAAATTCAGTGTTTTTAAGTGAAAAAACTGGAAAAAGCGTCAAATAAAAGTGATTAAGTGCGTGCGGCGCAAAAATAAGATTGACGACCCCCCTTTCAAATAGCATCGAAAGTTGCGTTTTTAAAGGGCGCATCTTTTGGTGGTGGTTCCAGAATTTTCCGAGCACGGACAACGAAGAAACGGATTTTTCAAAAATTTCCGGCAAACACGTGGTACTCGAAATCCTGGGAGAGGAAACACATGCTATACACCAAAGAAGGAGCTCGTTGCGTCTGATTCAACGGTGAAAAAATTATCAAAATCGGACTTAAGGAAAAAATTTTATGACCAGGAAACCGGATAACCTAAAAATCGAGGTACATAAAACTATTTTACTTAAAAACTAAAGCGGTGACCCCCATCTTAAATAACACCATTACAAGGACCTCGTTGAAGCGCATCTTTTGAGGGGTCACACAAAATTTTTTGACCACGGACTATATTTTTAAATTGACAAAAACAAAAAACCACGTGGCACGTGGTCGATGATCCCGAAGGAATCCTGGAGCGTTCGATAGCATTTTAGAAAGCTCTGGTCAGGACCATTCAGGAAACGTATCCAGATCCGGGATCCGACGAGAAACGGCCAGGATATCGCCACGGGAACATCCACGAGCAAAAACCGGGATATCTCGGGAACGGTAGGAGATAGCCCTAAAATAACCTCATTTTCTGTTTCTACCACCTACGGTGGTATAAACGACCTGTCCCGCACCACATTTATACACCTTCTCCCAACATCCAAAAAATTTTCAAAATTTTACTATTCCTGAAATATTTAAATTAATGTAGCTCCTAAACCGTTAGAGATAGAGCAAAAATAATTGCTTATAAAACGTATACTACGTATACACGTCCGAAAGAACAAGAAAAGCCTAATCTAACGGCACCCCTAACCCTCCCCCCCCTTTAAACAACCCCCCTACCCCCCTACCGTTCCCGAATTACCGGACTGTGATATTAATTTAAGTATTAAATTAAGACTCTCATGTTACCCTGTTTCTTGTATTTACAGAACTAGTAGAAACTCGCTTTGAATTTTAACTTATTGACTAAATTCTTAATAATTTTGATGTTTTAAATGTAACTAAATAATTTTAAATATTTAACATTCCGGAACTGTAGGCAAGAAAAGGGGTAACATATAAGACAAAATCGTAGCTTTAAACACTGTAAAATCTATTAGATAAGCTTAGGAAGTTAAAACTATATTATTAAATAAAGTATCATAAAGTTAATAAATAATTATTCTATCGACACGCCGCCCTTTTGGGGGCGTAAACTGTGATAATAGACACTTAGACTTCTAAATCAATAATTACATTGTAACTTTGACTGAGTTGCCTCCTTTTGGTGGCAATTCTTAGCTGATAAGTTTTAATTATATGACCTAGGCCCCTATTGGCAATTAAGTTAGATATTAAGGACTTGCTTTATTGGCATCTTAATTTATTAAAATTTGAATACTTATAGTACTTTTTAAAAACTGACAATTACTGACCTACCCAAAATGAGCTCCATCGCCAGAACCCCACCCCCTAAACGACTTAGCCAGCCCCTGACAGAGACTTTACACGACACCCGCCACGACAGAACAATGGTTTTGGACAACAGCAACGACAAGCAAAAGCCAAAAGAAAATGGCCCGCAGGGTCTGGTGCAGAGGCAAGTGGTGCGGTTCTCCCTCTCCCCCCCAGCACACCACAAGTCACAAGACAAGCAGGTACCAACAAGAGCACAAACCGTGGTAAAAAGCAATGAATCTGTAAAGCCGAGGATGGAAAGGAAGGCCGCGTCAGGCCCGACAACAAAAAAGGAGGGAAGAGCAGAGGAAGGAAAAGCGGAAAAGGAGAACGTAATGGGACTGCTCGACAGGATAGACAAGTTAATTGACGACTCCCGAAATCTACGAGGGGACATAAAGGAAGGTATAAAGAAAGCAATTAAATCCCTACGACTGATGGCAAGAGAAATAAAGGAAGGAAATAAACAAGAGAATAGAGAAGCACAAACACAAACAGAAGGAGAAATAGCAGAAGAAGAAAAAGAAATAGAAGAGAAAGAGAAGGATACAAAACTAACAGGGGACCTAATGAAGGAGCTGAGGGTCCAGAGGAAGATAATAGAAAAAGAATTTAAGGAATTAAAAAAGGAACTACCAAAAATGACAGCGATGATAGAGGAATTTAAAAGGGAAGATGAAGCAACGAAAAAGGAGCTAAGAGAAGCTTTGGAACAAGGAAATAAAGCGATAACCGAACTTAAAACATACGCCAGCGTAGCAGCGACAACAGTAAAAACGGGAGAAAGAGGAAGCAAGATGATTGAACATCAAACGGCAAAGTACGCCATAACAGTCGCATCGGAAGGGAAGGAAACAAGCGGAGAGGTACTAGAGGAAATAAGGAAGACAGTAGATGCAAAGAAAACAGGCCTCAGAGTAGACAGGATTAGAAAAATAAAGGACCAAAGGGTAATAGTAGGATGTGAAAGTAGGGAAGAATTGGAAAGAGTAAAGGAGAAATTAAAGAAAAATAACAAACTAAGGGCCAACCACAATGCCTTCGAACAAGAATGCCCCGTAAGAAAGAAGTGGGACAGGCTAGCGAGGGCAGCAGTGGCTTACTGCTAAGGTTGCACAGGGAACAGGAATGGACAGGGATATGGAATCGCTCTTGGTAGTACAGGCCAACCTGCAAAGAAAAGACGCGGCCACCACAGAATTAATAATGGAGGGACTAAGGAGAAAGGCATCAGTGGCGTTGGTACAGGAACCGTACGTGGGGAAGGAAGGTAAAATGAAGATCTACGGAAGCATCAGAATCTTCCAGTTCGTAGGTAAAGCAGAGAAGGTGGTCAAGGCTGCTATCGTGTTATTTGACTCAAATACCGATGCAACACTTTGTCCAGACCTCACCACACCAAATATCGTCGTGGTAAAAGCAAAAACCTACGAGCAGGACGTGCATCTCGTTTCGTTTTACTTTGAGCCTACACCCACACCCATTGAGCCTTACCTGAACGACCTCCGGAAGATCTGGAACTCGGTGGGCCCAAACGTCATCTTTGCAGGAGACGCTAACGCCAAGAGCAACCTCTGGGGGGGCAGGATTACGGATAGGAGGGGGGAAAGCTTAATGGGATTGGTTGTGGAAAATGCGAATGAAGGCGAAACGCCTACATTCGACACATACAGAGGAGGAAAGAGCTACAGTAGCTTTGTCGACGTCACATTCTACTCCGCCAACCTTTTAGGATTGGTGGACGAATGGAAAGTCGAGGAGGCTCTGACCAGCTCGGACCACAACGCCATCCTGTTCAAAATAAGAGGAACAAAATTGAAAGGAATAACGATAGAAAGGACCACGCGGATATACAAAACGGAGAAGGCGCACTGGACTGATTTTCGTGAGAAAATCGGCCAGATGCTAGAAAGGAAAAGTATAAGCGCGGAGATCCTAGACAACATAAGAACAGAAGAGGAGCTGGATAAGGTGATCGAGGAGTACAGAGAAACGATAAAGGAAGTATGCGAGGAAAGCCTACCGAAACTAAAAAAGACAAGGAAACTTACCGTACCGTGGTGGACCCGGGAACTGACAGCACTGAAGAAACAGATGAAGACCAAGAAGAGAAGAATAAGATGCGCAGCACCAACCAGAAGACCGCACGTAGTCGAAGATTACCTGGAAACAAAAGAAAAATATGAAGTAAGTATCAAGGAAGCGAAGTTGAGAAGTTGGAAGGAGTTTTGTGGTAAACAAGACAGGGAAGGGATGTGGGAAGGGATATATAGAGTAATAAAACGAACAGAAATCAGGAGAGAGGATGTACCCTTAATAAAAGAAGGACAGGTGCTGGGAATGCGGGAATCGGCGGAGCTGTTGACCAAAACCTTTTACCCGGACGATGACGAAGACAAAGACCAGCCGGTGCACAAGGAGATCAGGGCCAAGGCTTTGGGCGTAAACGAGGAACTTGGCGACAATCCCCTCGAGCCCCCGTTTACAGAACACGAATTGGACAGGGTCTTGAGCTCCTTCAACCCGAAAAAGGCACCGGGACGCGACGGACTTTTTTTGGACATTTGTAGGGAGGCAATTATGGTCGACCCGACACTCTTCCTCGCGCTCACAAACAAGTGCCTAGCCATGGGACACTTCCCCACCATCTGGAAGGAGGCCACAGTGGTGATTCTCCGGAAGCCGGGCAGGACAGAATACACGACCCCGAAGGCTTACCGACCGATCGGCCTTCTTCCAGTGATGGGGAAGATCGTGGAGAAACTTTTAGTGGCAAGAGCCAGCTGGCACATAGTGCCATACCTGAGCGCGAGGCAGTACGGCTTTATGCCGCAGCGCGGAACCGAGGACGCCCTCTATGACCTGCTGAGCAACATAAAAGCCCGCATCGCCGAGAAAAAGATTGCGGTGCTGGTCTCACTGGACATAGAGGGCGCCTTCGACAGCGCTTGGTGGCCGGCCATAAAATGCAGACTGGCGGAGGCGGGCTGCCCGACAAACTTGCGTAGAGTCTTCGACAGTTACCTCAAAGACAGAAAAGTCAGACTAAGATACGGGGGATGTGAGACGGAAAGAAAGTGTTCAAAAGGTTGCGTGCAAGGATCTATAGGGGGTCCAATACTATGGAACCTGTTATTGGATCCCCTATTGAAAGGCCTAGAAAAGAAGGGAGTCTGCGCGCAAGCGTTCGCGGACGATGTAGTCCTGCTCTTTGACGGCCATACTGCCAGCGAAATTGAAGGGCAGGCCAATGCAGCCCTCTCCTATGTCCAGGGGTGGGGTGTCATGAACAAGCTGAAATTCGCACAGCACAAAACTAAAGCTTTGGTTGTGACGAAAAAGCTAAAGCATGACACCCCGCGCCTGAGCATGGGCGGGGAAGGGATTGAGGTGGTGAGGGAGGTGAGGCTACTCGGACTTGTGATCGACGAGAGCCTCACCTTCAACACCCACGTCAAAACCACATGCGCAAAGGCCTACCGGATATTTCGGCAGTTGGCAAGAGCAGCCAAAATCAGTTGGGGTTTGGACACATCGATCATCAGGACAATCTATACTGCAGTGATAGAACCGGTCCTGATGTATGCCGCGGGCGCTTGGGGGCAGGCAGTAAGTAAGAAATGTGTGAAAGTGCAGTTAGACTCCAGGTCAGCCTTGGAAGACATAGTGAGCGGCCGCTCCCTCAATCCCCTTGTGGTGCAAACCAGAATGACCTTCAAGAACCTCTCCAAAAGCAAAGAAGTGAGGCTCTTCTGGATAAAGGCACATGTAGGCCACAAGGGGAATGAGAGAGCTGACCAGCTCGCTAAAGAGGCCGCAAATGACAGAAAAAGAAAACCCGACTTTGACAAATGTCCAGTCTCGACCATTAAAAGACTATTAAGGGCGGACTCGTTGGGACGGTGGGAGAAGGAATACGACGGAGGGGCAATAGCCTCAACCACCAAAATCTTTCTCCCAACCGTCTCAACCGCGAATAAACTAATAAAAAAGATAGGACTGGACAGCGAATTAACACAGGCCCTAACGGGCCATGGTGGTTTCGCTGCTTACCTCCACAGATTTAACTGTAAGGATGATCCGTTTTGTGCCTGTGGAGGTGGTGACGAAACAATAATACACCTGTTGATCCGCTGCCCAATCCACGACAGCGACAGAACCGACTTGGAACACAGACTGGACATTGACTTGACCGAGGACAGACTGTCGGAAGTTTTAAAAGATGATAAAGCGAGGCCTGTTCTTATTAGTTATATGAAAAAAGTAGTACGTATGGCAAACGCCAGGAACAAATAAATAAGATAATAATAAAAAGGATAAATATAATGTACGAAAATAGCAATGTATAATTAATAACATAAATATATAATGTAAAATAGTAAATTAAGAATATAATATAATGTAATAATGAAAATATACCAACTTAACAATACAATGTAAAAAGTATAATAAGAAATGTAAAATAAGACAAAATAAAAAAGGTGTACACATATTATTTAAATAAAAATGAAAACCCATAAATAAAAATACCCATATAGCTAGATATTCCACGGCCCGGAGATAACTTCGTCCGGGGGTAGGCCAGTAGGAATAAAAAAAGAAAAAAAAAGAAAGAAAAAAACCTAACCTAAGTAAATAGTAATAAGAAAATCTAAAGCGGTTTGTATTGTATTGGAAAAGAAATTTGTAAAACAAATAAGCGAAATAAATAAAGAATAGGAATTTGTATATAAATTAACGTGGATATGTGTGTGTGTTAATTATTAGGAATAATAGTAAATAGTAATAAGAATTGTATTGTAAACTCTAGAATAAGAAATTTGTAAACAAATGTTGTTAATAAAGAAAATTACTAGCTTGTAAAATTAGAATAAGAAATATGTAAACAAATGCTATTAATACAGAAAATGACTAGACTGTAAAATTAAAATAAGAAATTTGTAAACAAATGTTTTAATAAAGAAAATGACTAGCTTGTAAAATTAGAATAAGAAATTTGTAAACAAATGTTTTTTAATAAAGAAAATGACTAGCTGTAAAATTAGAATAAGATATTTGTAAACAAATGTTTTTAATAAAGAAAATGACTAGCTTTAAAATTAGAATAAGAAATTTATAAAAATATAATTAAGAAAAACAATTAGCTTCGATAATCCACGGCCCGGAGATAACTTCGTCCGGGGGGTAGGCCTAAAAAAAAAAAAAACCTAACCTAACCTAACCTGTTTTCCAGATTACAGACACATAATCATATCTCGGAGGAGGGGGAAGGGGAGGAAATGAGGAAATCTATTGGAGCTAAAAGACTCGCCGTGCCGAGACGGATCTCCTGAGCCCAATCTCGACGACTTAGGACCAGGATCACCGGAGTTAGACCCAGAGGGGGTGAGGTAAAAAAAATATTTGAGGGGGGTGGGGGGGGGAACTTTCGTGGGGAGGCGAATGGCGCTCAGAAAAAATGTGTTGTTTTTAGAGGGGAAGGGGGTATTCCGAGCAATAGGGAAATTAAATTATTGTGGCTGAAATTATTATAGAAGTACTTATAATTTACTAAAATTTAAAAATGTTGGAAAAAAATTTGAAAGAGAGGGGGGAAGGGGGAAACTAGTAGGGCCAAAATATTCCTCTCTTAAAGACGAACAGTTTAAGCCCAAACTCGGGCTGTTAGGAATAAGGGGGTGGTTTCCGGTTTTGAGGGGGTGAGGGGTTTCTTTTTGCGGGGGGGAGGGGATTTTTTTAATGCACTAACCTATAGCTCGTCCAATGACGACCACGACGAGCCCAAGCACTATTAATCTAAGTTAATTATAAAGGAAGTTATAATATATTAAAATTTAAGAAATATAATTTTGTATGTTTGTTCACTAAAAAATTTTACTAAAGTACAGCTGTTAAATAAATATTTTAAAAATATTGCTTTTGGCACATTTTTGTTTCAATTAGAACCGTTTTAAACTAAGAACCGTTGGAAACTTTTAGCAACTTTACAGATTTATATGTCGGAGACAACGCGCGGTCATGAATACGGGAGCCGAGTTGTATCCGACAACGCGCGGTCATGAATACGGGAGCTGAGTTGTAGCGCAGCGTGCGGGTGGGGTTGACCGGTTTGAAGCTAACGTCATGGCAGCCAACTTCACGCCGTACGCTAGGACGGAGCCCGGGCGTCGGTCGAGGGCATTCGTTATTGGATCGCACAGTTAGACGGACGTCTGCGACCTAATACCCGGGAATCGTCCACACTATAACCCAGCATAGTGATTTATTTAGTGTTCGAATAAAACTGTGAACGTTTAGTGTTTAGTCTCATTGCTCGATACCCTATTAACGCCCTCAAACTATGTCGGACGACGACGGAGGCCTAGCTCCTGACCCTAATTCGAGATCAGATGTGGGATACGATCGAGCAAATGAGATTCCACGCAGAAGCAGCATCGACAGTGCACAGTGGCGCCAAATACTCGACGCGCAGAACGAGCAAATTCGCGCCCTTATCGCTGCTTTAAACCGCCCGCTACCCTCCAAAAACCACGTGGTTTTCCCAGAATTTGATCCAGACAAACGCGAGGTAAATGCGCTGTCATGGTGCGCCACCGCCGACGTCTGATACGCCGTTAGAAGGAAGCCAGCTCGTCGTCGCTATCAGCAAGGCTCTTAAAGGTACGGCGTCTACTTGGCTATCGCAAATAACCTACCAAGGTATAACATGGGCGGAATTTAAAGAACTGTTTACGGCGAGGTTCGCTCCAAATGAGACCTTGGCTGCCACACTAATTAATCTTGGCTCAGATAAGCCAAGTGAAAAGGAGAACTATGGGACTTACGCCAGCCGCATTATGTCGTCTCTAATGAATCGCTTCAAGAATGTGGATTCGGAGCAAATTATTGTACAAATCGTACTCGCACATTTAGCTCAATTTGACGTACGTCTTCAGCGACTTGCTTTTACCACGGAAATAACTTCTCGTTCTGAGCTACAAAAAGAGCTACAAGCCTTTGTCTATCTAAAGCGGAAAGCGCCAATCACTGATGAGAAGAACAGCATGGAGAATGCCAAACGCACTAGACTATCTACTGCACCAATCAAATGTTACACTTGTGGACGACTAGGACACAAACAATCAGAATGCAGGCAGAAAAACAAGGATACGAGGACGACAGCTAGTACCCCTGCCGCCACATTTCCACGAGCGGACCCCCGGTCTGCTTCAAGTGCGGCACACCGGGTCACATCGCGAGTCGCTGTACTTCTGGCACCGCGACCACGATCGCCGGCAGCGGCGCGCAGCAGGCGCCCGAACGACGTGTCAACCTTTGCGAGGTTGAGCCCCCGGCCGGTTCCCTAACCCACCTTGGTAAGCGTTTTGAATTTCATTTTGATTCTGGAGCAGAGTGTTCTTTAGTTAAAGAGAGTGTTGCGTGTAAATTGAGAGGAAAACGCGTACACAATACTGTATCGCTTGTTGGTATAGGCAACAAAAAGGTGAACAGTGTGGAACAAATTTTTTGTTTAATTGAGATTAGTGACTATCCAACCGAAATCTTATTCCATGTTTTGCCAGACGAGTACCTACGCAGTGATGTGATGATAGGTCGCGAAATCCTAAATAAAGGTTTTACTGTCAGTTTAGGTGCTAATCAGTTTACTATTTCTAAGTCATGTACGGTTAATTCGTGCGTTAACGTAAAATTAAACAGACAAACAATTGATCTAGCAGACATAAATACGGACATTTCACTTGAAGGTATAAAAACACTTGTTCAGTTGTTAGAAAAGTATTCCCATTATTTTACGTGCAAATTTCCAACTACCCGCGTTACAACGGGTAAGTGTGAGATTCGCTTGGCTGACCCTACCCGTACCGTGCAGCGCCGCCCGTACAGGTGTTCACCAGCAGAGAGCGAGATAATGCGTGAGCGAGTAAATGAATTATTAGATGCAGGCATAATTAGAAAGAGCAAATCTCCGTTCGCTAGCCCCGCATTGTTGGTTGAGAAAAAGGACGGTAGCAAACGTATGTGCGTCGACTATCGCGAATTAAATAAAAACACAGTTCCTGACAGATATCCCCTTCCGCTAATTTCCGAACAGATACCTCGTTTATACGGTGCAAAATACTTTACGAAGCTCGATTGCGCGAGCGGGTTCCACCTTATTTCCGTTAGTGATGATTCTGTCGAGCGTACCGCTTTTATTACACCGTTCGGACAGTATGAGTACCTAACGATGCCCTTTGGGCTGCGAAATGCTATCTCTGTATTTCAGCGAGCAATAGTTGAGGCTTTAGGTGAGCTAGTGTACTCTTACGTCATAGTCTACGTTGATGACATTTTAATTTTGTCAGATACTGAAGATGAAGGATTAGATAGGTTGAGTACAGTGTTGGAAATTCTGACGAAGGCCGGGTTTTCACTCAATTTAAAGAAATGTTCGTTTTTAAAGACACGTGTGGAATTCTTGGGTTACGAGGTTGAAGCAGGCGAGATCAAGCCGAATAAACGGAAGATTGAGGCTCTGTCAGGGTTACCACCGCCCGAGTCTATCACACAGCTAAGGCAATTCATAGGCCTGGCATCGTATTTTCGTCAATTCGTTCCGAATTTTTCACGTTTGATGACACCCTTACATAGGCTTACTTCGGGCAAAGGTTCTTTCGTTTGGAAAGAAAATCACGAGCAGATTCGTCAGCAGGTCATTTCTATTCTTACAAATGAGCCGGTGTTGACGATATTTAATCCAAAGCATCCAGCTGAATTACATACGGACGCGAGTGCAGACGGTTATGGCGCAATGTTGTTGCAGGAGGTCGATGGTAAGCGACGTGTAGTGGGTTACTACAGTAAGCGAACCTCCCCTGCAGAGTCCAACTACCATTCCTACGAACTGGAAACTCTGGCTGTGGTTAACGGGATAAAACATTTCAGATCTTATTTGCATGGGGGGAAGTTTACTGTGGTTACCGACTGTAACTCTCTCAAGTCTTCGCGAGACAAAGTCGACCTCACCCCTCGCGTACATCGATGGTGGTGTTTTCTTCAGTCTTTCGACTTCGATGTTGTTTATAGAGCAGGAAAGCAGATGAGTCACGTCGATTTTCTCTCCCGCAATCCCTTGCCTGTTGTTTGTGAGCCAGTCCAGAAACAGACTACTAAGGTAAATGAAAGGCACGTTAATCTAGCCGAGCTTTCCGAAAACTGGCTTCTGGCAGAGCAGCAGCGAGATGTGGAAATTCAGAAACTTAAAACAGCGTTTACTGAGGGAGAGTTGGAGAATGACATTGCGAAGACATACGAGGTACGCAAAGGCGTGCTTTATCGCAAAATTCAGCGCAATGGGCGCACTAAGTGCTTACCTATCGTACCTAGAGCTCTGAGGTTTTCCGTTGTTACCAATGTGCATGACTCCATCATCCATTTAGGTTGGGAAAAAACGCTAGAAAAACTTTATGACTACTATTGGTTTGAAGGAATGTCACGGTATGTTCGAAAGGTTTTGAATAATTGCGTCACTTGTAAAGTATCAAAAAAAAGGTCAGGTCGAGTTCCAGCTGAGCTTCACCCCATACCCAAAGTCACTATCCCATGGCACACAGTGCACATAGACGCGACGGGAAAACTTAGTGGCAAAAGTGATAACAAGGAGTATGTTTTCGTAATTATCGACGCTTTCACAAAATTTGTTGTTCTTCACCACACGACTAATATTGACTCTAAAAGTAGTATTAAAGCGGTGAAAAACAGCGTTTCACTTTTTGGTGCTCCAGAACGCATCATTGCAGATCAGGGACGTTGTTTTGCTAGTCGTGAGTTTAGAGAGTTCTGCGATAGTAAAAAGATTTCTCTTCATTTAATAGCAACTGGATCTTCGCGAGCTAACGGGCAGGTAGAGCGCGTCATGAGCACACTGAAATCAATGTTAACTGCCATAGAGCTCAGCGATGACCGGTCATGGCAAGATTCGCTAGAGGACGTTCAACTTGCCTTAAATTGTACGGTTAATAGGGTCACTCAAGCGAGTCCACTCGAGTTGTTGATAGGGAAGGTAGCGCGCCCCTTAGAATTGATGGCAACCGATGACGCTCCCGTGGTAGATATTTCGGAGGTTAGAAATCACGCAGCACAAGAGATAGAGAAATCTGCCCAGTATGATAAGTCGCGTTTCGATGCTACAAAAGCCAAATTTAAGAGATTTTCGGTTGGAGAGTACGTATTGATAGAGAACGAAGAACGTAACCAGACTAAGTTAGATGCCAAGTTTAAAGGTCCGTTTGTTGTAACTGAGGTTCTAGATAGAGATAGGTATACTCTAAAGTCTTTAACTTCTAAACGTAGCTATAAGTATGCTCACGATAGACTGAGGAAGATGCCGGACAGTCAAGTACCATCTGATGTAGAAAATGTAGAGAGTGAAGTAGAGTGCGAGGGTCTCAGTTCGGCTGGTCAGACCGTACCAGAGTCTTCATCGTAGCCGTAGTCCGATAGAAGTCGGTATCTGCCTTGGCAGTCCGTGGATACGCGGTGCGCGGGGAGCTCTGGCGGAGGTCGGGTCATAAGGACCGTATAGTCAAGAGGTTGACTTGGCGATCTTGTGTTACAAGATGCGCGCAGTTTGGGTGGTTATTTGATAGCCTAGGCCACGAATGAGACCTATTTGATGATTTCGCTAGAATTGTTGTTTTGTTTTGGGCAATGAAAAGCTGAGATGGTACTTGGTTGTAGCGCTTCAATTCCTCTGTTAAATTAAGTTGAAGTGAACCTTGATGATTATTGCTGTTGATTTGATCTTAGATCTTTGTAAAGTTAGCTTGCTTCCAGTGTAAATAATTAAATTCTGAAGCACATAATAGGAAACTGTAATGATTGTTTGAATGTAGAATTTTAAAATAAAAGAAAATAATACGACTGAAACGGAATTTTATTTTCAAGGGAAAGTAAGAGTCAGGGAGAATGACCGAACGATGTACTGCGCTGTTTTTCTTTTGTTTTAGAATAAACACACGAGGACGTGTGACGCGCAGGATGGCCGTGTCGGAGACAACGCGCGGTCATGAATACGGGAGCCGAGTTGTATCCGACAACGCGCGGTCATGAATACGGGAGCTGAGTTGTAGCGCAGCGTGCGGGTGGGGTTGACCGGTTTGAAGCTAACGTCATGGCAGCCAACTTCACGCCGTACGCTAGGACGGAGCCCGGGCGTCGGTCGAGGGCATTCGTTATTGGATCGCACAGTTAGACGGACGTCTGCGACCTAATACCCGGGAATCGTCCACACTATAACCCAGCATAGTGATTTATTTAGTGTTCGAATAAAACTGTGAACGTTTAGTGTTTAGTCTCATTGCTCGATACCCTATTAACGCCCTCAAACTATGTCGGACGACGACGGAGGCCTAGCTCCTGACCCTAATTCGAGATATACTTATAAAATGTTTAAACGTTATTTAAAAGTACTTAGAATTGATGGATTTTGATTTTTTTGGGCTCAGTCGAGAGCTAAAGAACCAAAGTTTTTAATAGTTAAAATTATATAATTACTGAGTCTATTATATATTATTTGTTATAAGCGCTGAAAATTTTAAGAAATTTAAAGGCTTATAACTTTTTTTAAGTCCAAATGAAATTTAAAAACTATATTCTAAATAAGGAGAGAAAATATCTATCGAATGGCGATATATATGTATTATTTGGCTTTTAACTATCGATGTGATATTTTTATTTGTGTATCCCAAACCGTTAACAAAAGATGCTATGGCTTATATCTTAAAAAATATTACACGTAATTTAATGATAATTTAAAATAATATAAACTAAGACGTTCTATTGACATTACAATATTTCGCTTAGGCGTGCTCCAGAAGGTTGACCCCTGATGAGGACTCGAACGCTCCGTCTGCTTCAGCTCGACCGCAAATAGATGAAGACGCTGGTTTCATATGATGTTGTTATCGTAGGATAACAAACGATATGTCGTTAGAAAGCCTATTTAAAGGGCTTTCTAGTGCACTTACATTAATATTAAGATCGTATTCGTAAACTAAATCACTATGACCAAAAATGTGAAAAAAGTTGGTAACTCAAAAACTATATGGCCAAAAACTTTATGTTTTTAGTTGTATCAGTTGTATAAGCACTTTTGAATTCGCAAATAAAAAATTTTGGTCGTCGCTTTAAATTTCGAGCCGCATTCACTTTTAGTTTTTCACTTCACAATATTCACTATATCTTCTGACTCGAAAGTCGTAGAAAAGAACTAAAATAAACTTAAGGTTATTACTTAAACTTAAAGTTCTTTTCTACGATTTTTATTCTTTATAAATTATAGCGCCTGATAAAAATATATATCAAAAGTGCATGTAATTTGTTGCTTTTTAGTAGTATAGAAAAATCTTAATTTAAACCTTAAGTTTATTTTAGTTCTAGAGTATAAAGCTACATAAATAAGATTAGCTGTTTTAGAAAGTTCGGTTTGATATACCACTTTTTACAGCTAAACATAATTTTTAAACGATTTTTGTTCTTTAGAAATTATAGCGCCTGATAAAAATATATAGCAAAAGTGCATGTTATCGAATTTTCTTTGTGAATTTGTAGCTTTTTAGTTAAAATGAATGCAAAACCTTTAGTTTATTTTATTTCTAGAGAATGAAGCTTTGAACATTAAATTAGCTGTTTTAAAAAGTTTACTTTGATATGACACTTTTATAATTATAATAATAATAACTCCTAAAACAGGAGTCACTGAGCATAATGTTACGAACACACTTGTGTTGCAACAAAAACAAGCTAAATTAAAATTATAAAAAAAATTACATTAAAAATTTACGTACAAGTCGGTACTGAGACGCCTCGGACAAGATGACGTCATATTGTTCACATTGGCTTGGCTATTTATGGAAATGGATAATGATAGGCGAAATATTTTGGATCTTGTGATCCCAACGCTATAAATTTTTGTTTTTGTGGGATTTAGAATAAGAGAATTCGACGAATCCGAATTAACGTCAGAAATAGCTTTTGAAGTAGAAAGAGTAATAGAGCTGTATATCATCAGGATACATAGGGAAACGACTAAAACTACGAATACATAAAAAAGGTTCCAAAATAAAGAGAGTAATCGTAGTCGTACAGTATCTTCTCGTATTACAGCGACAGTACTAAACCAATTGGCTGCATCTGGTGAAAAACCATAAAATTAAATTAAATTAGGGGGTTTAATTCGTGCGTGAGCCTTAATGTGTATCCATAGGTTTTTTGGTTGGTTAATGGAGCTATTTACATATTTATCGAAGTAAACTTTCTTTTCGATAAATAGTGCCACATTCACCTGTTTTTTGCGGTCTTTATAATGATTAATATGTGATTCTCATTTACTCTTCCTAGCCCTAATGTATGCTTCATCGCGGGTCTTCATCATACATTTTAAATTATACGTCACCCATGGATAGTGACGTTGTCTAGCAAAAACCCATTTACGAGGTGCATAAAAATCGAATAATGTGCTGAGATAAGACGTAAAAAGATAATAGATCTTAGTGTCCACGTCTGCTAAATGCCGAATTGTCTCCCGAGAAGTAGCTAAAAGCGTATTATTTCAACTCTCCATATTAATATCCTTTAAAGCGCGAAACGAGATCCAACTAGGTTTAAATTTTTGCTTAATTTTATTAAAAGTGCAAAATACAAACGCACGACTGCTTAAATCTCTTATGTGAGTGCCGCTTCCGACACCGGAGCATTTTTATTATTTTATTAAGAAATAGCTGTACATCGAACCAAGGCGGTCTATAAGCAGTTTGCCCCGAATGGTAGTTCTCACCCACATCTGTTCAACTAGATTTACAACAGGATGTGACAATAAACGAACAGACATCATTTTATTAATGTAAAAACCTACGCCTCCACCGCGAGTGCGAACTGACGGTGGGTGGGGAATATGTCGAAGCCTGTAACCCGTCACCGGAGGAGCGCGTCCCGTCTCTCCCTCCCGAAGCTACGTCTCCTTTACGGCTAGTATGTCCACTTTCCTAGTGACCCTGGATTCAAGAGTCCAATCTTTAACCTTTCTCTACTATTTACCATATTGTCTTACAAAGTAATTCACAAACAGGTCTTTCACATAAGCAATTCTTTTTTTATACACGAGACGTTCAAATAATTCTAATATTTGAGCCAATAAAATCGCGACGTGCTCAGTATTTTCGCCGTTCGCCTCGAAAACTCCCGCGATCTCCACATCATTCATGAGGCATTGCTGTTCAGACTGATTCAGGCGTCTCTTCAATAGTTCTACTTCACAGCTATGCTGATTATTAGCCCCCAGCTGAAGCACGCTCTCTTCCAGTTTAGATATTCTAAATTCCATATTATCTAGCCTACTTGTGAAGGAGGCAATTGCTCTAGTGAGTTGAGAATATGTTTCTGACTTGAAGTCGATAATAATCGTGCGAAGGGATAAGATTTGATCTTTTAACTCCTCGAACGATGAAGCGACGACGTCACTTGATAATGCTAAAGAACCAATATCACCGGCCGTAGTCGCATCGTTATGAGGTATGCTGCTAGCAGCAACATAATCTCGATTACTCTTCGAGCGAGCTATCAGACACGGCTTGTAGCATTGTTTCGAACTTGGACTTACTGCTTTTGGGCAAGTTTTATGCAAGTGAAAATTACAGTCTTTGCATCAAACGCCATCTGGAGCAATCGCAAAGAACTTCGCACACATTACATAAATTTATTTAATTGATCGGGCATATCGTTGGAATAATTTATTTCGTTTTATACACTTTTTGTTACATTTTAACTTTGCTTAAGAATGTTGCCCAAACACTTGCACTATCTTTAGTGATTTTTTGCGGATTTAACTCGAACGCCAAGATAATTTAAGTCCAAACTATTTCTCTTGCTATAAACCTTTTTCCTCTCCGATACCAACAATACGGGTAGTACACATCAACCAAAGGCACTTGTTGTCAAACACGAAACAGCTGATTTCAATATAGTCTCTTATCTCACACAAAACATCGAGTTACGTGTTACTAACACTCACTACAAAAATATAAGCTGTATAAAGCTTATATTTTTGTATTATATTTTCGATACATACCAAAATACAAATATTTCCTCTTTATAATATTAGTGTATATAGCTGTTGCCCACGATATTCGCATCCCGTCGTTCGGGTCGTTCTTGCCAGTTAATCTTAAAAGATAGACATATATCATTTAAAGGGGAATTATTTTTTTACACAATTTTTAGGTATCGGTTTTCGCAGCGTACGCATCTGAAACCTAGAGACATGAAAAATTCCCCGTTTTGTTCACATTTCTCGCTGTATCTTCGCTCCTATTAGTTACATCGCAATGTGTTATAGCCTATAACCTTCCTCGATAAATGCTTTAACCAACACAACAATAATTTTAATTCGAAACCGTACTTCCTGAGATAAGCGCGTTCAAACAAACAAACAAATCTTCAGCTTTATATATTAGTATAGATATAGATGTAATTGTGCATTTATCGCAGCCAATCTATGTTGTAAGTGCTACTTTGTTCTTTAGAAATTATTGCGCCTGATAAAAATATTTAGCAACATAATCTCGTTTACTCTTCGAGCTAACTATCAGACACGACTTGCAGCACTTTTTCGAACTTGGAGTTACGGCTTTTTCGCAATCTTTATGCAAGTGAAATATACAGTCTATGCATCGAACGCCATCTGGAGCAATCGCAAAGAACTTCGCACACATAGTGCACTACAAAAATATAAGCTGTTTAAAGCACTTTGCTTATGAGTGGGTGTTTGACAGCGTTGACACAAACAAGTGTTTACTTTTAATTTTGCTATTAAAAATATAAATAATTGTTGTGCAATTAAATAAGTGAATTAATAAGTGCAGTGTAACGCCGAATTATCGATTTACTATACAGTTCAGACCTAGTTTCGTGAAATAAGCCTAAAATAAGCCGATCAATTCTCAAAAATACTTTCGTCTACCTACATATTATATCGTGACAAAACTTAAACAATGACGACCCACTGTTGTGTATGCGGCAAATTCGTATCAATGTCTGAATGTTTAAAGTGTTCTAAATGCACTCTAAAGGGTCATCGTTCGTGTATGTTCAATAGCAACCCGGATACGAAAAGTGCAGCAACGCCCTGGCTTTGCAAAAATTGCAAAACAAAAACAAACGTAACCAAAAACATGTCTGCAGCCGGTTCAGAAAGTTCCAGTGGTTCTGTGCACTCCTCACCTAGACTTTGTGATGCGGAGGAGTTATCCGTCGCTCAAAACATAACTCAGCTGCGTGAGGAATTCTGTAACGTCACCCGTGAAATCTCACTCTTCCGACAAGAAATGTCGCGGTTAACAGTGTTGTTGAACGAATTCAGTTCTCGTATTGAAAGAGTCGAAAATCGTGTCGATCAACTGGAGAAAACTACTTAGGAAAGAATTGCGTCCCTTGAAAGTTCGGGTCCAACACATTTAGAAGAAAGTTTACGAGAAAAAATCACCGAACTTAAGCAAGAACTAAATGAACGCGACAGATTATCCCTCGGTTGTGACATTGTGCTTAGCGGCATTCCCGAGGAGGAGGGCGAAAATGTAATGCATTTGGCGACTGCAATGGCTCACAAAATTGGAGTGGGCCTGGAAGAAAATGACGTTGTTTTTACAGAGAGATTGGGGCTCCGGCGCAAACCTGTCGGGCAAAAATCGCGTGCTATAATTCTCCGCTTACTACTCCGCCCGGACGAAATATTACATAGTGCGCGCGTGCGGCGGTATGTCGACACTACCGGACTGATCTTGAACAGCGACAAGCCCCCCAGTAGAATTTACCTAATGAACGGCTTACGCGCAATGATAAACATTTATTTCCTCTGGCGAAACAGGCAGCAGTAGAAAAGGGTTGGAAGTATGTCTGGACACGCGACGGTCGCGTCCTCGCTAGACAAAGTCCAACCTCTCGAGTCCGGCACATTATTTGTGAAAAGGATATTCAGTCGGTTTTTGTATAATCCGAAATTGGTTTTTACCGTACTTGTTACACATTAATATTGCATATTACAATATAGATGCCTTATTAAATTACATTTTGAGGTCTGTTGACATTGTAAATAGTTGCAGTTATGAGCTACCTTTCTATTGTAATTTTATGACGTATACATTAATTGCGGTAATGGGATTATTATATCGGTCAGAGCTGACAACATCTGTAGAACTAATGTTAATTTTGCGCTAGGAAGCGCTATAAATAATATTATTGTCGTTAGGTACAATTACTTACATAATGTCTCTCTGTTTGTAATCTATGTTTACAATTCTAGTTTAAGCGTACAGTGTAATGGTAACATGTTGTGTTGCGAATCCTTGCTTGTGATGCGATTTAATCGACTCTTTACCGGACTCCGGACTAGAGCCCGGCGCCAGTAAATGTCGGCCAAAGCAGCCGCCTCCAGGTGCCAGGGTGCGAGCCCGGCTATCGCGCACACCGCATCATAAGACACGGTGCGGTACGCCCTTGCCACCCTGAGCGCTATTACCCGTTGCGACTGCCTCAGCAGCGCAAGGTTCTGCGCCGACAAATCCTGGGCCCATATGGGGCAGCCATAGCGCGCCATGGAGCGCACGACGCCGGCGTACAAGCGGCGACACCCGTCGCCTGCACCGCCATGATTCAGCATAATTCGGCACCTAAGCTCTTTGAAATTTAAAACTTGTATAGCTTAAATAATAGCAAATAATCACAAAGTAAAAGACCAAATGGACACTATTCGATTTCGTTTTTTTTTGCCATATATTTAGATCATAGATCAGGCGTTTTAAAATTCGAAACAAAAAATATTTAATGGTTGTTTTAAACCTTTAAAGGTGTTTTTTTAGTAACCACTTAAAATAAACAGCACGTAACATTTAAAGTTCTTTTAGAGTTTTAAAATAAGGTTTAATATAATAAAAACACTATTTTGAACTTGCGTTTCCGTCGGCCATTTTAGAATTGAGATAATATGTAAAATTTACAATTTACTTTAAACATACAAACTTTATAATATTCAAGCGTTCCCGCGCCGAATTTCACTGACACCTTGTCACGACTTAATAAAAGTTCCGTTTCATGAAATCACAACCGCGAACCCCTCTATTTTTGACATACTTACGTCTTAAATTTACGATAAGAATTAATTTTAGAGAAAAAATTAAGTTTTCAAATTTATTTAAATATACTTTTATTTATTTTAAATACTTTACACATATATGGTTAAAAATATTAAGTACCCAAAAATCCAAAATCTTAACTGTAAGTGCGTGTTTCGGAAACCTGTGCGAAAGTGATGACGCTATACGAAAAAGATTAGCTATCTCGCTTTCTCCTTAAGCTCCGTCTCTCGCGCTTACCCACTAGCGACGGACGCGCTGTATGAAAAACAGCGCTTGACGCGTATATTTGAAGTAAAACCATGGCGAATGATAATATTATTATCAATGAACTTTTAACATTTATTCAAAACAAAGCGGACGTATTAGACGAACTTACAATTATACAGATATGTGCAGGTAATTTTTCGGAACAAGAGATCGATATGGCAAAAAACATAATTTTCTCTTCGTGTAGTACAAGCAAACCTATTACAAGGAAAGGAGACGACAAGAAGAAAAAGAATGTGCGTGACATAATCAAAATTATTAAGGAGACGGATCCCGACGTTCAACCCATGTTTGTCGCGAGAGACTTGAGTCGCCTACCCCCGGTGACCTTGGACAATGTGGATGTTTCACGTCTGCTGAAGGATATGTCAATACTTAGGACTGAATTGTTGGAAACAAAAAAGGCTTCCGAACCTCCCAACTTATGTGCGGAATTCAAAAGTATAAAGGACGAGTTGGAGGCATTTAGAAAAGAATGTCTAACGAAGGCGGATCTTAGCAAGATTTTCAAAAAAATCGAATAATCAAGGGGACATCTTACGTACTGAAAATAAAGACAGCAGTCAGATTTTTCTAAGTAAATCACAAGCGCAAATTACACCTAGTTTGACTCAACGCGCGACAACAGCTGATAAGAAACAGGTTTTTATGCGCAACGCTCGCTGTGAAACTATAGACCCTACGTCTTTACACGAAGTCTCAATTTTGTCTGAACCAACAGTTTGCGATGAACCGCAGTTTACGCGTAGCTACCGTGATATTGTAGTAAATGACGGTTTTGAAACAGTAGTAAACAGAAAAAGCAGAAACAAAAAGAAATACAGCAACATGCGTGGTACGTCGGAAGGTGGCAGCAGCAGAATACAAGTCGCTGAAACGTACTATTCGTTATATGTGTCCCGGGTGAAGAAAAGCGTCTGTGAAGCTGATATTGTGGACTATATTACTAACAAGGGTGAAACGTACATTTCGGTGGAGTTATTGAAGCCTAAAAATGAGACGTCTTTTAAGTCTTTTAAAGTTACTATAACTGCGCAACAATTGAATATTTTTATGAACCCTAATTTCTGGCCGACAGGCGTAGTATATAGACGGTTCCGTCAACAATCACGTCGTAATATAAACGGTTTTAAAACCAGATCTAGTAATCAGTAACTTAAATTCTATAATTGTTTTTTTTTTTTTTTATATAATATTATGGCGACATACGTGAAAAATAATATAAGAATAGCCTCATTCAACTGTAGGTCTCTTAAAAGGTCTATTGAACAAGTACGAATGTTATGTGAATACACTGATATTATTGCATTGCAGGAGACTTGGCTCCTCCCACATGACCTAGATTTTGTAAGTAGTATAAGTGATAATTTTGCTAGTTGCGCGAAGTCGTCCGTAGATACGACTTTGGGTGTCTTGCGCGGTCGCCCATATGGAGGTCTGGCTATTCTGTGGAGGAGGTCAGTTTTTAAAGATGTGAAAATTATCGACTGCTCCACAGACAGACTAGCTGCCGTTCGCATTAATTGCGCGGGAAAACAATTTCTTGTCATGAACGTCTACATGCCAACGAATAAGGAAGAGAATCTGATCGATTTTACGACATGTCTTGCGCAGATTACGGCTATTATTGACGAGTGCGATACCGAAGCGGTATATGTGTTGGGGGATTTTAATGCTGACCCGCAACAGCTGTTCGGGCGGGAATTGACAAATTTCTGCAATGACAATCAGCTTCACTGCATCGATCAGGACTTATTAGGTTGTGACTCAGGCACGTATACTTATATTAGTGATGCCTACGGAACCCGATCATGGCTCGATCATTGCGTTGTGACTACGGCGGCGCGTGACTCTGTTCTCTCGGCCAAAGTCGAATATGGGGTGTATTGGTCGGATCATATGCCGCTAAGTATTGTCTGTGATATCTCTGTGATAGTAATTAAGGACTGTTTAGTTAATAACTATATGCTAAGTGAATTTAATCAAGTGACGTGGGGAACCCGTACGACAGAGCAGATTGAATTGTATAGTCGGTTATGTGATCGTAATTTAACTAACTTGAAATATATATCGCCTGTTTGTATTCAGTGTGACAATCGAATATGTGCGAATCATTTATATTTGATAGATAAGTTTTATGATGATATTGTTAAAATATTAAGAGATGCAGCTATTGATAGTGCGGTATGCTGTCGGCGCATGCACAAAAAGCCTATTTTGGGTTGGAACCACTACGTCAAAAATAGTTACAGAAACGCACGAAATAATTTTGCAAAGTGGGTGCTTGCAGGAAAGCCAGTACAGGGTAAATGGTATGATAATATGAAATCGAGCAAAAGGACTTTCAAAAATAAGTTAAAATGGTGTCAAAATCATGAAGAAGAAATCAAAATGAATGTGCTGGCTATGCACAAGTATAACAAAAATTTTGTTAAGTTTTGGAATTCGACTAAAAAAATTAATGGTGTTACTAAATTGCCTACAAATATAAATAATGAAGAAGACCCCTTATTGATCGCGAACACCTTTGCGAGTCACTTTCGTGTCTCGCCTTTACCTATACCCTCACCCGCTATTAAAATTGATGGGAGCAGAGTTTGTGTAGGAGATGATGATCGTCTAATATCTCCGGAGACTATAGCCTTAATTATAAAACAAATGTCGCGCGGCAAGTCTCCGGGCTTTGACGGCTTAAGCCTTGAGCACATATTGTTTGCGGGGAAGGAAATCTTTTCGAAATTAAGTATGCTATTTAATCTTTGTTTTAGTATGGAATACTTACCCAAAAACCTAATGAAGACTGTAGTGGTTCCAGTACCCAAAAATAAGAAGGGCAACTTGACTGATATAGGCAATTACAGGCCAATATCTCTTGGTACTGTGATTGGGAAAGTGTTTGAAAAGGTCCTACATCAGGACCTAAAAGACCTTAGTATTGACGATGCGCAGTTTGGTTTTCGGCCGGGGCTATCGACAGATTCAGCCGTTTTTAGTCTTAAAAGTACGGTTAACTTTTACAAAAGTCGTAATACCTCAGTATATGCGTGCTTTCTGGACTTATCCAGGGCTTTTGACCTCGTAAATTATAATTTGCTATGGGAAAAGTTATTAGGGCATAACGTGCCACTGAAAACGGTCGGTCTGTTGAGGTTCTGGTACGAGAACCAAACCAATTGTGTTAAATGGGGTGACTCGCTATCCAGTGAATATAGACTGGATTGCGGAGTACGCCAAGGGGGGCTGACCTCTCCGGACCTCTTCAGCATCTACGTCAACGATTTGATCGCTGAGCTGAGAAGCACTCATGTCGGGTGCCATATTGGCAATCTGTGTGTCAATAACCTAAGCTATGCTGACGACATGGTGCTTCTCAGCCCTTCGATTAACGGGTTAAGGCGAATGCTTTACATCTGTGAAAAATATGCACTGTCACATGGCCTAAAATATAATACGGCAAAGACAGAAGTAATGGTGTTTAGGGCTGGAAGAGGTCCGGACCATGTGCCCAAGGTATATTTAAAGGGCGAGGCGATAAAAATGGTTGATAAGTTTAGGTACTTGGGGCACGTATTAACGGAGCGGGCATCTGACGATGCTGACATTGAACGTGAAAGACGATCACTTGCCGTAAGATGTAACATGCTGGCGCGTCGCTTTGCCAGGTGTGATAACGAGGTGAAAACACTTTTATTTAAAGCGTATTGCCAGAGTTTTTACACATGTCAACTTTGGTGTAATTTTACTCGGAGGTCCTACAATGCGTTAAGAGTTCAGTATAATGATGCCTTTCGTATTTTAATGGGGCTTCCGAGGTTTTGCAGTGCGTCCGGCATGTTCGCCGAGGCAAGGGTATCGGACTTTTACGCGATCGTAAGATCGAGGGTCGCATCATTTTGGAGTCGCGTTAACACATCACCGAATCTCATAGTGCAAACTTTCTCCGAGTACCTAAGCAATCCCATTTTAAGGAACTGGGCAAAAGTGCACGCTGACAGCAACCGCAAATAAACAGTAATATTAACTAATTAGTATTATTATTATTTTTCTCATTTTTTATATGACATATTTGTAAGATGTGGGTTTATACCTGATTAAAGAATTATTATTATTATTATTATTATTATTATATTATTAAGCAGGGAATAGACAATCATTCGTTCTTTTACGTCACTACGCAGGATTAAAATAATATTGTTTTATATTGGTCATGGTACGAATCTGAGTAATGTTCTTTTAAGCCTGCAACAAAACGTTCCTGATACATCATAGTTTTTAAAAGATTGTGGTAGCCCCCAGAATGTATCATTTTCATATATTTATATCTATTTTTTTATAAAGTGGCAACTTTTGACATTATTTGGCAAAACTTTAGCATCTAGTGCCGAGAAAGAATTATAGATGGCGCTACCATGTTTGTTTTTTACACAAGCATTAACTATTAAGTAATATAAACTTTGATATAAACAGAGGAAAATTTAATGAATATAAGATGATGTTATAATATTTCCTTATTTATTAGCCAAATTTACAAAACGCAAACTTATCAAAGAAGCGAGGTTTGTGCCGTTATACATAAAGCTGATGCCGCTTAAATTACAATGCTGTGTGAGGTCGTGGTACGTCTTGCGCAGCCTGAGGACTTACAAAAACGACGAGAACTCGTTCGAAATTACTTCTCTGAGAGCTTTTGGAACACTTTTATATTCTTTTTTCTTCAAGAGGTTGGTATTCGTATACATATTGGTGATTGAAAACAGTTAACAAATTTTAAAGCTATACTTTCACAGTTGACACTGGAGTGTTGCGTATTGAGCGGGGCAGTTCTTTTCATATTCTGCGGCGTGTCTGCTAGCGCTTGTACTCTGCTCGTGCCGAGTGCTGCAGCTGTTGTCGCCGTTGCCGTTTTAATCCATGGGTTGACTCTGGCACAGAAACATTCAGAGGTAGGTCACCGCTTTGTTTCTTCTACTTGTAGTAAGAAAAGATTGTGTATATATAACAATAGTGTACGTGGTTCTTCAGAGTATTAATGGAGAAATATTGGGTGTAGTAGTGGAGACTCAAGGGAACCTGCTGCCTTCTGCGGTTGGACCGTTGCCGATACATTTGAGACTAAATGAAGCCCACAATTATAAGAGACAGTCAACGCTGTATTCACAAGTAAAGTAAAAGGTTTTCAATCTAGTTAATATAAAGAAAACAATTTAAGGAAGTAAAAAAGCCATTTATTTTTTGACAGATTATTGCAACAGTAAGCATCTCAGAATACCATGGTGTCTCCCGCAGTGGTTGGTTTCATTCATTGACCGTGCACCCACAGTGAGTTTGTTATTTAGTCAAAACATGAGTGAAAGGAGTGAAACACATAAAGTCAGATGGGCTAGTGTGCACTAGCATCACATTGATTACTATTGGCTTAATTATTGGACGATGACTCAAATACATTATAATTAAAGCTATTATAAGAATTTTACACAATAATCAGCCAATGTTTTACTTGTCTACTAGTCTGAATACTTCTAGTCAAAATTATAATCCATAATGCAAGTCTACAATACATCAGAATTGTTTCTACTATCTTCAACACACATTCACCGCATATATAGCAAAAAATTATCTGGGTCCTTTCCAACAATGTCTCCCTGTACTACAATAAAGCAAAAATTTTAACCTTTTTGGACACGCTTATCTTAATAACAACCAAAGACTTAAATGAGGACTAGTAGATGCACACATAGCTTAAAACGAGGTCCCGTTTTAAGCTATGTGTGCATCTACTAGTGCTTACTACCCCTTTAAGTGAGTTACAAATGTTTTTTTTAAGCAGATGGCGAAGGCGAGGTTTAGCGCTCGCTCTGACAGATGCGGCTCGACGGTTGTCAGTAGGGCGCGGTCTGCAGTCACTGGAGTGCGCGCTTAGTCATCTACAGAACGGTGCGCGTCGTCTGCTGCAATTGGCAGGGTATTCATGAATTTATATTATACTAGCTGACCCGGCAAACGTTGTTTTGCCGTATAAAAATAAGGGTTGATTGTAGAAGGGTGAAAATTGAGGATTGTATGTATTTTTGTATGTTGTATCATAATCAATTCAAAATTAGATATATAATTAAAAAAGAAATTAAAAATTTTGTCTAAAAAATAAAAAAAGAAATTTAGGGGTAGCCCACCCCTAACATTTAGGGGAATTGAAAAATAGATGTCCTCTTCTCAGACCTACTGAATACACATATGAAATTTGGTAAAAATCAGTAAAGCCGTTTCGGAGGAGTACGGTAACTAACACAGAACTTTATGTATTAGATTAAGAAAGCCGGTTACCATTTGATAAAAAGCTATCCAAATAGTTTATATCAGTTCCTAACGATTCTACTATCTCTAGACAAATAATATCTTTTTCTGTAATGGACATGAACTAATACTATTCTCTATTAATTGTATTATGCAGATGGGAGTGTCGAGGCTCGTACGAGCGTCGTTTAATGGGAGCGGCGCTGACGTTGCCTATGCTTCGTCTGGGCCTCGATCTTCCGTTCCCCTGACTATGGCGCGGTGTCATTTAAAAGTTGTGTATTTCATATGGATAGGTGTGGCAGAGATAGTTGTGAACTTTATATGGTCTTTGAAACGAGAATAAAAGACAATTACACTAAATTACTTGTACATTACTCACTTTCTATGCAAAGCATGTGACATTAATATATACTATCTATACTAATACATGTATAAAGCTGAAGAGTTTGTTTATCTGTTTGTAAGTTTGAATGCGCTAATCTCGGGAACTACGGGTTCGAATTGAAAAATTGTTCTGTTTGTGTTGGTTAGAGCATTTATCGAGGAAGGCTATAGGCTATAAAACATCGTCCTGTAACTAATGAGAGCGAAGATACAGCGGGAAATGTGTCAACAATTGGTAAAGTTACTCATCATTATGGGTTTCCGAGGCGTACGCTGCAACAACGGTTCAAGATACCCAAAAAAAAATGTATCAGAGAATGATTCCTCTTTACATGATCTAAAAAAAGTCTACGACGCTATATGTCTACCTTATAAGATTATCATGCAAGAACGACGGGAAGGGACGCGACTGATGTCGTATAAAATAACTATTCTACTCGGACGAAGTCACGACCATACCAGCTAGTTATATATAATTGCCTCCTAGTATGAATCGTTTATCCGTTCTCCCATCCTTATCGAAAGCGCTTTGTCAACTTTTTGATTCGAATCCAGATTGGGTTCACTGTACGGGGCTTTTAACATTGAAAAAATTACTGGAATTAAAATACTAGTATTAACTTGTTAAATACCCGCGATCACTTTAAAATTTTCTACATTGTTTCTGACGTACATGGGATATGATGTGAATGTTACCGAAGACGATATTTACTTTGAGTGTAAAATGTTATTGAACAAGCTCATTTTTTTTAACAGCTTGCGTAAGCTACAGACTTTAGCTTACTGGAATGACTAATACCTCCGATAGTTAACCGAAGGTATCGTGCCTTGTAGACATAATTTATTAATTACTGGTAATTGGTCTATTAGATTCGTTATCTGTAATCAATAAATATCAGTGACTGTTACTCATCCCGTATATTGAAAAATGTCATATGTAAAACAATGGTCATTTGACAACTGACAACTGAGATGAGAATTTGACAGATGAAAGTACTATATCTATATCTGTGGAAAAGTCGAGAAATAAGAAGTAAGAACAGAGATTACAAAGTGAATTGCGAAGAATGCATTTTATATCTTATATGAGAAAAAAAAACCTAACTCAAATAAACGATGCAATGTGCGATTTAAAAATATGAACAGCAACTACGACGCAATCCTAATATACTGCGTAAATATGCCTTAGTCAATGAAAGGTACTGATATTGTTCAAACAAGTGTGAGAAAAAGGCCGAGATGTTTTTGAGAGGAGATAAGACATGGAAAGAAGAAGAGAATGAAAAAGCTAATCTTGACACCATATTCATTGAGCTGATGCAAGACTGCAAGTACAACCCGCCCGGCGCTCGTCTCTCTGCCAAGGTGCGAACCACTCTCGAGAGGTAATCTCCCAACTTTGTGTATCTTGGTTTAATATCATAAATTCTATCATTTATATGTTGAGGCACATCTGATTCATACCCTATATTGTTTGGTGTAGCTCACCAGATAATATAAGATATGAATCTCACAATTTACATTTGTAAACTGGATTTGCTCTTTATTATGTTATTGCACATGATTCAAGATGATATAATCTAATTTAAATTTGTAACAGATTTTTAAACAATCATATATTAAGAAAAGACAACAATAAGTTGTTGCGCTTGGTGGTGTTTTAGGTATATAATCAAGAATGAAAATTATAACTAAATTGAAAATATTTTTTTATTGTGCTTAGATTAGTGCTAGTATGCAGAATAGTAATGTTCCACTGTAATGTGTAATGTTCCCAAACCCAAAACTGAGCCCAGTTTTAGGTGCTGGCGACCCGTGATCAACAAAAGTGGCATACTCTTGTTCCGAAAGCCAAGATCCACTTTGGGTCACTGTGCCAGCGGTGAAAGTAGTAAAAACTAAATCCCTCTTATAGCATCAAGTGGTTTTAAAAGATCGCTTTTTAATTCCAGGCTGTCACCTGCAGAGCGTCGTGAGCTGGTGATAAGAACACGCGATGGCTGTGCTCCTCTATTTGTAGCGGCGCGACGCAGCAACGTCGAGGTCGTTGAATATTTGGTGCACGTGTGTGGCGCTCCGCTGGAGCAGCGTGGCATTTACGAGATGCCGGACGAGCGCAGTGCCCACCTTGTCACACCCCTCTGGTGCGCCGCCGTGTCTGGCAGACTGCCAGTGCTCCGAGCGCTCGCCGACGCCGGAGCAGATATTAACGCGGCGTCCGACTCGGGATCAACACCTGTCCGTTCAGCCTGCTTTATGACACACATTGAAGTTGTGAAGTTCCTCGTGGAACGGGGCGCCGACATCCACCGGCCGAACCATGACGGAGGCACTTGCCTCATAAACTCAGTGCAGTCGACGCCGCTCTGCGCCTTCCTGCTGAGTCACGGCGCCGAGGTGAACGCGCGCGACATGCAGCGCAAGACCGCTCTGCACTACGCTATACAGGAGCATCGCCGCGGTACTGTCCAGTTGCTTCTACAGCACGGCGCTTCTCCGCTGCTGGCGTCGCGCGCCGGCGACGATGCGCTGCGCACAGCTTGCCTCAAGGGCGCCTCTCTAATAGTTGACTCATTGCTCGCCGCCGACCCTCCGTATTACAACCTAGAGCGAGCCGCCGACGCCTACGAGCTTCTCGGTGCGACCGAGTTCGACGAGTTCAATGACGTCGCAGGGGCACTGTCTTCGTGGCGCCATGCGACCGCCATCCGCCACCGCGGGACTGAGTACCTCGAAAAGAGACCATGGGTGCCGGAGGAGGCCGCCGAAGAGTGCCGCTCTGCGGCAGAAAACGAGGCGCTGTGGGCCGCCGCGGGCTCGGCTCTCTGCGGCACGCGCGAGTGGCGCACCGCGGCCGAGCTCGACGCGGCCGCGACGGACGTGGACGCTCTACGCACGCAAGCGCTGCTGGTAGCGGCGCGCACGCTCGGCCCCGCGCACAAGGACTGTCTCTTCCGCCTGATGTACCGTGGCGCCGCCTACGCCGACGCCGATCGATATCGGCGGTGCGTCGACCTGTGGACGTGGGCACTTCACATCCGTATCTTTCGCGACTCTCTCCTCTCGACCGACACTTGTCACACGGCCAGCGCTCTAACGCGCCTCTTCCTCGACGCGGCCGACGGCAGGCTGGAGCGAGCCGGAGCTGACTTCCCGCCGCACAGCGACGTCTCTAAAGTGTTCACGCTTCTGGCGGAGGAACTGCCCGGCTGCAGGACGGCGTTGCGCGCGCGCCCTGTGCACAAGAAACAGGCCGAGACTTTCGATCGCGCGCTACGTTGCGTAACCCATCTGCTGCACTTGCTGCTCGCTACGGCGCGCGACGAGGAGCAGCGCGACGCCGTGGAGGCGGCCGCGCGGAGGCTCGTCTCAGCCGACCTGCGCAGCGCCCACACGGGGGACTCGGTCCTTCACCTGTGCGCGTCGCGCCTCAACGTAGTGCGGTCGACGTACTTTGCGGACGAGCTGGCGACGCCGCCCGTGTTCCCCTCGGTGGAGGTGGTGAAGCTGCTGCTGCGCGCCGGGGCTGACGCGCGGCTGCGCAACGAGGCGCGCTCCACGCCTTTGCACGTGGCCGCCATCCCCTACAACTTCTCGACCGAACTAGTGGAAGCGCTGCTGGCGGGTGGCGCGCACCTCGACCAGCCCAACCGCTTCGGGGACTCGGCTGCCGAACTGCTGACACTCAGCGGGGACTCCCGCGTTCGTCCGCTTCTCTACACGTCACTTCGCTGCTTAGCCGCTCGCGCGCTGCTCGCCGCTGGCCCCTCCCGGGCGCCCTCCCGCACCGACTTGCCGCTCACCTTGCTGGACTTCCTCGATCTACATCGCTCCTGAACTATTAGGCACTTTAAGTTTTAAGCGCTGTAAATATTATAATTAATGTGTATATTACTATTTAATAAAAGAAAAGACATAGTTATTCAATAATATCATGTAATCTAAATGTATTTACGATAACGTTTTACAAATATTTTGAGATCTCTCGTGTCGCCCCATACTGAGTAGACAATAAAGAAAAGAGCACGCCGTTCTTGATATTTATTCCTTTTCATTTTATTATTAAATATCGTCATTCATTCTACAGTTTATCAACACAGCCTTGGGCATAAAGCCTCAATTAAAAGAAATTGCGACGTTTAATTTATTTTGTTTTATTAAGTACATATTTTGATTCATTCTTCTTTCGGTTTATGTTTATAGTCTCTAATTTTCGCACAAATGATGTTTTACTATATCACTAACTTGGATTACACCAAGTTAAAATTCTCTAACCACAATATCGCGAGCTCGAAGCAGAATCGAAATCAGTGGCAATAGCAGCGACGACCGGGGCAAAGCGATCGCAGGCGAAGCGGCGTTCGAAGATTTAGCAATGTTACGGCGGTGGCGATCGACCACGAATATGCGCCCGCCCATATCTGAAACATGATCATTTTTAGCGGAGGAGGAAACAAACCTTTACCTTATTGAACAAATTCCTCACCTAAGTGTGTGAAGGAGTGGTAATAGACGACATCCGGCCACGTCGAGTTGGGCACGACGAGCAGCTCGGCTGGTTTGCCTTCGGGGGCGCAACTCCAGCGAAGCGAGCGGTTAAAGGCTCGAAATGTTTCGTATGCGTCGTCTCGCCTCGGGTCCGCGGTGGGGTCGCGTTCCGCCCGACAGAGGGCGCCGGCCGCAGCCGCGCCGCGTCGTCCGCGCCTTGCGCCACGTGCACCCGCCAGTACGCGGATAGCTCCCGCGGCTTCGTCGCTCAGCCGCTCGAGGCCGCCGTGCGATTCCGTCGTGATCACGAGCGGGTGGTACAGCGAGGCCGAGTGCGGGTCGTCGCCGCAACGCACTCGGAACGTGTAGCCGAGGCCGCGTCGCAACTGCAGGTCAGGGGCGAGCTGGCCGTTCACGTATAGCGCGAGCTGCGGTGCCGGGCGCGCGCGCCCACCCAGGCCGCGCGCGCCTCCCGCCGGTCCCAGTCGCACGTCGAACACGCGCAGCGCTGGGTCGAAGAGCTCGGCGCGCTCCCATTGCTTAGGTGGCGACGCGTCGCCGATCGTAAAAGGCACGCAGTCCGAGGAAGACGCACGAGTCAGCACAAGTTGTTGGTCTACAGCTGGACGCAGCCGGTGGTAAGCCGGCTCGCGCAAGCGGTCGAGTCCCCCGACCGCCCACACGATGAAGACGGCGCGATCAGTTCGCCACTCGAGGTCGAGGGGCTCGCTCGGCATCAATTGGCGGCGGTACGTCAGCACAGTGAGTCCGTCTTCGCGCGAGGCGCTCAGTACCTGGTTGGAGTCGGTGCCGCCGAGGCGGTCGTCCGGACAGACGCCACGCCAAGCGCCCAGTACGAGCACGCAAGGCGCCGCGGCGGTCACGTTGTAGTCCGAGGCGAAGCCGCGCTGTTGCGTTTTGTCCCAGCCAGCGATCGCTAGATCCGCGCCGATCATCTGCGATCGCGAGCTTGATCCCGATATACCGAAAGCCATGTACTCGTCGACGCCTATCTATGGACAGAAATTGAAATTTCAACCTCCTCACCTTATATACCGCATAAAAATGTACACGTGAAGAATATTACCATTCCGGCGAGTTGAATGGTGATCTGATTTCCAAATATCTCCCAAGAGACTTGCAGGTCGCGGTGCAGTTGCACGCAGTTAGGCAGTCGAGACCTGGTGAAATGACCGATCAGGTGAGTGAAACATGATGCCTACAGGAATAATAACGGTATCTGTTAAAAGGCACTCACGCGTATTCGTGTAGCTTGAGGTTTGCAGGGGGCACATTTAGCTCGTGCGGCAGCAAGAGAGTCGCCAATGCGGTTGACTCGCGGCGATTCCAGAGCGCGACCCAGTCCAGTCGAAACACACCTCCAGACCCCGAACCGACCCGTAGGCGTACGTCTTCGCCTCGATAGGAGCGCGCCGGCTCTAGATAACCCTCTTCGTCCGGGACGACGGATCCTCGAGACGAGGGCTGCGGCCCGACGCCCGCCCACCAGTATACCTCCTGGCCATCCGCCGAGAACCGCAGTTCGGGAATGCTACAAGAAATAGTTATCTGCGCTGGCCTGATACCTTTACGACTGCAATATAAGAACAATCAAGGTAATATGCGAATGGGACTCACAGCAGTGTCGAAGCATCGAGCACCTGTACGGGTCCGCTCGAGATAGAGACCCCGGGTGCGGGTGTGAGCGGCGAGAGGGCGCGGGGAGCAGGTGACTCGAATTGGTCGGGCACGTAGACGTCTCCAAATGCATTTTGCGACGCCAGGTCGTACACCGCGAACCAGCTCAACCGTGATATGCGCTTTCCGTCAGGCATGCGCAAGCGCACCTCCTCGTTTTTGTACCGCTCGAGTATGTTAGTTCTGCCGGAGAATAGGTATTAAGCCATTGACCAATGGGGTTCTTGTGTCAAGCCGCAACACGGCTAGACACTCACTTGCCGTGTTGGTCCGGAACGATGAAGCCGAGAGGTCCCGGACGACCCGAGTCTCCCGCCCAGAAGAACGTGTCGTCCCCTGTTCCGTCATAGTTAAAGTCGACCAACAATATCGTCCAGTCGTCCGCGGCGTATACTTCCCCGGAAACCTAAAAAGCCATTTGCACTTTTAAATATACTATACGACATATAACTGCAGTCTACTTTAATTTTAAGGATTTTACATGCCTGGTGATGATAAGAGTTAAGTTTCCCTATGTATTTGCCTCTGTACGGTCCCTCGTCATCTTGGGAAGAACAATCTGAAACGAGTCCTCGGAGGCATTAACATAAAAAGCCAAGCAAAGTTCGTAAGGAGAAAGTATACACAACGTACCTCGTGCAATAAAAGCAAACAATATAAATAGTACTTTGCACATATTTCTACGTAAAATGACACCTTTCAATGGACTTTAAGAGCGATTTACATGTTTTCTAACACAGGATATCGTGATAAGTAAATCGTTCCGGTTTTCTTTACGAGGCCACAAACGACCGACATGTCACGTCACACAAGGTAGCTCACTTAAACTGAATGGCAAAATGAACATAATTAACAGGCTAGTCATGTCCCTCGTTGTGATTGGTCGTCTCGTGCGCAGAGTTAGCTTAGGCCAATCGCATGCGACGTCGCCCATACCACTTTCACTTGCTCACGATTCATACGGGCTGAGAATAGCCGCAGGTTACATTTTAATAAAATTGTGATGGCAATAATATGACTCGAATTACATAAATTCATTTGAAAACATTTCATGCAGTACATTAACATTTAACATATATGACAATGTTTGTTGTCGTCGAGTCAATGATTTCTAAACTTCACGAAATCGAACGCTCAAAACTTTGGTTTTTTGTAACTTCTCAACTATCTGCTGACTGTAATTTTTGTGAAGAATATTATTATTATAAAGAATAGTTATTGCCTAGGATGTGGTAATACGCGTAAAACTGAAATTTGGAAAATACTACTCTTGCTCCCTTCATCGTTCAAGTCAGGTTCAAACTTCTTGTGTGATTGCTATTTTAGAAGCATAGGCGTTAAAAATTAAGTTGTGATTTTTGCTGAGAGTAAAATAACTTTTGATTACTTTATCTAGTTTTGTTTCATTAATGTCAATTGAAGTTTTGTGCTTCTCGACAAATAAATGACATCTATTCCTCATCGGACAGGTCGTACTTTTTGAGAAAAGGAAATCTTCAACTTACAATGTGAGCGAAGGTACGTACCTTCTAATACGCGGTAAGTTTTGAAAAGCATTGGCAAAATCGACACCCTCGCTAAGGCCCGAGCGCAGAAGTGGTGCGTGGCTCTGCCGAATCGTCTAACGACGGCCGACGGCCAGTATACCTGCGCCCGCGCTCCGGTGCGCTCCTAAGTGCAACGCGGTCATAGTGAAGTCGAAGCACGACTGCAGCTAACTTTGGCTCCGCCATGATTGTGTCGGCAGCTATTTTGCTGCTCCTGGCGACAGGTGAGCTATATGTTTATATATATGTAGACGATAAATAAGTTGAGAGATAAATTTGGAGGATTTATACTAAACTAAAAATACGTACTTGTAGAATGTTACTTTGTCGAGAATCATCGCAGCGGACGTTCGCTTTATAAGCCGAATTCGAAGGAGGCACAAATAAATAACTTAGAGAATTGAAACTTAAGCGAATACCTAACTTAGAGGAGATGGGACATCACTTGTGAAGTTGATATTCGAAAGTTTATCTACCAATAAGTATCCATTCGCGTAGAGGCAGGTCAGGTAGACTCTCAAGAGAAGTGCGCGCATCGTTATCCAGGTTATCGTGATCGTGCTCTCGCCCACGCTTGTACAGTTACGACGAAAGTTGACCTGTTGCCCTCCAAACGGTCTCTCTCCACTCTATTCCCAAAATATGTCCTTTCGTTTAGGTTGTACCACTTTAAGAGTGCTTAAAGTGGTACACTACAAGTTAGCACTATAACAAATCACATTTACATGGGAAGATAAAGGCGGGATCCGTTGGTAACATTTTAATGTAGTCCATTCGAGTTTCAATTTAGTTAACAGTGAACATTATTTAAAAAGAGTAGGTAACGCTTCCATTGTTAAGCTGAAAACAAAAGAACGACTTTCTCAGTGAATAAAGCTACAAGTTTGAATTTCACAACAATCAACGATCAACTTATACCTAATAAATATTCATCTCCCGTTTTATTAATAATTTTTATGATAGAAGACAATTACGTCGAAATTCACGTTCTTAGTGACAATCGTTTTTCAAACAATACAAGTATGTAATTCTATTAAATTCATTTTATTGAATGGTAAAAATAAAAATTTACTGTCTCTTCGTTTTGATCACAGATGAACATTTTTGACACAATTGTGACATAAAATATGAAGAAGACAGTTATTCAAAATGATTGAATCTTTATAAAGCTAGTAAGTGCCCCCCAAATAGACTAACCTCTTCCGACAGTCTTGTTCTAGAAATTTCTTCCCGTAACACTTCCTTCCTTGGTCATATGCTTCGCGCGACCTGCACGTACCCGTGTTATTTATTTATTTAACTTGATTATTTATAAACACTGCAGGAGTTATTCTATGAATACAAAAAAATCATAGGAACTAGTTTATAAATAAAAGGCGGCCTTATCGCTAAACAGCGATCTCTTCCAGGCAACCTAAAGTGTAGGGAAAAACAAAAAGGGGACTATGGGTAGGTGGTGCTAAGGAGAATAATAATTAAGAACATAAAAGGTAATAAATATTTAAAGAGTGAGGTTTTGAAAGAACGGAGAGATTGAGCTCTACTGACATCAGTAGGGAGAGAATTCCAGAGAATGATAGCTTTAATGGTGAAAGAGTTGTCGAAAAAGGAGGTTTTATGCGCAGGAATAAATAACAGAAGATTATGGTGGAGCGAATTATTTACAAACAAGGGTTGCCTGCGAGACATCCCTCCATAGCGATAAGGCCGCCCATTCCACTCCATAACTAGTAACAATATTTTTTTCTTGAATAGTTGTATTCTTAAGATAACATTTGTATATAATTTGTTTGTGTCGCAATAAAGAGTTAAAATAATTATATTTTATTATTTAGATTATAATATAAATGATTGAGGTTCATTAATTTAAAATTTACATTGCATTCATTAAATGGCGCCTAAAGTGAAAAACAAAGTTTTTCCAAATAATCGAAAACTTTTTTCTAGAATATCCTGTGAATAGTTAAGAAATTACATTCTTAGCGATCAGGCTTCGAAGTCCCGGACCAACATCGAGAGTAGAGTAGAGTAGAGGAGATCATGTGGATCGTTTTCGGGGATCGACCCGTGTTTATTTAGGGTTGCGCGAAATTGTTCGGAACGTTTAGTGGTGGTGTAGACTTCCTGCAGTGGTGCACTCGTGCCATCCGAAAACTCGTGCAGCCCGGGAAAATACTGTTACCCACCTAATCGTAGACTAGTCGACTATCGCTAGATTTTACGACGCATAATAACACATATAAATACGATGAAATAGTAGATCTCATGACCTCAGCGGAGTTAGTAGATTATATCTTCCGATCCGTTATTCGCTCGCAGACATAACAGTTACGCGGCCGTCTCTAACCTAACTTAGCATCCTACCGCCGACTGGATACAGTCGCTCACTAGTCACTCGCGACAGTGCCGAGCCATTTAAACTATATTAGTTCGAATTTTTTATAATTATTATATTTACCCTAAGAATTACAGACGTCGGAGACGATATTTAGTTAGAGTAGACCGTCCTCCGCCGTCGTGCTCACGGTTCGAATGGCCGATTGCGATCTCTTGAGTCTCGTGGCGTAACGCTGCGCAGTTGTTCTTTCGCCTGATATACCTCCGGGGAGTACATGTGTGGCGAATAACCCTTTCGGCCACCTCCGACGCGGCGAGTGGGTCCGCGGCCGACGGCGCATTCCTTCAAACCGCGAGCCGAGAAAACAACGGTACTCGCAACGGAGCGAGATCGAACACGAATCTTACTCTGCGGATGCTTCGTTGAATCGCTCCACTTTTGTCGGGGACGATTACTTTAAATAGATCGCATCATAAACATCATCGATGGATGTCGCGAAGGACCCGCACTATATTCGAGAAGTTGCGAGAATATTAATTTTTGTAATACAGTAGTCATTTCAGTTCGTGTAAGTTGAACTTAATTTTTTGCATTAGATGAGGAAATAATGCAAACTTTTTTATTCTATAGTCTATAAAGACCTGAATATAGATATTCAGGTGATATTCCAATGAGATATACATAAGTACCTACTGCCAATATTTCTCTCCAAGATTAAAACACATCCTAGTGTCATGTTTAATTAAACTAATTGACGAATGGAACAACAATTCGTGAATCGCAAGTCCAATGACTTGGCAATAAGTTGTTTCTATCTATGCAATATATATTTTGTATTGAACGTTTTTTATTCATTTATATGCTTCCCGGTTTTATAACCTGTTATTAATGCGAAAGCCTTTTTATCTGCGTCGGATTTTATTTCGCCCATTATACAATTTGTCTAAATATCTTTAATATTTGAAGACTTAATTGTTTCTCATATTGCATTATGCACGTTAATACTGTACAAATTAAAAACCTATTTAGATTAAAAAATATTGACAACACGCGGGGATCGCGAATCGGTAACCGCAACGTTCCGTGCCGCTACTCCGATCGATTGAGCTACCTCGTTGCGCGTTTTTAAAAGAAATGAGACATTTTAAAGCGATCGTGGCTTTACTGCCGGTCGCTCGCGGTTGGAATGTGACGTCATTTTTAAATATTGAACTTTGATTTTGATGAAATTGATTGCCACTGCATCGCTGCGATTGCGATGGTTTTCAGCGGTTTCCGTATTCCAAACACTTGGGCCTGCCTCGCGTAAGTGGCTGTCGAATTCCTTGGAGTCGAGCCGCGACCGTGGAAGAATAGAGACATTCGAGGCTTAAGAGACTTCGCGTGAGTTGCACAATTAGGTGTGGGAGAGCAACAATGGCGGCTGCGTTAGCCTAATGGAAGGCTCGTCGCGTCGGGGCGGCAATTAGCGACCCGACGACCGGCCGAGGAGCTCTTGAGCAATCGACCGATCGACTGTTACGCTCCTTGTGCAACGCCGAGGCGCGTAATGCCCGGGCGCAGAAATCGTCTCCGAATCACTTCGAACATGAGATAGACGTTAAATACTGTCTATAGTTTACGCGAGTAGTACACATTTAAATAAAACACTTTAACGGTTTAAAACGCGATATATTAGTTAAACTTATTTAAAAATCATTTTTAACTTCGGCCCGACGTTTCGGATTCTTTGCAGCAGCCGTGGTCACGGGGAGACGTTAAAAATCATTTTTAAATAAGTTTAACTAATATATCGCATTTTAAACCGTTAAAGTGTTTTATTTAAATGAGATAGAAGTTATTAGAAAAAAATTAAAATTTCCTCAGTGCGAAGTATGTCACGATGTCGTTATATATTAACTATTTAATATGTTAAATATTAACTATTTAATAATTGACATAGAGACCTCAGAAAAGGTGGAACGAACGTCGCCCTTTTGACACCATTAAAATGCCTTTATTACCTAATTCCTTAAAGTTTGAAAAATAAATGGACATCCTTTCGGTCGTATCATAATTTGTGTCTAGCTGCATCGCCTAATGAACACAGTTGAGCTTAATCGGTCGAGCCGAGCGACAAAAATGCGTCGAAAGTGAGAGCAAGTGGAAAGCGACGCTCGAGCGGCTGACATCGTCGTCATCTCGATCGCTCCATTTAAAAAATTCGCACGCTCGATGCGATGCGAAGCGACACGACCGCCATGTTTACTGCTAGCGGTCCGCGGTATTAAATGAACGTTTCCGAACTTATGAACCTGTTTGTTTTTGCGACGGCGATTAGACGAAGATAATTCAAATATTAAATGTATGAATTCCTTAAAGATCCTTAAATCTTTTAAAGACTGCGTTATTGATATTAGTCCCCCCTATCTATCGGTTTGAAACTTTTAGAATTAATTGTAATCGGTGTCATCAATCATTCAAAAGGGTCGTTCGCTTCGGTCCCGAATCGAATGTGACTCGGGAGAGCCGTCTCACGAGTAGCACGCGAGACAAATATGCTTGTATGTACACGTACCCGTTAGCGATATAATCGTTAACTCGCTCACCAAGAGTGAAAGTTCGATTAGATCGATCGAACGGCATCTCCCGCGTGTCCACGGCGACATTATGTTGTTGTTAGACTTGAAGGACAATTACGGCACCTTACAAATGAAACGGAACCGGTTTGGCGATGGAACGACTGCAGTTCGCCCTGCGAACGATGTAATATTTGTGAGAATGTATATTACGTTCTTTATTTGTATGTATCTGGTTAAAGATTTGACGTGCGTCCTTTCGTTCCACATTTACGTAGAAATGACTAGGACCACTGGGAACTGACACTTTTCCATCGAGAGACGTGAAATTAATCTAATCGAAACCGTGAACGGAAAGAGAAATTAATCGATTATTTCCTTGATCTACTTCAAAACGAGTTTTTAGCTTTCACTTGAATAATTACGATAAATCTTGATAGAGCAATTACTTATGGTTTTGTAAGGTTAACGACGCACTTTGCGAGATGATCTCGGGTGTGCAATCCACCTTTGAGATGGAAACGAGTTGAGCAAGCGGCGTATTGCACGAAGGACAATGTTTCCAACTCCGTAATCATTGAGTTACCAAACACACGCAGCACACGAGAGTTTCTAGCGATGCCAGTGAATACTTCGATAGTTTATTTGAATCAACTAACTGTCTACACCTTAGAGACAAGGACGGCCTTGTCTTTGTGTACCTTTACAAATATATTGAAACACCGCTTTATAATGAGCGGCTTGAGCGCAGTGCGCCCGGAACCGGCCCACCGTAGTGGCCTAGTCCCGCAATATTCCCGCAATCTATGATTTATTGTTAACCTTTAGAGGTTCGCCTCGATTCAGTTTCCGTTCAACGGACTATAGCCCTTGTCGCCGAGGCGGACGAGACGTTATGGCGCGACATTTGCGCGAATTTTTCTCTGGCCATTCAAAGCGGATCACTTTCTTGAGAACACTTTCTTGTACGTAACGACCGATATTGTCTTCGTACTCGAAGTGAACTAAAGAGAGTGAAGCCTATATTATACCCTTTGGTACTATTGTACGGACAAACGACGAACAAAATCTGTAGTGTAGAACAGGTTAAGCGTATACTCCCGAGATTCGAGTACCAGAGACTGTTGTGTATAATAGTTGTGTTAACGTTATGCTGTAGAGTTGAATGTTAAGATAAAGATAAGTTTAAGAGAGAGGCGAGGTAACCGAACCCAATGTTTTTTTAATATAATTTACAAAAAGTGGGAAGGTAGGATGCTAAGCTAACCTTGTAATATTTGCTCTTAATATAAACATTGACATAGATTACAATTTATGCTAGCTATGCTCTAAAATAATATTATAATAAATATACAGTAAATTTGTACGGGCGTCCGTCCGTACATTTCTATAATAGCTGACAGATTGTTTCCTAACTTACTAGTATTGTTTATTTTTCAGAGACACTGTAAACTGCACGGTTTACACTTGTCAGACTTGAAGTAGCGTGCTTCTTTTGATAGCGAGTAGACGGAGCTGAAAGACGACTTAATCCGAATGTATCTCTACCAGCAGGTGGCACCGCGGGGCGGCACTTCGGCGCTCAGGTGGGCGCTCTCTCGCAGCTGCAGCACGGCGTCCGCGGGACCGTCTACGCGGTGGACTCGCGGACTATTTTCCTCAAAGACTTCCACTACGACGGCGTCGGACCGGGTGAGCGAAACGTGACTTCCGAGGCTTCTCGTCACACTGGTGCACTTTGAAAATAGCGGGGTGACAACGCGTCAAATCTTTATTTATATAGAAAACATTATGAAGAACTGAAAAACAAATATTAATTAAACCGGCTACGTAACGCGTAACGCATAACTCGTAACGCCATAAGTCGATCTGTAAAGATGTCAGGTCATAATTTCTGCCACGAACTTGTTTTTCTATCCAGGGTTGTACGCAGCGTTCGTTTACGACCTTCCCTAGACGAAGAACTAGTACGAAGTGGGCACTGCCACCTGACATTTTGCTCGATCCGATGGCAAATGAAAAGAGAAGTAACTGTAAATGGCCATTCTATATGTATATTGGTATACATATGACGTGTAACTTGTTTCGTAATGAATATTATACTATTTTTGCGTTTTTTGTCATCCGAAACTTACTGAATCGATAAAATCAAATTTATCACTCATCAATTATTTGCATTAGTTTATGTCTTTGATAATCAATAAAAATTGTTGTCCTTCCGTTACAACAGCATTACGACCGTTGACGATCGAACGGTCACAGAGAGACGTTCGATATTCGCTAATAAAAATATTTTGGCGCATCGAACCGAAGACTCGCAGCTAGTCTCGTCTCGGGCGATCCGTTTATTTGTCGTTTTACTCGATTGCTCTCGAGGCGGAGAGCGAGGGGTCTCCTCAATTCTTCGAGTGGCTGAAGGGCTCCGAAAAAATATTTCAGAAAATCCAATCCCGCGCGCCCTCTGCGGCCTGAGCGACGCATCGCAGAGGCTAAATTGTGGGACCGAGAGTCGACGACTCATAATTAGTGTTACCACTAGTGATAGAGGTTATATATAGCTTTTCCAGGGTGAATATCGTCTTCATGAATTAATTATTTCTTAAAAGTCTAAATAGAGAGTTCGATCACTCACTCATCGTGTCGGGCAGGTCCGTAGATAAACAATCAATTGTAACGTCTTTATTTGTATAATCGTGCCGAGTATTAACAATATCTGTTGAATGTGAACAATTGATATTCTGTTATCATTAAAAACAAAAACAAAATTCAAACAGCTCTCGATGACGAATGCTCTCTTTTAGCAAACTAAGAGTTGACGAATTCGCTGATCGCGTAGTAGACTAATCGTAAAGTTTAGTTAGATGAATGTTGACTACAACGGAGCCGACGGAACCGAATCTCCATTTGAAGCTTCTATTCATTTTTCACGATCATTCACGTTTCAGCGGCGTACTTCTACGTGGGCACATCGAAGAGCCCCAGCGCCCAAGGGGGCGTCCGCCTGAGGGATGAGAGGGGCCAGAGCGCTCCTCTGCGCAAGTACCGCGGCGACGGCGTCACTCTCTCGCTGCCCGACGGGAAGACTCTCAAGGACTTTTCTTGGTTCGCCGTCTGGTGCGACGACTATTCGGTCAACTTCGGCTCCGTCGAGATCCCCCGGGGACTGGAGTACCCGAAGCCCGCGAAAGTGGGAGCCCTGCGCGGGGTGCACGCCGTCGCCTCCGATCCCATAGTCGTCGTGGATGCGCAGACGCTGCTTATACCTAATTTTTCCTACGACGGTGAAGCCCCAGGTAAAGATGTTTCCGCAATAATATTATATTATAACCCACTGAAGATATAAAACCGGCCCGCGTTGCACAAACTGTACAAATAGTTTGTCGGATCTGTTTTCGGCATCGACTGAGACATAACCTGCCATATGCTACACCTTTTCCCTGTTTTGTTTATTTATTTTTCGGCTTTGCCGGCTAAAGAGGGATAAGGGATGAGCGTGACGTCATCGCTAAATGGAGCGATGACGTCACCGTAGCCGAGTGCCACGGGTCGGGCTACGCCGCTACGCCCGCGCCGTGCCACTGTCGGGAAGTAGCTTTCTTAACACTCTTTCAGTATTTTTGACTATTCGCTTGTTTATTACACAAACGTTTTATTTCAAGAAACTGAACATAGCCAGTCTTGGCTTTAGGCTTCATCTGAAATGTGTAAATGTATTTTAAACGTTAATTATAAGAACAGTAAAGCGCAGAGTTAAAATGGACGGTAAATAATGTAAATTAAAAACGGAGATAATTGAAACGGAATTGGAATCCAGTTTGCAGTTGTCAGTTGCACTTGACTATGACAGTCCTCTTTTTTCGATTCACGTCGATCGTCCGCGGGCAAATATTCATTCCGATTGATTAACATCGGGGTTGCTGATTTATAAGCGTCTTCATAGTGGTAGTTATTTTTACAGAGCGTGTCGTATGCGTATCTCAGTTACCGCGGACAAATGTATGCAATTATATGAAAAAAAAAAGAAATAACCGGGCGAACGATTTTTAGCCCCGGTGCGGATGTAATAAAATGAATCCTTCGCTTATCGCGGCTTCGTATTGAAATTCAGGAGCGGAAATCGTTCTATATCGACGCTTTCATTTCGCTTATATTCAACGAAAATTGTAGCTTTTTGACGTGGTCACATCGTTTCAAATAGATTGCACATCAAGCGCTCCAATCATTACGACTTAAAAAGCAAAGGAATTGGTAAAAACACTTAATTCGTTTTTTCATTGTTATTTATTTATATTCAATAGAAGAAATACTAACAGCTACTAGTACGTTGTTTTTTTTAATAGATAAAAAATAACGTTCCTACTTCTTACATACATACTTACATAGTCATACTCGTAGCTACATAAAACAATAATTGAATTGAGGACGTATGTACCAAGGATTGGTGCAAGTGTATGTGAGTTATTGCTTTTGAATAGCGCTTAAGCCGGAAAAGCTTATATGGATAAATGTCATTTTTTGGTCATCTGGAAATCATACAAATTGTATGTATTAATTATTTCAAAATTATATTAAGTTTTATAATTAACAAAATAAACCCATTATTATTTACAATAACTACTCACCGTTTCACAATGATGCCCTTACTTGTTTTATAAATTCCAAACACGGCGTATGCCATTAGGCTTGAAATTGTCAATATCGATTGAAAATTACGTTTCACATTTGTAATATTAATATGAATATGTGTCGTACAGATGCAAAGTTCTGGGTGGGCCGCGGTGATAAGCCCTCTCCGGAGGGGATTCGAATCCCGGACGAGAACGGCAAGGAGACACCCTTACGCAAGTACGACAAGAAGACCATCGTGCTCACTCTGCCCGGGGTGAGTCCTTTATGTTTAGCCAAGAAGCGTGATGGGCCGGCTTAGAAAAGGAATCTAAAGTGCCTCGTTTCTAGGAACTCACGGTGTTCGACATCGGCCACTTCGCCATCTGGTGCGAGGCTTTCACGGTGAACTTCGGCCACGTGGTGTTGCCTCGCGCCACGCTCGCCAACGTGCCGCCCAGCCTCAAGATGCTCGGTGTCTCTCCACAGGTCAGTACCTCATTTCCCATAGAGCTTTGAAAACACGACGGAAGACTCGCATAGGCACCTGTGCGCGTAAGGCAAAACTCTATTATTGGTAGGCACGAAGTGGTCGACGACGGGTCTGAAGACCGTAGAGAACGAAGCTTGACGATATCGTAATTTAGCATAAAATTATGATAATAGAGAAGTTTTCGAGAGACGCGATGTACAGCGCAGCTTTAGAAATATGTAGACAAGTGGGCCAAGGGTGTTCGCACGTATTACAGATGTGGTACGCCCCTATGACCGCCTGGCTACCGGGCTTTGTCTGAGTTTTGTTCGTGACAAATGTCGCCCATCGCCATTACTTGACCAGTTGCAAACCGATCCTGCTTCGAGCTGTTTAAAAGTGGCTTCGTCCTTTTCACTTAGAGATTTCGATCTGTCAACGCTACCGACCGGTCACTGCTGACGTTAACAGACGAGACGCGGAACAAACGTCGACATTTGATTCGACTCGCACGGCACTTTTTCATTCTACTAACGATTACATTCGAAATGAAAGTAATGATGAATGATATAGCTCGCGTGTAACCGACCTAACTGAGGCAATATCTCCATAAAAACTTGGACTCGGCCCGCGGCGAATTGCTTCAGCGCGATTGTCTTCATACAATATTGAGAGAGCTGCATTACATAAGGTGAGCTTTAGGCGTTTCGAGCTTACGCGTACTGCCTCTGTATATCGGAGAGTATCGTTAGAATTTGGCACCAGCCGCGAGCGACTTCGGCGGTATCGGCCGAGACGTTTAATCGTAATCAGTAGTTATACCAGTAAGTACTGTAAACGGCATATATCAGCGTCGAGTTCAGGTATGAATCGGCCGGTTCTCAAAGGTCATTGCGCATATTTATATATCTATTCTCATTTATATGTATTTATCTTGCGTTCGTTTGTGTTCGTCTCGAGAACTGAGACTGCGCCTTATATAAAATGAGTTTGCGAAATTATCACGAACGACTCTTGTTTCCTAATATCGTGAAGCAAGCGCATCGATATCTTCCCATCGGTTTTCAAAACTGATAATCGTGTTTGTCTGCAGGATAGCGTTTCCTATACCTCGATTCATCCTAAATTTTAAATCGACTGTTCGTTACCTATAACTCACCGCTTACATCTCCATTTCTTCTTTAAAATACCATCGGAAACCTTACGTTTCTAGAGCTCTGCTGATACAACTCGAACATCGCCTTTTATACAAAATCGTCGCTTAGCAACTAACGTCCATCTCATCTCCCCTCCTCACCTTCATCCTCTTTGTCCCCGTCTTGAGCGAGTTTCCTGTTGCAGAGCCGCAACAAGCAGCCGACGACGGGGCAGCGAACCTCATCCGCCCGCCCGCACAAGTCCCTCGCCCGCCTTGACGCCACCACCTACCGTCCCTCGCGCCTCGGCGCCGGCCCCCGTGACGTCCTAGACGCGGTCGTCCCGCACGTCCATCGACGAGCCGACCGCTCCAACGCTCGCGACGATGCTCGCTCTAGAGACGGTTCGATGAGAAAGGACGACGAGACCGAGAAGGGCGCGGCAAACGAAGAGAAATACGAAGTGGAAATCGTCCCTCAGACGTTCACTCTGCTCGACCCCGTCACCCGGGAGTTGCTCGCGGAGCACTTTCGAAACGAAGAGAGACACCGGGAGCTGCAGAGGCAATTCGACGAGCTGTCGAGGCGGCAAGAGAGCGAGGAACGGCGATTCGACCTTGACCCGTTCGGGGGGTCGCGGCCGTAAAGCACCCCCCGTTCCCCGCTCGTCCGATTTCCCTTCTAGCTCCTCTCACTCGCGACCTCGATCCGCTCGATGCGGTTAGCTATTAAGATACGAAAATACTCCCTTACTGCCAGTAGTGGCGTAAGCCATTGTAGAATTAGCTCCTAACCATGTCGTGGTTGTAGCCTCGTTGTTAAACTTTCAATGCCTCGATTAAAAAGCGCTTCGAGTACGATTATTGTTTAATTATATGTCTAGTTGCTCAGTTCGGCGTACTCGCTTTAAAATTGGGCATTGGACACCTTGGGCCACTAGATTACAATTTACATACAATTTTAGGAATATACAAAATCGTGATTTGTCGATATTAGCTGTTATAATTATTATGATATTGTTCGATACATGTATTATTATACAGCCATGAATGACGGCAAAGAAGTTTTTTATTTATTTCTTGTGGCCTTCGCTATTTGTCAACAGTCCTACAGACAGTAATATTTTTCCCAAATATCCGTTCTGTCGAAATAAGTTTTCACAAAACTGAAATGGGCCCAACGCCACTGACAAAAGACGTCTCGAGTGAAAAATGGAGGCCACACTCTCTTAATAAAATGAAACCGCTCGCGAGCTATTATTCGACGAGGAGCAATTATTATTTATCATTGTCGCGGTTCCGGGGCTTGAGTGAGATAATGCGTACAATAAGTCGTATATAGGGCGGTCGACACAATAGCGACTTTATAGCATAGATTACTCAGTTGAGCTCGTTTCTTTACAAACTGAGTCGGCGACCGCTATATTTTTATTATCTGTGCACAAACGATTCCTTTTTCCCATTTTTTTTAATAATAAAAAAACTGGGTTTTGCGCGCAAAAAAAAACTCTCTTTTTGTCATTGTTTTGTTTAGGCCAATAATACAATATAGGTATAGGATGCATACCTACTAAATGATGATAAGCGTTGAAACTAATTTTCCCTATGACTACTCTCGTCCTGCTTAAGAAACGGGCCTCTCGGCAAAGTCTTGTAAGAAGTCCTCATTATGGCCGACAGTTATTCATGAGACCCCGCCTCGCCGGGCCACTGTGGGTCACCGGTGTATCTACACATTTCTGTGTCGCCACTCGCTCTATTGAAATAATTACCGCAGTTTACAGTTTGGCGTGTTTTGATCGGCTACAAGACGTATATCTTTTGTATACAGGAGCTTTAGAGCTTAAGATGGAGCGTATGAGTGAGCGCGGACCGATTATTGAGAAGCCTCTTCGTTACGACTGAAGTACGCCACAGTGCGCTCTAATTGTCCATCTCACATAGCGATCAATGAACATAATTGTCAGTTTGAGAAGAAATAACCTGATTCTGTACGTACGAGGATGCTTGCTAGTATCCGATATCCTAAAATCGGTACAGTTAATCAGAACAATAAGAAAAAGTCAGAGTCAGTACAAGGATGGCACATTTCTCGGTCCTCCTCTGTAACTCAAAACTACCTACTTTTAAGAAATTGAAATAATACACAAACCGTAGTTAATCAAATAACAAGTTAAGCAATAAGAGTGTTGTATTAAACAATATATATGTACAAGAATATGTAAAGTTTAGTGGTAAAGATTGTTTATTTAGTATTCAAATAACGCCTAAATTACATTTAATCAAAAGGAATACGTACAAAAGGAATCGTACGAGTCAAAGTGGACGTGAATGTAGATTTTATGTGGATGTAATGTTTTCAGTCGAAGCTGAACTGCGAAGTGCTATACGACGAACTGGCGTTCGAGGTGAGGTGGGCCATCGCGGGGGACAGCGTCGTCTTGCAGCTCGTCGCCAAACTGGGTACGGCCGAAGGGATCCTGGCCACTCCGAGAGTGTCATAGGTTTTAGCCATACTTCGAATCGATGCTTTGTATTGTACGTTCTCAATGGCCGAAGTCCAACGGTTGCACTCACACTGCAAGCGCCGACGACTTATGTTATTATGTTTTTAGGGTAGTAAACGATTATAAAAAAAATCTTATGAAGTACATCAAGCTTGTATTTTCACTTGCATGTTGTAGTCAGCCATGCTTAAATCTATATCTCTCTGTAGAAGATGGCGAATACATGTCGTTCGGCATATCTGGTGCTCCGGACAAGTCGCAAATGGTGGGAGGGGACGTCGCCGTGTCCTGGCTGGACAAGAACAGCTTGAAGGGATACGCCGAGGACTATTACCTCGACGCGAAGAGCCAATGTGCGGGAACCCACGGCTCTTGTCCAGACGAGAGACTAGCGGTAAGTGGCACTAGACGCGAGTACGGAAGATGTACATCTTCTTTATTGTTTTTTGTGTACTCGCGCAAGACTGTGTAGGTCGATGGATGGAAAACACGCGCTCACATTTATAATTCTATCTACTAAAAGTAAATCATACGAAGTATTTGTCGGATATATAAGGCGTCGGAGGCTCCCGAGGCGCCATTAAGGCGAGCCGATATCAATATAACATTATGGTTTAATTCAATCGGGCCGAGACGAGACTCTCGCCTCTGGCCAGAGCTCCTTCATTACATAGAAGTCAAATACTCGATTACTAGTATACAATATTATAATTATGTATATATTATGTAGTAAAGTATACTCGTAGTTTCAAATTCGAAGCGCCTGGAAAAAATGTATAGCAATGCTGCGTACTGGCGATCTCACTAATATGAGATTTAGGGTTTTATTTAGGAATTATGTGTTTAGTTATTTACCTCAAAATTCTAATTGCGATATTATTTCTTAATATTAACGCCTCCTAATATAGCATTGGTAAGCAAGGTAAGCGGTCGATAACGTTCTGGGATCGACAAAGAACACACACGAATTGTCACAAGGAGAATTACGCTTCGTCAAATATAGCCTGTTAAATGTGCAATTTATAGAAGACAAAAAATCGATTTTCTCTAACATCATTTTGTTGTGGAAAACACAAGTGTGAGTGATCCTATATGACCTATCTCGAGTAGATAGCTCTTTTCAGAGATGTTGCGCGTTCCTCGATAATGGCGAAGAAGTGAGTCTTCGCTTCGGCGGAATGTTCAAAAAAAATCTGAATTACGCCAGCCGTGACAGTTGAAATCTCTAAAAACGCAAGGAAGAGAATAGATGATACAACGTGTGTAACAATCTGTCAATATCAAATAAACGTTTTTCCCTTTCAGGCCAACACGAACTCCATCCGCCTTTTGAACGCAGCCCTTGTGAACGGTTATTCCATCGTGACATACCAGCGACCTCTGCGAGCCTCCGACCACCTGGACCTGCCCGTTCTCACGAACGCCTCCCAGCCCATCATTTGGGCTATCGGACCTCTCAACTCGAGAAACGAGGTTTCCTACCACCACCATTTTACCAAGGTAGAGTATTTCTTCTTCAACATCACTCCTAAAATATCTGTACATTTTCCTCGCGTTCATAATTGTATTAAACATTATGCATATCGTTTCTGAATAAAATATATTTAATATTTTATTTTACCCGGAACCTACAGCGTCCCGTGGATCTGCTCGAACCGATTGAGCTACCGAGTCTACCGTCATCGTAGAGTTTTTTCAACCTATTAACACATGCTACTCTCGCGCAATGTAATTTCAACCGTAACACATGGATGTCGATTTAAGTCCCGCCCGTTTTGTAAACTAATTTTAATCTACAATCAATTTTGAATAGCTTCTCTTGTACAATCCAAAGACAGGTGAATAATCTTTTTAAATATTGAACATAAAACAATCGAATATTACTATGTGTCAAAGTTATCGTGAGAGTGATCTTCTTCAATTTGAATATTATGCTGAAAACAATGTGTTTTTATAGAGTGACAGGTTCGTCGAATTCGGTCGTGCGCCGGTGTGGAACTGTCCTATGCCTGAGAACGAGGACGATGCTACTCCGACGAGGTCTCCGGTACATGAAAAGGTGCAATTATTATGTTGGAACTTTTAGAAGTTAATTTGTTTATGAGTGATACTCATTTGTATCGATCGGGCAAAAAAGGCCGCTTCAAAGCTAAGAATCTTTTGAGGTCCGTAAAACTGTATACGAGCAACAAACGTTTCTACATTTTATGCAAAAAGTTTCGAACACTCATTAACAATTGCCCCCTCGTCCTTATGTCTGTAGCCAGCTGAGATCAAACCGAACCCCGTGCCCGCTCCAGCGCCGGTGGCGAAGGCGGTGCCTTGGGAGATCCCAGGCATCCAGTGCTACGAGCCACCCGATGGCGTATTCTATGCGCAGATGGGACCTACTGGCGGCAAACAGGGATATTCTGCGATTACAGGTTACTCTTTACTATTTTATTATTTATCAACAGATCACTTACACAAAATACATTATACTTACCATCATAATAAATTAAAATACCTATGCAGGACCCAACTACTGATGTACATGCAACAATGCTTTGTTAATTTAAAATTATTTAGAGTACATAGTTTGAACCTAATTTTAATAAAATGTCATGTCTTTTACAAATGTTATCTGGTGAAATGTTTACTAAAATCAACGAAAGCTTTTGGGTAGACATATTTTGCGTCAAACCGAGTAAATGTCGTTTAGGTCACGTCGGCTGGGGCATATCTTGGTATATCAATGGGCTGCTGATTCCCGAGATAACCCTCGTTCGCGGCAAGAAATACACGTTCGTGGTGGAAGGAGGATCAGACCCCGAAGAGCCCGCTCGCTTTCATCCTTTCTACATCACTAATGATCCTGTCGGAGGGTATTTCCACAAGAGTGACACTGAAAAAAAGGTACAAATTTTTCTAGCCCTACTTATTTTTTTAGACCTGTTCCTTATCACGTATTCTTAAGCCAAATAGAGGAAACCTTCATACGTCTGCATTCAAAAGTCCTTTTGTTACGTGAGCCATACATACATTTTCTTTCTATTACTAGTATAATTAACTCTTTGGAATTATTTTGATAGGGGGTCGAAATATACGCCGGTGTACGTCGCGCGCGAAGCGGTGACCTAATTCCCACAGGCGTGGGACGCCTCTGCAATTGGACTCCAGATAACGAAGGGCCAGAAGCCGATGAGTACCCCAGCTTTGGGGCCTATCAACGTTCTCTTACTCTCGTCTGCGAGGAGGGCAACCCTGGCGTAGTGACCTGGACTCCGGACAAAAACACCCCGGACACCGTTTACTATCAGGTTAGATTGATTGCACGACACTGAATAGTCACTCTATTTTACTTTAATAATTTTCATTGCTCTGTATACTACTAATCACCGATTAGATTGCTACGAATGAATTGGCTTCTTCTCTGTATATAATTCATCTTTTTGTCTGTTTCAGCACTTCAAATCTTCTTTCGCATGAGGTTCTATTCGGTTCTGACGGTGACGATTCGTATGCGTGACTTGAAAATTGGCCACTAACGCACCTTTATGTTTTCAGTGCTTCACCCACCGTCATCTCGGTTGGAAAATAAACATTGTGGACGAGTGCGACGCCACAGAAGCCGAAGAAAGTCGCGTCGTCGAAAGCGTCGCTCTTCCGTCGGACCTTCTCGGGCAAGAGTCCATTCAGGTACAGAGCCGCGTCAAACCGGACTCTAACTTTTTAGGTGAACGCAAGAAGTACGAGAAAATAATCAACACGAACAAACATTATAACGATTTCAGTAGCGATAAACACGGCGGCATCGCGGGCGAATTGTATCCCGAGCCAAATAGAAAGCTGTATTCGCCCGGACACGAGTATGAATTGCCAATATCCAACGGACATATACAAGACGTCATAGAAGCGGTCGAGAGTCTAGAGGAGACGATGAAAAACGAGTTCCAAAGAAACGCCACGAATCCGCTCGCGCCGCAACAATATCAAGTATACGAGGACGTCAAAGAGAGCCTCGTCCCCGAACAGCCGATAAGGGGAGACGAGTACGTCATTGAAAGTGAAAGTTTCCCGGGCACGTTTATGTTGCCGCCTAACCAGAAACCGCAGACACTCCACGCAGTCATGCGCCCTAACTCGCCGAACAAGCAGAAGGGAAACATGCGACCGCCCTTCAGGCGTCCTTCTCCACCCGAAATAAAGTTGCGCAGGCCACACCCAGCCTATCCGAAAAGTAATTCGGGCTATCCTTTACCCGTGCCGAATCTACACCATTCTAACGGTGCACCCAAGAAACCAAATAAGTACGCCAGTCGACCTCCTTTGAATGCAAACAGGCAGCAGTTACCACCGAATATTCCTCCGATGAAAGCTATGCCACCTCTTTATTCACAGAAACCTAATTTCGGCGCCCATCCGATGCAAAAGAATGGGCCGAAACAGTCAAACAGTATAGGTCAATCTATCATAATGGGTAAGCCGAGTTACGGCGTAACTCTGCCTTCGCAAAGTCAGACTTTAAGTTTGGGTCATACGGACTTGATTGCCAATCAAGTTGTAAAAAGTCAAATTACGCTGCCGGGCTCTAACGACGCCGTGTCGCAGCAGAGCGCTCCTCAGCCGACTTTCAGTAAACAGGGCCAAATTATTCTCGGGAAACCGATGGATCACCCCATCTCCCTGGATCAACATTTGGCGATGATTACGCAACAAAATGTACAGCCGTCATCACCGACACCAGAATATCACCAACCGCCGGCAACGATCAAAGAGAAAATTGTCGATAACGCTAATGGGCAATCGCAAACTGAAGTAAAATCCTCCGATTTCATTGGTCAATCGAAAGACCCGTCGTCTTTTGCGCCCGCAATAAACACCGGATTCAAACCGGACTCTATTGTCATTGAAAGCGGCTTCAAGCCCATAATCAGGGAACCTCTAATGGCGGCTGAAGATAAAATCGCCGAATACGAAAGCAATGCCAATCGACGCGAGGACACAGACGTAGAAGAAGACTATGAGGAGTCGCCACAGTACATCAATAATAACCACGCATACTCAAGCGAAAAGCTTACTGAAACGTTTGAGCCAATGTTTATTCCGTCGCCACCTGACCACTTGTTGTCAAGTGATGACAAAACGAAAGAGGTGTTTCCGAAAAATCACGCAAAAGAAGACAGGCCACACCCGGTCTACGTCAAGACCGAGTCCGAGCTCAATTCGCTTTTCAGCAAGAAAAATATAGCACGGGACGTGCTTTCCGATTTGCTTATGGAGTCTGACAGGATTCGGCCGAGTTATTTGCCACCGGATCCTAAGATACCCAAAGATCACGCTCAAAAGCTTACGTATTCCGGCGATGAAACCTTCACAACTTATGACGGCAAAACGGTTTCTGCTGCCACTTTAACGAGTATCCCGAACGTAAATAAAACGCCTGCCAAATTATTCTCAGCAAAGTTGCCCGCGACAACAGAGTTACTGCTGAAAACTCCTCAGTTTGGACCTTTCATGGGAGAAATACCTCCTCAAGTGATAGAGCATATCGTAAGAAGAGATAGCGCGAGCACGACCGTTCCCGTCCAAGACACGAGGACAACACATTTAAAGCTGATAAATCCCTCGCACAAGCAGGACTGGGATTTAAAAGCTGAAGGGAGCGATATTAAAGAAGTAATTGGAAAAATTAAGTCCGATAAGAATACAGAAAAAGAATTAGAAGAATACGAAGAAGACGCGGGCGATGAGGAACAAACTCGAAACAGGCGCGATACAAAAACAGCGCAGTTCGAAAGAAGCGAAGTCGAAGCTGAAAAGGCTGCTCTGGAACGCTCGAATAACCAAATGAACCACGTCGAATTCGAGGAGGCCGCGCTCGCCAGCGGATCCGCAGCGACCGTTTGCAGAACGGCTTTACATATTGCATTTTTGATAATTTGGTACAACATGCCTTAGGCATTGCATTGCTTTTTATTTATTCAGATCCCGCTGCGTTCATTCGTCGATCTTCCTCTCGCGTCACCTCCGACCTTTCCGATCTTCGCATGATGCAATTCAATACTCAATTAGTTTTAGGTTTTGTAAATATTTTTCTACTTTAATTATAATAAAATTAGTTTAATTCTAAGGTTTGTTTTATTTTACACAGTGTTTATTCCATTTGCAAATGGTCGTGTGTGCCTACTAATTGTACATTCTGTGCAGGTGTCATGATCCGTGGAGATTATTTTCCACGGTTCCATTGATTAAATAAAGAATACTCATTTAAGCAGTGCCTGCACGCTAGATATCTTCTTGGTGAGTCGTGTGAAGTTGGCGACGACCTTTTCATGTTGATATTGGGAGTCCACTAAACGTAGCACTGAATCGCGACGTCGACCACTGCAAAGACACAGGTATTTGAGATATCATTGTAAAGATGAAATAGCCTTAATTAATTAAACGATAATTTAGTCGTTTCGACCGGGAGACCAGACCAGTTATTTGAGTTACAGTAATAAAATACGGACTGCCTGTCCTTCAAGAGTCTAGCGGCGGCGAGAAGAGGTAGTCCAGCTCTGTCGATGACGTCGACTCGACTGCCCCGATGCACTAGCTCCTGTATTATGTCCGTCCTTGCGCCCTGACATACTGAAACAGATTACTAACTTAAAAAAATAAAATAAAATATACTTTATTCTCTTTAAAATTATAACAATTATTTAGATTCGTCAAAATTTTCTTTTGTTTCTCTGTCTGTTTGTCGTGATTCTACAGAGTTTTCAAAAGAGCAACATAACTGAGAAGAACACCCAAGAAACTCAGTCCGGTTTTTTTTTCACTTGTCTTATGAACTAATGCATTGTGAATTTATTAACTTAGGTAGCAATTCATATTACTGCCAGGCGGTCTTGTCATTAAAGAAATCTTTTAGACAATAATACACCTTTAGAGACAATCTAAATTTTTTAAAATTTATTTATCGATAAATTTAACACCTCAACTAGCAATGTATTGTACATACGAATACAATTCCCCGCAAATGAATTAGATATTTTATGGAGCCTATATTTGGGGGTAGCTAGGAGGTTATCCTTATTTCGTAAATTCAAATTATGCCTATCACTATTCTTGCTAAACTTGCTTTTATTCTTATGGGCATACAATACATTTTCATAAATATACTGCGAGTACACGACTCCAGAGATCGCATACCATAGTATGCCATATGTCATAACACTGTGGTAGCAGCTGAAGTAGACTAGACGCGTGGTTTTAATGTCTGTTAATTGTTTGATCTTTTTACGGTAAAGGCTGCAGAACTGTGCTTGCTCGAGGCTTTCCTGATATGAGATCCCCATAACTCATTCCTGTAGGCCGTAATTACTATTCTAAAATATGAATATAATTATATATGCAATTTACAATTTTTCATAACCCGAGTAGCCATTAACATAATATTAAACCTGTTCAAAATCTTACTACAAATATTGATATGAAGGTACTTTTAAGGTGATATGATGAAGCGAGACCACGGCCGAGCCCCTGAGTAGCAGTTAGGATCTACCTGCTCTAAAGAGTGGCGTCCATCCGTTATTGTCTGTGACGGTGACCTCTCCGCGGCCCAAGACTAGTTTTAGCGTCTCAAGATCTCCGGAGTCAACAGCGAGATGTTCCACACGAAGACCATTTGTGTCTCTAGCCTGGAAAATTGATCATATTTCGTCTCTTGAAGTATTTCTTACGTTAAAACTAATAGACGCGAGATACTCTTCGTAGTGTGTACAACATTTCAATAACAATGTACGGCCCTGCCTCTATATCAGCGTGTTGCTCCAACAACAATTCGACGATCTGATAGTGAGCCGCAAGGACTGCGAGATGTAGCGGGGTCCGGCCGCCGCCAATCCTCTGTTCTGTGTCAGCACCTAAAGACAACAGCAGACGAACCATGGTCGTTGCCCCTGGAATTGACTTGAATAATTCAATATTTTAATTAACGACAAGTCAATCGATTAGTAAAAATGTTTTGAGTCTTTCAGATGTCCCAAAAACACGCCTAATACGTGATATTGACTAAGTCGTAGTTGTCGAGTAATCCAGTAAAGAAAATATAGGGGTTTTTAGTTGTAAAGATGACAGTGTGTGTATGAAAAATATCATGACCTTTGTTGACGGCCGTAGCCAGAGGAGTAAGCCCAGTGCTGGCGTTGACGGCTGACAAGAGAACGGGCCGCTCCTCCAACATTTGCTGCACCTGCTCGAACCACACGCTCGCGTCAGAAAAAAACAGTCGACATCTGCGATCTTACCGATCTAGCTGTTAATGAACGTGTCGTTTTTCCCTCTAGTGTACAATTCAATATATATCTCATCACCGAAAGAATTCCGAAGTTCCATTATACAGTTAAATAATGGAATTTTATTTAGAAGCTCGCCGTCGCAGCTGCTCGCTTCGAATGACTCTCCGAATCCCTTTGAAGCGGCCGACTTCAATTACTAAATAATTGACAGAGTGGCTCTCATTAGCCCGCCAGATGACTACCGATTGTTTCGGTATATTTATCGATAGATTTTCAGAAGTACACTTTAATACATAACGCTGCAACTAATGGGCGAGAAACTCCCGTAACGAATTATGGGAAAAACAAAGAACATTATTCATAGTCGAGAGCTCGTCTTGTGTGCGATGCGGAAGCGATTCAAGTTACTCAAGAATTCCACATTAAATGATTTGTCGGTCAAAGTATTTATTCGTCTTTTATGTGGTCGAAATTTATACTTAATTGTAAATTAGGTGTGAAACAGTTTTAAGAGCAATATTAATGCTTTGTCTAAAGTGTAAAGAAAAAGGGCCTTTTGTCACTAATTCATTGACATCTAGTTTTAAAAAACATTGCAATAAAAAACTCCGCATGAAAATTGATACTCAGGGCGCGCAATGGTAATAAATCGATTAAAAATATTATTCTGCTTTAAAAATCGAGGAAAATTTTCTCCTTTGACTTAGAAGAATCAATATCTTCTTGACACGCACGTTGAGAAGTCGTTTAACACGGCCACCTGATGCCTCTACTGTGCTGCAAATATGAATGCCACGCCTCGTTACGAAAGGCGATCGTTCTCAAATGAAATGAAACGAAACGGACGCAGAGTCAGGACTCGGTCGTCGGTGACAACTTAATTAATGTCTGATTATCAATTTGTTCATTCGTACATTCACTCATTCTCGCTTTGGTGGGAAACTACCGACTGCTTTAGCCGTTTTAATAGGAAAAAATCGACTTATCAAACACCAAAGCAATTTCAAGTACAAAATATAAATGCAGCCGTAAACTTTTGGTGGAAAAGAAAGACATCGCGCGAGTACCTGTTTGACATAGCCGCACCGGACGGCCATGCAGAAGCAGGCGGCCGTGGTTCCGTCGCTATCGGTGCTCGTGCAGCACTCCTCGGACCACCGGGACTGCAGCGACCCGCTGTTGACAACTGCCCTTTATAATTTTTGCTTATTACTCTTACTACTAGTTTTTGAAGATCGGCTTTGATACATCATTTGATACATCAAAAAAAAAAATCCCGAGTTGAATTACAATTCAACTCGGGATTTTTTTTCATTTAGCTCTTCTGTAATACGAGAACAGTTCGACATAATTATAGAGCGCCCGGTGTGACATGTACTAGAGTTAAATAACGATATCGCACCGCGCTCCCCGGGTATCTGGCGCGAGGACGCGCTCAGACGACGGGTCCGCTTTTATTGAGTGTGTCATCTCTTTGGGGCTCGGTTGAACGGCGCCTCCGCGAGGTTTGAGAGCGATCTTGAGACGGAATCTGTGCGGATGAGCCGGGGCGAGCCTGTCGATCGTCACCGTCGTTTTTCCGCCGCTGAAAACTCACACGAGTAGTTATTTATTTCCATCGAAGAGTTATATTCACTTTTTCAATAATAAACAATTAAATTTATTTATAAACATACATCGATAAAATTACGATCGAAGGTAACGAGATTCATTTTAATATTAAGTAGCGCCGCCATATAAATTAATATTCACGGATCGAGATCGGGTTCTGTAATGTTAGGCCGTAAATCAGGAATTACGTCGTATTTAGTGCGGTGCCGAATAGCTCATAACCTGCAGAACAGAATCGCGTGTGTGTAATCTAGCGACTAATTTGTGCCCAATAATAATATTCCAGTTTTGGTTGGGCTTTGAAAAGAACACTGCCACTGAACACGAGTGATATATTTAGTGCCGGGGTAAGAGCATGTTTATCTAAAATTTAACGTAGTTAATGTGTTGTCTAATAAACGAGATAGAAAACAGACTTTCAACGATACTAGGGCTATAATCGATAATTGGTATAAAAAAAAATATTTTTGAGTTGTTTTATAAACGATATATATACTAAAACTAACCTATATACGATTACCCAGGGTGGTAGTTTTTCCCTCTTTTGTAAAATGTAGACGACATTATATTGAGAGGTATTGTAGGGCTCCGTAGACCAGCTCAACGTGACACTGTGACTAGTTCTACTTTCAACTGTGGGGGGCCTAGGGCTCCATCTTTGCCAATGAGCTGAAAAAACAGATTGTGATTTATATCGGCATAAAGTTTATGCCGATTAAATCGATATTTACTTCCATTCCATTTAGTTCGAATATTGCATTAATACAAGTTCTATACGGTCTTTATAAGATCGAAAGAATCTTTGCGCACCGCTCTACCGAGTGAGGGACTCTAGTTTGTTTTATCACTTTATGTTTTGTTCGTATCGCACTGTAATTTCGATCCTTACCCATAGTCGATGTAAAACTAATTTGTTTCTCCGATTAAGCACATCTTTCGTGGGCATTAGATGCACCTCGGTCTAACGAGAACTTTCGCGAGTTAAGAACTAGCGCATTCGTGGCCTATCGCTGTATAGTTGAGCTGTCGCTTGACTATTCCGAGTTTGTTCAATATTGGTTGCTATCGAGTTGGAAACGGCTTTCTTCGATGCATTTTGATACAATTACTTGTACTGACTATGTGTAAAGAACGCGAGTAATGCAACCTGCATTAGTCACCTTAGCTCAATTATTGCGGCCAAATAATTGAGCTAAAGGTGAAGGTTGAAAATCAACGAAGCTTAGCTTAGTAGTATATTTGGAGAGTTCGACCGATTTTACTGCATCAGCCTAGTGTTGTTCTTACTGAAACCGCCACAATGTACATAAACGTGCCACGCTATTTAGATTGTTGTTCCGTTTTATTAATCACATTACAATATTGTAGCCAAAATAAAATAATTCTTTATTGATTACACATCGTCGGGCTTCAAAATCGGAGCTTCGATTTGTCTGTGGGTTCATAGAATGACTTATTTTTTATGGTGCAACAATAATCAAGACATAATATAATGGAAGATCTCTAAATTCAATTTTTAACTGAGAAACCCTTGTATTCTTTACAACTCAGAATACTGTGTTCACTTGAATGGTTTAGACTTTTATTAAAGAATCTATACATTCACTTATTGTTTTGTTACCTATCTACTACATTGAGAAATTTGGACAATATTCCTATTAAACACAACTATAATAAGGTAGTAGTTATGAGTAGGCAATCTTAGTACTATAATCGAGCTGTCTAACTGAAAAACTAAGGGTACGGTAGAATGACAAGAAGAGGAAAAGTGTTTATTTTCTCAAAACATAGCTCAGTGACAAGCGGCGGCAAGTATAAATTAAGTGCAGGTGTCGAGCGCCGTTCCCTTCCGAAATATGTGCAAAATTATGCAGCCGACGAGCGTCGCAAATATCTCGTTTGTAAATTTTAATACAGAACAATCGATTATTACAGTTCACCATTGCAATTGCTTGCTCCTATTAGTAATTGTTTCGTTTATAGTGTATACGAGTTTGGGATATTACTTTCGATAAAACGGTTCGAATAAAACTTCACGTATAACCTAATTCATATACTTAAATATTAAGTGAATACAATAAACCTCACCGTATAAGCTACTAAATCATCGCTAGTCAATCCTACACAAGGAATTAACTCCCGTGTTCGGTCGATTACTAAAATCGAGCAACGAAAACGGTGCGAATCGTAGTTCGGACGGCTAATTAAAGTAAATAAAAATCAATTAGATCGGAACGATGACCGAATTTCACAGATAAAAAACACCAGAGACAGCGAGCGAGCCGGTGAACGGAACGCAACGCAGCATGGCGCGGCTATCGATCGACGCAGTCAGTAGGCGCTCGGCCTCCGCGCGGAGATTACGTCGCTGCTCGTCTGTGCCGCGGACCATAACCTCGCCGCTCCTCTCTCATCCTCATTTTCGCCTGGTAAGTGCTAGCATACGTTCCCGGGCCTTCGCAGCCTGCGGTGTCCTTTTCGCATTGTGATCGATGGGATCCGCGCCTCTCGGCCGCTGCGGAGTTGACACTTATCGATGTAACGCTTTGTTTATTTCTCAGTCCGTATGCGCTCCCGGCGAGTCGTTCGTTTATCGGTTATCGGCTCGTCTCGACCCGATAAGCCTGCACTCGCATTCGTACGTTTTCTTGCGCGCGATAATTCGATTAGTGGCAAACGAATCCCACGCGTCAGAGACGATCGCGAAGGTCCGACTAAAACTACGATGTTATCGTTACAATAAAATTACGTAATACAGGACACACCTTTTTGCAACTTTGTTTTTCTAATTTATGGAGATTGGTAATTTGACGTTAATTGCTGGACGGACGGTATCGCGTTATTATCGTCGAATAGAGAGGCATAGAGTCGCTTCTTTATTTAGTGCGAAATTGTCACTAATTGATACCATAATATATAAATTGATGATAGTTTTTATCCCTTAATTCCGACGCTTTCTTTTTAAAACTACCCTTTTTAACGTGATCCCTATGCCGCGGTTGACCTACATTTTACTTTTAATTAGAAGTCGACGTTATATATTTAATTAATGACTTGACATCGGCATACAAACATTTGACAGACGAATGACAAATGACAGATCTCTTTACAGCTGGTAATAATTGGTCTGTATGTTTGTTCTGGTTAAACAGCAGCTGTGTAACCAGTGTCTAGTTCCTACTTAGCATTGATCGGAAGAGTGTCTTACTTCAATTTCAATGCTCACTGCTGAAATGTATAGTATGCAGATAACGGCCTTGGCAATGCTATTTCTTTGCAAATATATGTTAGCGATTTAAGGTCTAATTATATTTTTTGCATTAATATCAAACAACCTTTCAAAGGGCAGATTTTTTGTTAATTTGCTTGATGGTTTTGTCCACGAAATGAGCAGAGATATTTTGCTCTTTGATCGATGTCACAGCTTTGCGTCCTTACATAAGGTAATGGTAGAACTTTAGCCTCTTGTCATCTTGTAGACTGTCAGCAGCTCAACAAAACGTTACGTTCATGTCGAAGATGTGCACTAGCTCTGCAGTTTTATGAATAATAATTCTCGGTCCTTATCTTTTACATCCAATACGAAACATTATTATTTTTAACAATTTGTTTAGCAAAACAACAAATAATTTATTTTACTCTAACAAAAGACTTTCAAAGCGCATCTCTGTTTTTTGTTTGTAGTCTGACAGTCACCTTTATCGACAGCGGTACCGACGGAGAGAACAGCTGAAATAATACTGAAGTATGACCTGGCGTCTCGAGAAACGTCATCGGCTAAATAATTCCCAACGCAAGTTGGAAGTCGGTCCAAAAGTGACAGTATTTGTTAAAAATTCAGGAACAAAGCCTCCGAGCCGAAGTTGCCTCGACACTTCTGCCTCTGACAACATTCTACTTTATCCCGTTTCTGTCAACCGCAACGTTCCATTGTTTTCGAATCTCGTTAGCGTTCATCCTCTAAATAAGCGCACGAAGCGCAGAAAGCGGGATCTGTGTGTGTACCCGACTCGGTGTCCGACGCTCTACGACTGTGTACAAATTACAATTTGAACTACCTTCAGCGCTCTCTACCTTGACGGCGTTACGCGTGCATATTCCAATCGTACCCTTTGAGTGTCCAACATAAGCAATAATTACAGTATGCAAATGTCGATGTCGCGTTCGGACTATCATGTGAGGGTAGCGTTATATCTTCGGTTTTGTTTATCTTTTGTAAAATGTGGAAATACAGCACATACGAGTCCATTTTTGTCCATAATATTAAAGCGTAGCGTTGAAAGCGAAATTATTTAATTAGAGAGACGCGCGTAAAGGGCCAAACAGGTGTTCCGGCCCGAGGCCTCCCAGAATATAGATCATACTCTGCGCTCGTCCCGCAGTTATTTCAATCAACAAAGAGACGCCGGGAATTCCACAAAGTCATAATATTATGTACTGTATTTTAATTTAGGCTTTGTGCCATTTTTATATATGGCGTACGTTCAACGTCTATTGCCTCGCTTCTAAAAGTGTCGGTGTAGAGTCGATTATTAAAACAAAATTAGTAATACAATCAACAATACATGCATTCTGGCAATTTAAAAGAAAAGTGGGGCAACAAATTAAACAACTTTATAAAGAGAAAATCACACGTTTACTAGAGTGTTTCTTGACTTCTTTCCGCGCTTTGACGCAACTGTCACGATGCACGATGGCAGACATTCGTGTCAGGCTGCGGCGGAGATTCGCGAGATAAGTGTCGTCGGCGAGAGCACTTTGACGTTCGTTAGATAAATGTGTCAAACGTTCACTCGAAGAGCCTTCTCGACTCTCGTGAGTTTTTTTAACAGAGACGCAGTAAACATTCATTTAAAACTGATTCTACGCGACATTTTCTGACGCGCTTTCGTCTCAAATGTAAAACTGTGAGCCTCAAGAAACAAAACGACATAAGTATCCTCGCGTCTCGTCAACGGAGCGGTCGAGGCAGTACGTACTCGTAGTTACGTGAATGGAGTAACCTTTGATCTTTATGTTAACTTTAATTTGCGTTGTTCCCTTTTGGAGCACTGCGCTCTTTGTGTCACTTCTGTGGCTCGCTGTTGCTGACTAAAAGAGAGTATTTTCCCTATACGTTTTAACTTAACGAAAGGAAAAGAAAAACGAAAACATATTTTATGGAAAATTACTCTCCCAGCTGGAGGGTAATAGTAACGTCTTATTAATATTTAATTACTACGTGTGTATTTGTCAAAGTATAGTTTCCAGAACCTACCTCTGGTGATCGACACTCGCATATCAGAAAGGCCGACGCGGGCTTAAGGGCCCAAATGGATAAGCTCAGCCTAGATTAATCGCGAAGCTCTAACTCGATTCTGCGCCACCGAGACATTTGTCAATTGTCACTTTGCTCTTTCGATCTTGATATATCCAAGTCTCACCTCTTTTACTTTTCATTATTTCATTCGTTATTTGCTGCTGAAATTCGTTGTAGCAAAAAAGTCTTCAGAGCTTCCCTACGTAAATGCATTGAAATAGTTTTGTCTTTTCTTAATTGCACAACTTTCAGTCTAACGACCGCTCTGCTTTTAACCTTTTATGAAACGGCACTTAACCTATTTAAATGAAGGTTTGAAATTCTGAAATTAAATAGGCTGTTGTATGGATAAGAGCTTTTTCATAAATTTAAGTAAATGACTAAATATACTTAACTTTATGTCAAACTTTTACATTCGTTATTTACCCCTGAAGAAAGACCCTAAAGAAAATAATTATTTTTTTATTAAAAAAAAACATACTGTTGGTAAATTAAAAACTGCTCTGTTATAAAACCCTAATCATATTATTTGAGCGACATACAATAGAGTAAAAAGGAAATTTACACGAAAAATATTTATTGTTTTTTAGAAGA